GTTTTTGGAGTATTAATTGACGTATATGTGATGTGTTTATACTTCGTTAATGTTCATGTGAGTTGGTTTGGAGTATAATTTCAAGTATATGTGATCTATGTATATTTCGTTCATGTTCATGTGTAATGTGAGTTGATTGGGAGTATACATTCCCCAATGTGATGTATGTATCTTTCGTTCATGCACACGTACGTTCATTATAAAATGTGTTCATTCTAATTTTGGAAGCAGAATAACTCATTGTGTTTACCTGACATGCATACAAACTACACGTAATAAACATGGCCTGTTAAAAACCCGAAACGCTTTAACCGCGTGTTCGTACGCTTCCAGCAGGTATTGTACTCATATTACACACACCTGATCCAGAAAACCCCAGAGCAATGGGGAGTTGAGTTGTATATAGTTAGTTCCAGACTTTACCAGTGAGTGTAACAATCCAGCTAACATGAACATTACTTCTTTTGCCATTATTCACTTGGTGCATTCTCAAAATCTTATTCAGTTTCATTTGGATGATACGTTTACCGAATGAGGATCAATCATATTACACAAGATGTATAGGTACAAGCACCACAGTATAAGTATATGTAACACTTTCACATTTCACAAGGATTAGGAATAAAATCTAACGTTGAGGAGCATTTACTATTTTGGAATGACACCTTCGCTACTAAACACTAACAGCATTCATAAGAAACTGAACCAGGAAAATCACGATATACATTTGGATAAATACAGATACATTTATGCTGAAATAGTTCAGAGGTGAGCGCAGTTCATTTCCTGAAGAGACTTGGCTGGCTCACACCACTCGCCTAACGTAAGGTCAACAGTCAAGAGTGGAACAAACAATAGCTTTGAAATCACCTCACCATTAGTTCTAATCCACCCATCCTGCAATGAGAATGATGAACGATGGACACAGATCATCTACTGGGAGATATTGATATAGATAAATATAGAACAACAAGTCTCAAAGACACGATGTCCGTTGGTATAAAATTCATAAAATAGCAGTAGATCTCACACCATTAGTACTTTCAAAAAGGCTTTTGAAGTTGTGTGTATAACGACAAACTTAACATGAGATTTACCTGAAATAACGATAAACAGATGAGGATATACACAAATTCACACCTAAAGTGTCATGTTTGTCAAATAGTAGCATTTAATTAAGTTTTGTCATCATTGATATTCTTTTCTTGATAACACCTTTGGTTTACTGATCTTACATATGTAGGTGTACGACTGTCGATGAGGAATGAAAGACCCGATGAGATAACAGATCACCTGAGAACCTTAAGACCCTGAGACATATTGTCAAACCGTGAAACATTACCGCGTCGATACGGGAACTCGAACCCACAACCCACAAACCACAACCCATAACCCACGACCCAACTCGACACAGCGAATGGTGTCAACCTATACGATCATATTACCCCTTACCCCATCCTAGTTGTGATCGTGATGTACGTCAGTGTATATGAATGCAACGTGAAGCAACGGTTTGAAGTATTTTGCAGTGAGACTGACTACTTATCACCCGGTTTGGTTAACTGATTTGAAACGACCTCTGGAGCCCCGGCTCAGTCTACCCAATCACATGACCTGTCACGTATATTTCTGAGTATATATAGGGAGAGCATTTTGATCTTGTGACACCTGTTACTTTGCCATCTGCTGGACATACATTGAAGGCCGCACTGATTTGGCAAATAATCGAGTCAGCAGGTTCATCGATCTGCGCAATCGTGACATATAATAAATGACCACCCGATCCCGTTATCGCCTCTTAGCCAAGTAGTGTTCAAGCACATGGGTTGCTGAAGACCTATTCTATCCCGGATCTTCACGGGTCCTGCTGGAGAAATCAGTATTCAGTGTCGGTATAATACATGTGAAGATAACAATCAGAGAAATGAGTATCTAAGTGAAGAGTGAGTGAGTGAATATGGTTTTACGCCGCTTTTAGCAATATTCCAGCAATATCACGGCGGGGGACACCAGGAATGGGCTTCACACTTTGTACCCATGTGGGGAATCGAACCCGGGTCTTCGGCTTGACGAGCGAACGCTTTAACCACTAGGCTACCCCACCGCCCCTCTAAGTGAAGAAGCACTATAGACGTTTGGACAAAAGCGGACACACACCCACGCACACACGCATGCACGCGCACGCACGCACACTCACGCACGCACACACGTCGATATATAATTGGAAGAATATGTCATGAGAACATGCTTTTTGTGACAGTATGATTATCAGAGCATGAAAAAGCAGCCGTCGGTAGGATAAAAATGCTTGTTGGATACATGACAAATATAAACAATCTGAAATGATATTTGATTCTCCGACAAAAATTAAATCTCGCACTTTGTTTTGTTTAAAAGATAGGACGAAACGAATGAAACGGCAATATCTTGATTAAATGGTTTAAACATTCATATTTTGTTTCCGCAACTTGTAAACGGACTGGATTGGTAAACAAGTATTGCGATTTACATAAATACTGCTCAAGTAATACACAAATTAGAAACGAAAAGAGAATTAGTACAATCAAGGTAGAAATATATAGCCAATAATAGATAATACCAGTGAATATGATGGAGGTGTGTCGGGTATGACTGACTGAGTTTGGTTTTACGCCGCTTTTAGCGATATTCAAGCAACATCATGGCGGGGAACACCAGAAATGGGCTTCGTACATTGTACCCATGTGGGGATTCGAACGTGGATCTTCGGCGTGACGAGCCAACGCTTTAACAACTAGGCTACCCCACCGCCCCTGTCGGGTATGAGGACTAAGAGGAATAAGCTACATATTCGTATATATTTCAGGGATCAATATAAAATCTTGTTGCCTGTTCAATGAAATCATGAACAGATGCCAAAATCTTAACGTCTACGGTTTCTGCGGAATTTCCATGCAGTACAGAAGTGAGGTTAGATTCCACGGTATAAAAGTATGAATTTGATCTCGGATGTTATATTTCTTACAGAGGTAATAAGTATTATCCTTACGTATTGAACCACAGGAACACTGAGATCTGTCTGTCGCACACGTGGGCATGCAAGTAGCCACATCCTGAGTCGAGAGTGAAAGATTTGACACATTCTTGATTCATAGTCCAGATCAAAATGTGGCGTACCCGTTGTTACTGATAAGTCGGTTGCTATGGAACCTGCATTCGTTACAGAATATATCAAACTCGTGAAGGTCCGGGTTAGAATATTGATCTTCAGTAACCCATGCTTGTCGTATAGGCGACTAACGGGATCGAGTGGTCAGGCTCGCTGACTTGGTTGACACATGACATCGGTTCCCAATTACACAGATCGATGCTCATGCTGTTGCTCACTGGATTGTCTGGCCCAGACTCGATTATTTACAGACTGCCGCCATATAGCTGGAATATTGCTGAATGCGACGTAAACCTAAACTCACTCACTCACTCACTGAATATATCATGTCATATTTTCTTTTTGTGAAGTTTTCATTTTATTCGCTCTTAAATCATTGGCAGTTATGCACAGTTGCTAAGTTACATGACATGTTAGGCTTATCTCTGAAAGTGGGAATCAAACTTATATTTGGCACTGTTATTTCCAGACCATTCAGCATGTCCAACTGAAGTATTGCAATCGCTAGAAGAGAATTCTTGGCTTCATCAATAAATGCAATGAAATAACTGTGTAAAACGCAGTTAGGAAAAACAATTAACTTAAACTAACCTATTCTTACTGATACTGTGGATAACCCAAAAAGGTAATTCTACAGATAAAATGGACATAAACGTGACTGTTGGCACGAAGGTATGAATCGGCCGGGGTCTGAGGTAAGTACATGTACATAACACCTGTCCCTGTGACCTCAAACCGGCCCGTGTATTTTGACAGGTGCAAATGTCATCTGATTTGGGCCGGTCTCCAAATATTTCTGCTGTTGCTATTGACAATTAAAAAGGGTTGTCAGGATAGCAGTTATGATAATCATGTACCACAGTATACGTTATATTTGGTATTGCGCGTTTTTTATTTACACCTCCAGAACTTAATATGTTTTGGGGTTGAGTCCCATCTGGGATTCGAACCCACATTCTCAGAGTGAGGCACATAATCGCCAGCGTGAAGTGTACTGTATTATATATGCTTGGAAGTATGATGCAATAATTAAAAGCTATGAAACAGAATGGTTATTAGAAGGTTGTGATTTTTCTAAATCAGGTAGTATTTTTGTTCTGTGTGCCTTATCACCCTTCTTCAACGTTGTCCATTATTATTTTATTCTCCTGTTTTTAGAAGACCTCTTTCTCATTTCTATTTATCATACCGTAAAGTCGTTGTTCTGGAAGAGCTCGACCTTAGGCTAATCGGTTATACGATCCGTGAAGATCCGGGTTAGAATTGATCTTCAGTAACCCATGCTTGTGGTAAGAGGCCACCACTGGGATCCACGGCAAACGGGCTGCCCAATTCGGTCTAAAGACCAGCAATTGGGTGCTGTGGACCACTATGCCCCCGGGGCCACACGGGGATTGAAGAGCGCTTTGCGTCACCCAGCACCCACCAGGAGGAAGCGGCTCTTCACGGGTGCCCTGAAAAATATGATATCTATGAAAAATATGATTTTGCCCAGCCACGTTGCCTCTGATCCATTACATTGCTTCACACACACACGCATGCACGCACGCAAGAACACGCCGCTTTGCATGCACGCAAACAAAGCACACACATAAATACGTGTGTAAACCAATGTGAACGAAAGAAACCCGTTTTCGGACACAGATGACATGAAAGCACCTGTCGGTATTGACACAAATCTACTTTGCGACATGAGACAGGACACGCCACCGACACGTCCAGCCCGATAACAGCAGTAGGTCACCCGGGATGTCTCTGACCTTACTATGACAGGGACTGCTTAGAGTGTCGGCTTTGTCAAGGGTGAGGTGACAGGTGGCTTGGTACACACAGTCTTCCTGAAGTTATAGCAATGAGTAACGGTAAAGAGGGTGACCACAACGGGAAGGTTGGGAACTCAGAAACACATCATCCAGATGAGGATAACAACTTACTGCCTATAGACAGAGGATGGGCTTGGGCGATACTGGGAGGTACGTATACATTGGTTGTAAGTGTATAGAGCTCGAACATAATCCTGTATTAACTTTCCGGTGCTGCACATTTGTTTTGAGTTTAGGATATAATATGTTTCTCGACAGTCGAGCGTATTTCCTCAAAGCATTGCCCATTCTCATACAAATAGAAGCGACATGACCCTTTCCACATCCACAGAAAATCTCTGCTACAAGCAGAGCCGATTGTACAATTGTGACTATATCATGAGTATATATTTGTTTAAGCAGTATTACAGCTGTACGAGACCGCCTCCGTGGTGTAGTGGTTAGAGCGTCCGCCCGGAGAGCGGAAGGTCGCGGGTTCGATCCCCGACCACGTCATACCAAAAGACGTTAAAATATGGTACTTGTTGGTCCCTGCCTGGCGCTCGGCATTAATGGGTACAACAAGGACTGGTCGGCTCGGAGTCAGAAAACTGTGTCTGAGTTGGGTATTCATGCTTCACTGCGGCATGGTATCTCAGTCTGGGCTAGTACAAGCAGCCGCACATACACACACACACATACACACGCATGCACGTCGTCATATGAGCGAAATATTCTCAAGCACGACGTAAAACCCAACTTCACCTCACCTCACCTGAATGGTTATTCCTACTTGCTAACAGATATGATATGTCAGGTTATCCTGCATCGATGTCAGAGACGTGCTTTTACACCAAATTCTGTAACAATCCAAATACAGACTAGTGTGGTGTCTTGCTTTATCGCTATACTCACTAGTTCAGCCACTGACTGACGAACTCAGTTTCAATCATTCTGCTGTGGTAGTGAACCATGCGCTCTCTCGTTTACCCCTTTCTTTCAACAATATTCTTATAACGTCAATACCTATTGTAAACTCAAAGTGTTAACAATATTAACTCAATTTCACCTCACCTCACCTCACAGCTGTACGATGTTGTCTGTAAACAAACCAGACAATCCAGTGGTTGTATGACACATTCGTAAAGTATCTGTTTCAGGATGTTTCCTGAATGCTATGCTAATGGGTGGATACAACCAATCTATGGCGCTGTTCTTTGTGGAATACCTTGAAATGTTTGGTGCATCTACAACAAGGACAACCCTAATCCTTGGGGTGAAAGCGATGTCCTACAGCCTAATGTGTAAGCAGACCAATCTTAACTAATCTGAAAAAAAGTTTAATCTTGAGATTAATGCGTCCACAAATTAATGCCACTACTGACCATAAGCCAAAAATGCTGCTCAATATATACGTGACGCTTACTTGTCAAATTATGTTTCTACTCCGTGTTTTCACTGGTGTATACGTACTTACACATTTCTACATACGGAATGCATAAGACAATTTATCCCGTGTGTCCTTCATGATGAACCTATATCAACCGGGTTGATATTAAATTGCACCAAGGAAGTGCAAATGAGGACTAAATGTGTATTTCTGACGAGGTAATGTATCCTGTGATTCAACATGGAGATAAAACATATTTGTAATAGGAAGGGCGCGATTGATATTTGGAAATCTCCGGTTCAACTGCCAGTCATGCTATATTTAGGTAATTCATCAAATGTGTGATTGTGTCTCTATCTTCAGAATGCAAGATCACCTATAACATTTTCGAATGTATAAATGTTATAAAATAAACGGATGCACAGCTATATCCTGTTCCTGGTACCTTACACTGAATTGTAATTTGGCTGAAGGTTCTTTATATAACCAGTGTGATTATATTATATAGATATGTTTATGCTCTGTGATGGCTTTACTCTTCTAGCACTGGTTACTATGCACGTTGTGTTGGAGTTTCTCGGGACGAGGAAGACAGTCATGTTGGGCGGACTCCTCACAGTGTTAGCTATTCTCTCAGCCACCTTCGCGCCCAACATAATGGTCATCATATGTGTTCACAGCGTTCTTTTAGGTATGTGCTTATGCAAGTCTTGTGTCCACTAAATAGTAGGAAAGAAAAACAGTTCCTTTAAAATAGGTCCTCTGATAACTGCTTAGATGGTGTTCTCGAAAGGCTCCCAAATGGACGGACAGTGCACAATGATAGCGTTTGCCAAACTCCAAGGTACTGTACGCCTATAGGTCTTAGGAGAGTAGACAGTTCTTGGAACCTCCATGAAATGAGGACTTGTATCATGTCCTAATCTTGATTTTGCATCTTTACGAACTAAACTCTAACAGATCCATCAGATAGCATAAAGTGACAGTGTCTGTGTGTTCCAATATTATATCGTCACCAAGACAATATATCCCATACCACAATCCGTACAAGTATACAATGACAACACCTATTCTTCTGTTTCAGGAATGGGGAATTCAATGATACATGCACCAGCTTTAGTGCTGATTGGAAAATACTTCAAGAAAAGACGAGGCCTGGCTACAACAGCTGCAAGTTCAGCGATGAGTTTAGCAAGTGTATTCCCAATATTTTCTCAATATCTGCTTGATGAATATGGCGTTCGGGGAACAACACTCATATACACTGGTCTTACTATGAATATATGGGTAGGGGCATCCCTGTTTCGACCTCTTCACTTCTATGCAAGAAGAGTGAAACCCGAACGCATGCAGGAAGATACAGTGGACAGTGGTGGTTCTGAAGTAAGAAAGGACATCAGGAATAATGATGCTACTTGGTCTGACAATGGACACACGAAACACACAGAGAACATTCACAATGGAAGTGTCAGGAGTTGTAACGTTGTTGTTAATGACACCTTCAATGGAGTCCTTGATCCCCAAAGCGACGGTTCCTTCAGGAAAAGAGCATACTCCGAAGGTTCTAAAAGGACCATAAAGCAGTCTGATTCAGAGTCTGACAAACTGGTATACACAAGTAACCCAGACCTCGTGAGTCTCCCAATAATCACACCCACACTTTTGGATGCAGTTTCGAAGGAAATACGTGTGGACGACCCAAAATCATCAATCGCGAGAAATATTGGGAAGGTTTTCAAAGCTTTTGACTTTTCTTTATTTAAGAATCCAATGTTTCTTCTTATTATGGTATTCTGTCAGTTCGGTGTTGTTGTGAGACACGTCCCAACCTACCTCCCGGCACAGATGAAGGAAATGGGATACAGTCAGTCTGATGCAGCGTTTCTGCTGCTCATCTCTGGAATTCTGGACTTCTTTTGTCGACTGTTTTATGGTTTTGTAGCTGATCTTGGATATCTTCGTGTCTGTCAAATCATGGCTTTTGGCCTTTTGATCGTAGGAGTGGCATCACAGTTAATAATGTTCTACACCACATATCCTCTTCTTGTAGCCTACTGTGTAGTGGTTGGCGTCTTCGGATGTGCCTTCCCGTGCCTTCTTCCATTGGTAATAGTGGATTTCATGGGGGTCGACTGTATGGGAAAGACTCTAGGATTTACAGCGTTATTCCAAGGATTTGCAGTTGCACTGACCCATCCAATTTTAGGTAACAGACCTTACAAATTACCTTCTTATCATTTCATTTTGACGATTTCTAGTCGACATCCATTGTCGGACAGTGGAAACCCATAATATCAAACCCTGTCATGTCCAATAAGCATGTAGCAATCCAAAGGACAATTCTAACAAGGCGCCGCAATCCGCTGTACAAAGTAGGACACCTATGATCGTGGTTTCGTATCTGAGAGTCTTACTGCTTATTGTTCTGGCTTCGTTAGCTCCATTTGTACGGTTTTTGGTTTCATAAATGCAGTAAACATCCAATACTTCTAGGTTTCTTCTTACACGAAGTTGACACTCCCGGATGTAAATGAATTAATCTGAAAAGCGGCGTGAAGCCAAACGCATTCCTAACAAAATATAATGTACTTGTGTGTGCAATCTACATGAACATCACGTCATGTCATTATTAGACCGTGTTGAACAAGTCATGTCTTCATTTTTTCTAGTAGACAGGTGTGTGTGTTTTCAGGTGCATTACGTGATTTGACCGGATCCTATCTACCCTGTTTCCAGTACCTTGGTGCGACATCTTTGCTTGCCGCAGCACAGTTGCTATGCGAGCCTCTTGTACGACATTATACAGCAAAAACCACGGAAGGATCACTTTCAAAGGATGAAGAATGTCTGGAACCACTGAAATAGGCAACTGAAGTTCTCATGCATATGCTCAGTGTTTACTTGCCCTAAGTGTATGTGCTATAAAACCCAACAATTTGGATCCTATGCTCAAAGTGTTAATTCACTCACTCAACATACAACATCAACAGGTTTGAAGGGTAAAATGGCTAAACCTTAATAGTAAACCTGGTAGTGTTGTTTTATGTTAATCAAATAACAGTTTGTTTATCAGTTCAACGAAAGAAAAGCAACCTGGCAGTTAATGATTACGGTCAAAGCTCAGTTAATGTGCCTCAGTTGTTCTATTCAAATGCCGTGTATCAAAATTGGAAATTGGCACTAGTAAGTAGATCATACTCCCACTTGAAGTGATGCCATATTTATGTGCATGTGATTATTTCTGTGATTATGACTGTGATTTGATCGTGCACAAATATTGGTGCCAGGATCCGATCGTTGGTGTTTTGGGTCAATTTAATGTTTGCATCACAACCAAACTGGTATGCAAGTTGCAGTAGGCATGGTCAATAGGCATGGTCATGTAGGTGACAGTATGTCAGATGTACAAAGCGGTGGTAATCCAGCACACGTCACCCACTGGCTCAGAACACGGTATTCTACACTTGTACATAATGTGTCCTGAATTACAGACACTGTGTCGAAACAACCGAAACACCATGACTATATAATGATGGGCCACATCAAATGGTGCCATAGTATGCCATGTAGCGTTGGACATAATACCTAAGATTTGCATTTGAAAGTTTGCCTTGACACTTTTGTTAATAACGTCCCTTTATTAATTCATTTGCATAAATGAGCTATCAGGAATAATGGCAATAAAAATGCAAGAGAAACAGCTTTATAGAAACCTCTTTATATGATTATTTCGGTTTCGGTTAACATCATCACAAACATTGTCCTAGTTTGAATTGTTTTACTGTTAACCTGCACGGTTTCCTTTCTTTGGATGGTAGACTACTTGAGGGTTATTTCTGGAAGTATGTGATGCGTCTGCAACTCCCGATGAACTACAGCAATGAACTGCAGCAAGATGCGGAGTAGAATGTGGCCAATCTGATATAAATAATTAGAAAGCTGACATCCAGTGAATCCTACCACTACCTTACACAGTGACGTCACTTAGTCTACATACCCAGCCTTGTTCCCAGTACAGACGGGTAACTCGTGTTCATAAACATGGTAATTAAAAACTCTGTGAATTGAAGATCCACTCATCTTGACTCCTAACGCTATGGTTAACTCGGTTATCAGTTTTTAATTGTGTATGAGAAAATCATTGTAAAATACAATTATGACCTTCTTCCTTATCGGCTTGTGAAAACCGTTATATGTAGACAAGCCGATTCACATATATCACTTACATAATGTTGTGACATTACTTCATTGTCACGCTGCAGCTGATCCCATTAGGTCTACAGTTACCAAACTGCTCGTACGATCGTGGCTACACACAAATAGTTCACTATTGATTCATTTTTAGGAAATTATATTTATAAATATTTAACCTCTAAAAGTATTCTTACAAATTTACTACTCAGGCGTACAACTTTTGAAATAATGATCCGATTGTGACCATTTATAGCTCATTTTGTAGGGAAATCATCTCGCTTTTGATCCGTAGGCCTCGACGGGGCCTTACAAAATAGTTTACGTGGTGAAATCTAACTTAGATTGAGGAGGGGGTGGTTCCGTCGTTACATCCCTTTCCTTTTATATAGTACTAGGGTAGGGTATATTTACCTATATGCCTTTCTAACGCTGTTTCTAAGCGTGACACGCCCCTGTGGGTATTGACACACTGTACTGGTGGGAGACGACATAACATATCTGACTGGGGTATCAATGTCAACGCTGAACTGCGGCAAGAGATATCAGCGGGCCTACCCTGGAGACTCACATATGTACTTACCCACCTGTACTATGTACATATACCAGCACTCTGCACATCCACACATGTGCAGTGCAGACGATGTATATATATTTCAAGCACCGTACTTCCTCTAATAAGTGCCGGGTCTTTATTAAGCGCCTGGCCTCTAATAAGCGCCTGGTCTCTAATAAGCGCCGTGGACGTTTTTCTATAAATGTGAATTGAAATGTAAATTGGTGAAGATGAAACTGGTTGACAATGAAATATGCTCTTTTGGAATGATGTGAATGAGAACTTATGCCGTGTATACTGGAAATGTGATGGAACCAAAACCTTTTGGAATGACCTTGGGATTGGATTATTCAAAACATACAAGAACTGCAACTGACAAAATTCCTTGTTTGGTCTGGTATTTTAGAAAAAGACCCACTATTAAATCATATAACCCTCTCTGCAATAAGACACATTTACATTTGCACTTGTCTAACATGACTTCGTCTAACTTGTGATATTTTACATGTAATAATTGGAGAACCCAGTTGTATCAAAAATGTACACCTGCTTACATATTTCTAGATGCACTGTATAATTACTCTGTATACCTGATTTGGGGATAAAAAACCCAACAAAACCAAAAACATCGAGATTTTCATGAAGGAACTCCAAAGGAGATAAACATCACACCAAACCCCAACAAGTGACACCCGCGTTGGTTAACAGCTGGCAAAGCAATTTGAACACAGTCATCATCAACGTTTCGTTAATTATTATTATATTTTGAACATTTACACTCTTCCATAAAGTATGAGCAGCTAAATGTAACAGTCATTCTTCCTCCAGCAAAGGACACTCTGATTAGATAATGAAGTAGGTTAAAAAAGTCCAATGGTAGCCTCTGTGGTTTTATCTACCGAATTCCACAATTGCGATTTCGAGAGATCGTATATACCGCTCTGATATCTCTGACGTCAGACTGCAATATATGTATTGTATAGTTGTACAGACACCAGTACAGTATACATGGGACGTGTAAGAGTAACGTAAAACTTCACTTTCTAGTCCACAGAGTAATTGAATCGACTTGGTATATTCACGCCTATCTACGTACTGCAGTACTGTAGAATTCATTCGTGTTTTACATTATCTGTCATCTGCCCTGTATTTCTGAACCTGCATTTATGTCTCCTTTACGTACGTGCAAAGATATCGACATACCTACCTAACTGTCTACCTACCGATGTACCTACCAATGAAAACTGACGTGAATGAATGATACCAGTTTTCGAATTCAGATGGCACGAGAAAACCTCAATGCTATCACAAGTTGACCTTACGTCATAAGATAGGACACTCCGATAACAGCCGTAGATCACATGGGCTGCATTTGACCTTACTATGCCAATGACAGACTTGCTGTGCATATTATTATGTAACATAGATAACGAGTGTATTACTACACACAGTCGTTTTGAAGTTATGGCAATGAGTAATGATCATGGAGATGACGACAAAGGGAAGAGTGTGAAAACTGAAGTAAAACCTCCAGAAGATGATAACACAATACTACCTATAGACAGAGGATGGGCTTGGGCGATACTCGGAGGTACGTATACATTCATGAATACTTACAGGTGCGTATAACTCAAACATATGTACTGATGAAAGTACACATGAAAGTACAGTTGTTCCTTAATCTTTCCCAGGTTTATTCGTATGCTTTGTATCGAGGTATGTGTGAAAATCTGGAAATAAATAAAGGGTCACTCAGACAAACAGATCCTTCAGATAGCATAAGGTGTCACTGTATACTCCGGTAGCATATCGTCTCCTAGGCAATGCGAACAATATCACCCATACAACATACATATATACGCATGTCGACAGTGACACCTTCCATTCTTTTGTTTTAGCCATAATAAATGATCATTCTGCGTTTGTGTTTTGTTTAGCACGTTATGTATGGTGTTTGGCAGTCCAGCGTATGTCCACATGAGAATTTCCATCGTCCCTCACAAAAAAATAACAATGGTAAAAAATATATTTATTTAAGGGTGTTTCCTGAATGCTCTGCTGACGGGTGGATACAACCGATCCATGGCGCTGTTCTTTGTGGAATACCTTGAGATGTTTGGTGCATCTACCACGGAGACAACCCTTGTCCTTGGGGTGAAAGCGATGACCATCAGCCTAATGTGTAAGCAGACCGTTCGTAGCTAATGACCAGCCATAAACAAAAATACGAAAAGCTATATGTTTCTCGTGCCTTAAATTGTAAAGTTCTGTTAATGATCTGTGTTCAGTACATGTCCATAACAACGGTTATATACGACATACATAAAATAGTTTATATTGCGTGTCCTTGTAGCACATATTATATTTGGGATTATGACATCGCATATTCATTGTGTGTCCCTAATTAAAGCTGAGCAGTATCACTTTGCACAAAGGAAGTGAAACCAGAATAATTGCGTATTTCATACTTGTTAATGTATATATTGCGATTTAACACGAGGGTACAACATATCTGGAGAGGGATACGGCAAATTCTCTTCCACTTGTCATGTAATATGTTTGACATTCATCAGTGCGTCTTTTTTATCTTGATCTTCGGGATACAAGAGCACCTATAGCCTTTTCGAATGTATAAATGCTTCATGTATCGAACAGAAAATAGAAACAGACACACTTATATCTTACTGCTGCATCCAAGTGACTAGAATACCAAATTACAAAATACATCGAATTCCCATTTTACTAAACGTTAGTCTAAAATTCCGTGTGATTTTATTATATTAATATGATCGTGTACTGTGATGGTTTTACACTTTTAGCACCGATTGCTATGAACGTTGTGCTGGAGTTCCTCGGGACGAGGAAGACAGTCTTGTTGGGCGGACTCCTCAATGTGTTGGGTATTCTCGCAGCCACCTTTGCGCCGAACATACTGGTCCTTATATGTGTTCACAGTGTTCTTACAGGTACGTCCCCATGCCAGTTTTTGTCCACTAAATAGCAGGAGAAGAAAAACGCTTCCTTTAAAATAGGTCATCTGATAACTTACTGTCTAATGCTAGCATAGATGCGTTTTCGAAACGCGTCCAGAAGGAAGGTAGTGCATAGTTATAGCGGTTGGCAATTTCTAAGATACTGTTGGATTATTGTAGATACGGCCATTCTTGGAACTCCTGGCATGATATGATTGGATGGGAATCACGCCCTAATCTCGATGGTGGCAATTATATTTTGTCCATGCGAACCACACTCAGACAAACAGATCCTACAGATAGCATAAGGTGGCACTGTATGCTCCGGTATCATATCGTCTCCCAGGCAATGCCAACAATATCACCCATACCACATTCATACATACGCATGTCGACAGTGACACTTTCCATTCTTTTGTTTTAGGAATGGGCAATTCAATGGCACACGCGCCTGGTATTGTGCTGATTGGAAAATACTTCAAGAAAAGACGAGGCCTGGCTACAACAGCTGCGGGTTCAGCGATGAGTGTAGCAGGTGTATTCCCAATACTTACTCAATATCTGCTGGACGAATATGGGATACGAGGAACAATGCTTATATACACTGGTCTAACTATGAATATATTTGTAGGGGCATCCCTATATCGACCTATTCACTTCTATGAAAGAAGAGTGAAACCCGATCGCATGCAGGAAGATACAGTGGACAGTGGTGGTGTTGAAGTGAGAGCGGTCATCAGGGATGAAGATGCTACTGGAGCACACCATGGCGGAGAGGACATTCACGGTGGAAGTACCAGGAGTTGTAACGTTGTTGTTAATGATACCTGCAATGGATTCCTGGATCCCCAAATCGACGACGATTCCTTCAGGAAAAGAGCACACTCTGAAGGTTCTAAAAGAATCATAAAGCAGTCTGTTTCCGAATTTGAAAAACTGGTATACACAAGTAACCCAGACCTCGTGAGTCTCCCAATAATCACACCCAAACAGTTGGATGCAGCTGAAAGGGACATACGTGTCGATGATCGAAATCACAGAAAATCCGCAATCGCTAGAAATATTCGGAAGGTTTTCAAAGCATTTGACTTTTCTTTATTTAAGAATCCAATGTTTCTTCTCATTGTGGCATTTTGTTTGTTCGGTGTTGTTGTGAGACACATTGTAACCTACCTCCCGGCACAGATGAAGGAAATGGGACTCAGTCAGTCTGATGCAGCGTTTCTGCTGCTTATCTCTGGAATTCTGGACTTCTTTTGTCGACTGTTTTATGGTTTTGTAGCTGATCTTGGATATCTTCGTGTCTCTCGAATCATGGCTTTTGGCCTTTTGATCGTAGGAGTGGCATCACAGTTTATAATGTTTTACACCACATATCCTCTTCTTGTAGCCTACTGTGTAGTGGTTGGCGTCTTCGGATGTGCCGTCCCGTGCCTTTTTCCATTGCTAATAGTGGATTTTATGGGAATCGACTGTATGGCAAAGACTATAGGATTTACAGTGTTATTCCAAGGATTTTCAGCTGCACTGACACATCCAATTTTAGGTAACAGACCTTACATATTACCCTGTTATCATTTCATTTTCACTCTTTCGAGTCTCCATTGATTGATTGTTCCTTCGGACTATGGAAACCCAAAACGTGAAATAGACATGTAGCAATGAAAACGTGACACGGTAAAGTTATCTGCCAATCCGCTTCACAAATTAGAGGGTAGGATACATATTACAGTGGGTTTGTAGCTGAGATTCTGACTGATTTTGGCTCTGGCTTTGTCAGCCCCATTTTCATGCTTGTTGGATTAAGAAAAGCAGTAAACATCTAATACGTGGGGTTTCCTCTTACACGAAGTTGATACACCCTGATATAACTGAATGAATGTGAAAAGCAGAATATAATCTACCTGTGTCAGCAATATACATGAAACTTTGGTCAAAGATATTTGAAGTACCTTCAGAGCATCACGTCACATCAGTATTAGACCAATAATCATGAACAAGTCATGTCTTCATTTTTTAGTGAATACGTATGTTTGTTTCAGGTGCATTACGTGACTTGAGCGGATCCTATATACCCTGTTTCCAGTACCTTGGTGTGTCATCCTTCTTTTCCGCAGCACTGCTGCTATGTGAGCCTCTTGTACGACGTTATGCAGCAAAACACCCACAAGCATCACCATCAAAGGATGAGGAATGTCTTGAACCACTGAAAGAGGCAAATGAAGTGAAGTGAATGCAATATTTTTAACGGAAGTGTACATGCTATCTTGAGCTCATGGGTTAAAAAAAATCAGCAATTCGGGTCCTTCGCTCGAAAAGTTAAGTCTTGATATTTGAAGCAGCTTGACAGTATTTACGAATCACCTATAAGACTTCGGGCCTTGTCCCAAGTCAAGCTTTTGAAAGGACTATTTAAACGGAAACAGACACTCTAAATGCAACATCAACAGGGTAAGGGTAAAATGTCTAAGCATCAATGGTAAATTAAATCCTTGCAGTTTTGTTTCATGTCAATCAAATAAAATTTTGCAAAGTATAGCAATCTAGCAGTTAACGATTACGGTCCAAGCACAATTAATGCCTCAGGTGTTCACGTGGACTTGTCAGAAAGTCTGTATCTAGATTTGAAATTGGTACCAGTAAGTGGAACATACTACCCTTTGAAGTGATTAATTGGAAATACAATACTTTATCTGTGGAGAAACAGAAACAGACTGTGAACTCATCATGGATAATTAGATGCCTTATACATGCCAGAATCCGCTGGTTGGTGTTTTGGTCCATTGTGTGCATCCAAACCAAGCTGGGATGTTACTGTGACAGGAGTCGCCAGTTGAAGTAGACACGGCCATGCAGGTGAAAGGATGTCATGACCATTTGTACAAATCGGTGGTAAACCTAAAGATATCTCCATCTGGCTTTTAACGCGATATTCTAGTTTTTTACAGAAAGTGTTATGGATTACAAAACACTGTTGTGTCGAAGATTAAGGCACTTACCTAAATACTTCGAGTCATCCGAGTTTCGAAACAACGCAACACGATGACTATAGAAATTATACGAAAGGAACTTGTATTTTGTGACAACCTTAAGTTCGACATATTAAAGTTCGGCACAACAGTGTTTGATTGTACTTGGTAAAGTTAATATAGTGTGTTATATATCATAATTTAACAGCACTAAACTGTATAACTACACTGCCGACCTCCTTGTGTTATTGCTTGCAGGTTCCAAGACTTCATTGCAACAGGTTTCTACCCGTAAAGGTCCGGGTTAGAATTGATTTTCAGTTACCCATGCTTGTCGTAAGAGGCAACTAACGGGTTCAGGTGGTCAGACTTGGCTGACACATGTCATCGTATCCCAATTAGATGCTCATGCTTTTGATCTCTTGATTGTCTGGCCCAGACACGATTAACATCTTTGAGCGGCATTGTTTAGAAGTTGGAGAGTAATATACAAACTTTACTTGCTTGAAGACGATACAAGAAACTGTATCAAAACGTCGCATCTACCGAATAAAGTTTGTCTGTATACAGACTCGATTATTTAAAGACCGCCGCCATATAGCTGGGATGTTGCTGAGTGTGGCGACGAACGGATTTCCATCAAATAATCTTCACTTATCATATCGAGGAGGGTTAATATCATACATGACAAAAACACAAGAACATACATGCGTCTCTAGTGTTAGTTCAGTGAAATATGGAGCTATCTTACTCTGTCAGACCACGGATAATAATAATAAGAGAGTCGTGCCTCCTGGTGGGCCGATGGTATGCATCTCTGCATAGCGAATTGACTTATGTGACACCCTCGTCAACCTGATGTTAAAACGCACGGAGAAACGCCATATATAAGCACATGACTTGCAAACATCATTATATTCTACAGCTTGTTCAGCTTGACATGAGCTACTCTACAAATTCATGACCCGGGAGGCCAAATGGCACAAACGGGAGGCTGAGTTAACCTCATTAAATAGGGGAGCAGAGAATGTTATTAATGTTGCCTTCGTGCGGATCATGCATGCATGGATTCGTTAGAACTTGTCCCGGAAATCAACACTTCTGAAAAAACAATCTATCTAGTTTGCAACCTCAGTTACTTTCACAATCCAATTCACTCTCGCTATCATTCTCTACACACAGCAGTGATATCACTTTTTCTATTTCATGTTCAACTGCAATATGTCTGTAGCTTCTTTTTTAAAGAAAGTTAGGACATTGCTGAAGATTTCTCGAAACTGAGATGTCAAACGGCGCGACCTTCTCTCGGCTGTGTTGTCTCGGACATGTTGGCAGTCAACTGACAAAAGTGCACCCCTTCACAATAATAGACCCAACCAGTTCTGGTTATTCACTTGATCTATTATTCACTTGATCAGGTCAAGCTGAACAAGCTGTAAGTCAAATGAGCGATATTTACGATTCGTTGTGAGAAGAGGTTTGGGATAGGGGGCAATCACGTACCACCGATTTATGTCTGGAGTTGTTTCAGAAAGACCCAATGATGTATGTATGTGTATATTGGCTTTATTTGGAACGTATGGATAGCACAAGGACATAAGAATATAAGCATAATGTGATACATGTAAACGCATCTTTATATTGTTCTATTATGAATATTGTTATGTGACTGTTTCAGCGTTTCTCACAATTTCCCATAGCACCATCAGATTACGCGTATATATAGTTAAGCGCCAGCCTATTTCAGAACTAAGATGTGAAGCTGTGGAAATGTTAGGCTAAAATAATTGGGAAGACCAATCCATAATTAGAGAAGGTTCATCTGGTAACTGATTTAGGGATATCATAAACATTTGTATTTACAATTAAACTTTTGTTAAAGGTATCATGGCACAAAGTTTTAAAGCAAAATAACTATTCCTATTCTGCTCATACAACACTATTAAACTTAGGTTTCACTTGTCAAAAATGACAATCATGTGACCATATAACAGTCATTTCTGATTTTCACTTTTCAAAAGAAGGTAACCTTTTTGAGGAAAACAAAATGCATGTATTTCCAAAAGCGCATACATCCTGTTTAAAGGAAAAGATAATTTCCATAATGGTTTTGTTTTTAAACTAAAAGTACTAAACCAAATTATGATAGTTGATTTTTTTCTGAAAGATATCCTATGAGACAACCTATATTGGCAAAATATACTGGGTGGCGCTTAACGTTTTATTCACAGTATATTAACTACATCCACAGAGACTATCGCGATATCATCCTATGTTAGGCTGCCACACGAAGAGACTACCTCCTGTATCATATAAGCACACCATCTTGTACAGTGTCAAACATCATATATCACCGTAATTGGGATATGACACCAGAACAACAGAATCTTATAATTGTTTTCCGTCTAAATGTTCCCAAACAGAATTATTTCTTTCAATATACAATTTTTGTCGTTCTAGAACAGTAATTAGAACATAGTTGCCTGTGTGTTGTTTAACCCCGCACTCAGACATTTTTTTATGGGACAGCGGTCTGTAAATAATCGAGTCTGGATCGGACAATCCAGTGATTGACATCATAAGCATCAATATACTCAGTTGGGACACTATGACATGTGTCAGCCAAGTCAGCAAGTCTGACCACCCGACCCGTTAGTCGACAAGCATGGGTTGCTGAAGACTAATTCTAACCCGTGTCTTCACGGGTCATCATGTCTAACAGAACCGTTGATAGCAAAGTAGGTCAAAGTCGTATATTTGGATGAGAGGGCTGGGTGTCTTATCGCACCTTTATAATGTCACTTGCCACATGTACGTATACGTGTGTGGACTGTAACGTGTACGTGACTGTCCATCTTGAAACAACACTGAAATACATGTACTGCTTGTGTTGCTAAGGACATGATTTGGCGAAAAGCATAGTGTATGAACGCAAAGACAGTTTGGTTAGCAACATTTGAGCTGAGACTGTGATGATCACCGTTGAGCATGCGAAACATTGTGGCACTGACCTCCGACATGGATATGTTATGAAGGTGCGAGGGAAAGAGTTCGTTGAACTGTTAACTGGAATCCGGTAGGTTTCACTGTCAAGGAATGCGATATAGAATATATAACATTTCGACGTCAAGTTTAAATATTCCCTCGGTTTATTTGATTCTTGTTTTGAGCTGAAGTTAGCAATATTCCAGATGTATGAGGAATGTTCCCATTTCTGTCTTTTTCCCGTTTGAACTATATCAGAAGCATGTCTCGAAAGCATAAGAGTTTCTTGTATTTGTCCTCTTAACCCGGAGGAAACATTTCAATCTCGCAACCAAAAATCACGATATCGTTATGCAACTTTCTTAAAATAAAATGCTCAAACCTTTGCTATCCCAGAACTCCTTCACAAGGGCGGTGGTATAGCCTAGTGGTTAAAGCGTTCGCTCGGCACGCTGAAGACATGGGTTCAATTCCCCACATGGGTACAATGTGTGAAGCTCATTTCTGGGGTCCCGGGCCGTGATATTGCTGGAATATAACTAAAAGCGGCGTAAAACCAAACTCGTGCACTCACTCATTCATTCACAAACAATTTGTGGTATGACAGTGACATTCGAAATTGAAAATCATACTAGTAATCCCTCACTTTGGAGATAAATTTTGTCAGAAATCACATGCAAAACAATCCATACGTACACGCTGATGATGTGCATGGTTTCTTTGCTTATTTGCCTCAGCTCTTTCAAACACATATGTAGGCGACCTACTAATTGGGCATCTTGATGTCAGGCACGTTACCTTGGCTGAAGATGAACCAGTCTTATGGTCATATGTATTGTGTAATCGGTTACTTTTGAAGAAATGGTTATCATGGAGTAATAATTATCCATTTTAAATTTTAGTTATTTTCAGTCATAATTCATAGATAAATACCAGTCTAGGGTGAAAGAAACCTATTTCCCCTACATACATTTAAAGAAAACACAGTTACGTCTGATTAGGTAAGATATGCTTCCAGATAAAAAGCAGCCTAATGTTACAATAGTCCATTTACATGACACAAGATCCAAAAGCACAAGATGTCTAGGTAGTTACATGATTATTAATTAAGTGAGTGAGTGAGTTGGATTTTACGCCGCTTTTAGCAATATTCCAGCGATATTACAGCAGGGGACACCAGGAATGGGCTTCACGCATTTTGCCGATTGATCGTGGATGGGCCTGGGTTATACTTTTCGGTAAATTTGAACTTGATAGACGATTGTTGAAACCCACGTGGGGATTCGAACACGGGCCTTCGGCGTGACGAGCGAACGCTTTAACCACAGGACAACCACACCTCCCCTCTTAATCATTAATGTGCTTTTATATATCTGCAAAAACTTATTATTATCTATATTAGAAAAAGACAACCCATGAAGCATATAATTTATGCTGAGTAGGGTTTAAGTCCTCATACGTGAGTCATGATCAATTGGACGGCCTCGATCTATTCCTAGGCATGCAGTGATTGTGTCAACAAGATTAGTGCCATTTTAGGGGTGGGGTGGGAGGTCACCCATTTTGTTCGGGGAGGTAGGGGGGTACACATGTTTCTAGGGGGTTCAACAATTTTGTACATAAAAATATTTTAAAATTATGCTTTAAAAGTGTGGAAAGGAGGGGGTACATGACATGCAGGGGGGAGCACTTACTTTGTACATAAATATTAGGGGGGGGGTGTCATTCACATTGTACATTCTTCTCCATAAAAATCATCATCGCCACCACCACCTCCAACACCCCACCCCCAGCCATAAATTATGGCTGGGACCTAAAGGATTCAAGTAATCGTGAAATTATCTGAATTCGTACACAAATCCGAAGAGTACAAAATGCCTCAGCTCGGTTAAATCATCGCTGCAAGAAAACATCCAATGTAACACCATTATTGATGAATCTCCACTGGCTCCCAGTACAAGCTAGAATCGAATTCAAAGTGTTATCCCTGACCTACAGCTGTTACCATGATGTTGCACCAGGATATCTGAAAGAACTTCTCCAGAAATATACTTCAAGCAAAAACCTGAGATCATATGATCAACTTCTATTTACCATCCCCAAGATCAAGCTCAAATCCTTCGGCCAAATACCATTCTCATTCTGTGATCCTTTTCTCTGGAACTATCTTCCTTTTGATATCAAAACCTCCCCATCTTTAGCTGTTTTTTAAGTCTAAACTTAAGACCCATCTCTTCTCCAAGTACTGCCCTTGATGCCTGCGCTTTGCGCAACTGCAACGGATGGAAAACAGCGCATAATAAAAGGGCTTGTTATTATATCATCATTAAATGTAGTATATATATATAATGCTATTACTATGTATACCCTACATACATATATACCGTACACGTCCAGACCTCAACACTAGTCATTAGTTTCGAGTACACACTATTAGTTACACTGTGTTTTGATACGGTGTACAGGACTGTAAGACCCTTGTAAATTCCGTATTTCCTGAGACGCAGCCAAAGGGTCTAACAATCCCGTACACCCTTTCAAAACAGTGTGACGAATTTATTACCCTTAAGATTTTTTATTTTGCTTATGTTTAAACAACAACATTCAATCATCGGCAGAATGAGACACAAAACGTTTTGCCATGATTTTCTTGATAAAAATTATCGACTTTGAGGTTTTGTTAAACGACAAGTGAAATACAGAAACATTTTATTATTGGATACTTCGGATACATTTATTGACACAAACAAATAAGAAATTATGGCAACAATGTTATTATTCTGTTTATTCTGTATACTCATAATTGTATACGTCAGCTCTAAACTTTCGAGCAGAAGCAAATGCCATATTAACAGCTCTTAAATATATTAATAAACATCGTGAATATAAACAATACATAATCTTCTCTGATTGTCTTTCGTGCCTTCAGGCTATTAAAAATCATTCTTGTAAACATCCACTTTTAATTTAATTATTGAATTGTATAATGATCTTGCTACTGGCCAATGCGACATCGTCTTTTGTTGGTTACCCAGCCAATGCGACATCGTCTTTTGTTGGTTACCCAGCCACGTTGGCATTTCTGGGAACACAATGGCCGATCTTGCTGCCAAGGCAGCACTCAACAAATCTGTGACACCACTTCTTATCCCATACTCTGATTACAAAGCTAGCATTAGAACCTACATCCGTGATCTGATGCAGAAGAAGTGGGACACCCAAGTAGGTATCAATAAATTACATGCAATAAAACCCTATATCGGTTACACCTACTTGGGTTGTCAGTCCAGATTTGAAGAGGTCATTATGCGACGATGTCGCATTGGCCATACTAGATATGCCCACGAATATTTATTGAGAGGCGAAGATCCTCCGTTTTGTATCCCTTGTGATGAAAGAATCACGGTCAAGCATGTCTTGCTTGACTGTGTTGAATATTCCATCACAAGGGATAACTATTTCAAATCACGAACAATGAAGGATCTTTTTAATAATATAAGTTCTCATTTAATTATTGCATTTTTAAAAGAATTAAATTTGTTAAAGTGATTTGTAAATAGATATTTTTTTATAATTGGAAGTTTAAATTTGTAACTCAGATTGTTAGTGGCAGTATCCTCAAGGGAGGTTAAAGTACTGTATAAATATTGTCCTCCCGAGAGAGTACGTAAGTCTCAAAATATTCACAGTAACTTTAAACTCTCCACTTTTTTAATCGTAGGATATGTGTATTTTTAATGTATGGCTATGTTTGTCTCAATTGCTAACAGCTGAAGGGATGGTGTAAATCCAGCTGGGGTCCATGCAGGTAGCAAATGTGCTATAAGTCCCCATGGTCCCTAGTATGGTGATCTACCTTCAGTTGTTGGTAATCTATAGCCTGTTTTAACATTGTATTGTCATGTATGGTTAAACTGTTTTAGGTTTAATCACTAGTTTTAAATTCATATATGTGATAGTGTAGTTGTTTTACTGTCCTTTGTTGACAGGTTTTTATATTTTATCATAAATAACTATGTATAACAATTAATTGTTCTCGTCACGATATGGCTGAAATATTGCCGATGTGACGATACATTTTAACTCGCTCACTCTAAAATTTCGAAGCGGTCAGCCGTTTGGCAGCCATATTCCATCTAAGGTCAAGATACACCCTAGCAAGTCCACCTACATGGTTTGGTGTGCTTTTGCCATCGACCAATCAGAATTCGACAAATTTATCTTAAGGGTAATAATGAAATGTATAACTGTAATATCCTTGTTCATCCTAACTTTATGACTGACTGTTTATATTGTATTTCGCGTTGTTCATTTTGTGAAAGTGAAGTATATCAATTGTAGTTTAGAATCTGTTCCTGTTCGGAACCAGTTGGTACCATACCACATTAATCGTACTAACAGTATGACTGTTCTGCTTCAGTTGTGTCTAAGCCTCGCAAGAAAATTGGTTTCGAATAATGGAGCCAAACAGCACACACGATGCCTATGGGCTCACTAACAGACAGGGCAGAGATCATCAGTTGGGTCTTTCACAAGTTGAAGACAGTTGTAACGAACTGGATAGCAAGGAAATGCAGGCAGTGGATAGGAATTGTGATAGTACCATGCCTGTCATCATTTGCCACAGTGCTGCCATACAACCGGAGCCTGGAAGAAAACACGTGGAAACAGAGGTGATGGAGAACACTTGTGATGATGAAGATGGCGGTGATGATGATGGTGATGATGATGAGGAGGAGGAGGAGGATGGTGATGACATGACTGAAACTAAGAAATTGACCGCAACATTAAATAAACAGCCCGGTGAAATCAAAGAGGGAGAAGAAGATGAAGAAGACAATAATTTGCCGATTGATCGTGGATGGGCCTGGGTGGTACTTTTCGGTAAATTTGAGCTTTTTACCTTGAAGGATGATTGTTGAAACATGGGGAATCTTGACCCCCATGACCCCATGATTATACTGTTTTCTAAACATTAATCAGATACATGCACACACGTCACACACACACACACACACACACACACACACACACACACACACACACAGAGAGAGAGAGAGAGACACACACAGACACACACACAGACACACACACACAGTCACACACACAGTCACACACAGACACAGTCACGCCGTCTTTTAGCAATTTTCCAGCAATATCAGAAATGGGCACCACGCATTTTGCCCATGTGGGGAATCGAACCCGGGTCTTCGACGTGACGAGCTAACGCTTTTGCCACAGGCAAAGTCACACAGACGCACACACCTAACAGCAGATGGTGTATATATACCTACGTGTGTGTATGAAACTAATGAATACGGGTTTTAGAGATTATTTACTCATTGACAATGACATAAGAATTCCAATAAGCTAAATCCTATCTCCTTCAACTAGGTTGCTTTCTGATCGTGTTGCTGATGGCCGGCTACAGCAAGGGCATCGCTATTGTGTTCGTGGAATACATTGAAGTATTTGACGCACCTGCGTCAAAAACCACTCTCTTATTTTGGGTTATAACAGGCACATACAGCATTGCATGTAAGTATCATATAATCATTTTATAAGTTTTACTAAAACAAAGGTAAGCATGGTGGCTAAGCGATCGGGTTATGACCGAAAGCCTTGGTTTTATCCCCAAGAACCAGACAATGCTTGTAACTTCTGTCTCATGCATCATACCTTCCACACGGTTAACTTCTTCGAAACAAACTTCGGTGGCACAGACAATCTGCAATGGAATTGGTTGGCTGGTTGTTGTTTAACGCCGCACTCAGCCGCTATATGGCGGCGGTCTATAAATAATCGAGTCTGAACCAGACAAACCAGTCGTCAACAGCACGCACATCGATCTACACCATTGGGATACAATGACGTGTGTCAACCAAGTCAGCGAGGATGACCACCCGATCCCATAAGTCGCCTTTCATGACAAGCATGGGTTACTGAAGATCAATTCTAACACGGATCTTCACGGGTCTGATTGCAGAGAGGTAGTTATGCATCCAGAGAAGCTCCAAGTGTTTTCTGACGCAGTGAATAAAGAATATATTACAGTAAAGAGTCAGAGGAAGTTAGAAATATCGAGTCTGAACCAGACAATTCTGTGATCAACAGCAATAGCATCGCTATTCGCAACTGGGATACAACGATATGTGTCAGCGAGCCTGACCACCCGATCCCGTTAGTTTCCTCTTACGGCAAGCATGGGTTACTGAAGGTGAATTCTAACACGGATCAAGGGTTGCAATTGGAACACAGATAATTAACGCCGAACACTCATTAGAGTTATTTAACATCATTCCGACTTAGTACCTAACGAGGACAGCGTAGGAACTCAACTGACAAGACCTCCAGAAAGCCGTTTCAGGTTGATTTGTGGCAATGTTTTACTGTTGTAATGATCTTCCACTTGAACTGCTTTAAAACTACTATCGGCTGGAATAACGAAATGATGCATTTATTGATTTCATCATAATACGTTAAAATAATGTTGATGTGTATGTGTGCCAGATTTCACCACATACTCACCTCCTGTTAGGTACGTAAATCCCAGACCATGCAAAGTAAATTTAGACTCTACATATTTTACTCGTAGAATATGTGCATTTTTAATGTATGGCTTCATTTGTCGAAATTGCAATTTTCCTACAACCGCCAGCGGCTGAAGGGATGATGTAAATCCAGCTAGGGCCCATGCAGGAAGCACATGTACTGCAAGCCACCATATTCCCTAGTATGGTGATCTGCCTTCAGTTGTTGTCAATCTATACTCCGTTTTTTATATTGTATGGTCATCTACATGTATAGATAAAATAGTTTAGATTTAATTACTAGTCATCAATTTATTCCTGTGATATTCTAGTTGTTTACTGTTCTTTGTATACAGGTAAGTATATTATATAAGTTTGTTTTTATTCATTTATACATGTACAACTTTCTTAGTCACGATATGGCTGAAATACTGCCGATGTGACTTTAAATTTTAACTCACTCACTCATCCCTTGTTAGATTTAGTCTCATCCAGGTTCCAGCTACAGTTGTACATATTTGTACTGACTCCTTGTTAGTTTTAGTCTCATCCAGGTTCCAGCTACAGTTGTACATATTTGTACTGACTCCTTGTTAGACTTAGTCTCATCCAGGTTCCAGCTACAGTTGTACATATTTGTACTGACTCCTTGTTAGATTTAGTCTCATCCAGGTTCCAGCTACAGTTGTACATATTTGTACTGACTCCTTGTTAGATTAAGTCTCATCCAGGTTCCAGCTACAGTTGTACATATTTGTACTGACTCCTTGTTAGTTTTAGTCTCATCCAGGTTCCAGCTACAGTTGTACATATTTGTACTGACTCCTTGACTCCTTGTTAGATTTAGTCTCATCCAGGTTCCAGCTACAGTTGTACATATTTGTACTGACTCCTTGTTAGGTTTAGTCTCATCCTGGTTCCAGCTACAGTTGTACATATTTGTACTGACTCCTTGTTAGATTTAGTCTCATCCTGGTTCCAGCTACAGTTGTACATATTTGTACTGACGCATTTACAAAAATATGTGTCCATGCCGTATGTATTTATATGTGTGTAAAATATGCTTGTTTCAGCTGTGCTTACAATGCACATCCTTCTTGGAGCAATAGGTATCAGGAAGACTGTCATGTTGGGGGTAATGCTGAATGTCATTGCAATGGTCACAGCCATATTTGCAAAAAGTATCACCTATCTTATCTGCACCCACAGTCTTCTGATGGGTACGTACAGTCACAAGACCGGTTTACTCAGGGAATGTACATTACACTCTGAAGTAGAGGGTAGTGTTCAAATATATTATCAGAATAGTAACATTTCTACCTTCTGTGATATTTGGTTAAGAATTTTGGGTATGTTTTCACATATATTCCCATAGGTACGTACATGCGATATGATATGATATGATACATATGATAGGAATTAAAAAGTTTGGTTATCAAACTCCGTTGATAATGTAATAGTCCGTCATAATTATTCACATATAATCGTTTAAACCATCTGCATACGTATGAAAAATATACGCTCAATGTCCATGTACAAATCCGCATGGGACCCGTGAAGATCCGGGTTAGAATATTTATCTTCAGTAACCCATGCTTGTCGTAAGATGCGACTAACGGGATCGGCTCCCAATTGCGCAGATCGATACTCATGCTGTTGATCACTGGATTATCTGGTCCAGATTCGATTATATACAGACCGCCGCCATATAGCTGGAATATTGCTGGGTGCGGCGTAAAACTAAATCCACTCACTCACTCACAAATCCGCATGGATATTTAATTATCTATCAAATAGCTGTATAGATAGATCTGTGTTTATGAGGAATGTAGGCCACTCTTACAGTCTAAGTGTCTTTTCAGTACTTAGTGAGACCTCCTTCCCCTGCAATACAAGACTGAATGCGGCTAGGTACACTACCGATCACAGTTTGTAGGAAATCGTGTGACAGCGTATCCCAATATTCGACCACTTCTTTCTTCATATCCTCAAAATTTCTAAGTCCTTTTTGGTTAATTCTATCCTTAAATAGTCCCCACACAAGATCTGGGCTGCAGCTGTGCCAGTCTAACACTTGAACATTTTCGTCCGACTAACCACTGTTGTATGTAGCCCGCAGTGTGTTGTGGGTAGTTATCATGCTGGAAAATCCAGTTATCTTCATATAGTGTTCGGGCCGTTGGAAGGAGGTGACCATTTAAGATGTCAACATATCGTTCCTTCGTCAAATTTCCAGTGAAAATACACAACGGGGTCACTCCACGTGATGATATCCTACCCCACATGTGAAATTTCGGGCTATGTTTTGGGCGTTGGTATATAGGTTTCACGGTATCTTTTGTCCAAGTTTTCACACATTTAAGAAAAAGACAGACAGAGCTTTCATAAGGAAAGAAAACAACATTATCTCAATCTTGATTTGCGAGAGGCCTACATCAGTTTAAAGTCATTCGTTTTGTGCATCTTTCATCATTGGTGAAGGCATTCCGCGCTTTTTTCACCCAGTTAAGTCTTTCAAATTATTGTCTAAGGGTTTCATTACATACCCGAGGGCTTCCTCTATTAATCATTCTCAACGCTTTTCAATTTTCCCCTACTCACAATCTGACCAAGTTGCCGGTGATCCCGTAGTACTAGGCTTCCTTGGACTCCCTGTGCTCAATCCCAACTCATGGCTGATTATTTTTCAAAGTTCTGAAAACTGTAGACAGAAGAATGTCATATGTTTACCAGCTATTTCTTTTGCATTAGTCGCACCCCTTTCAAAATCAGCTTTCTCTCTTCTGCTGTCAAATCTGTCATGTCAAAGAAGGACACTGTCTGGTACACCAGGGGAGATTACTCTTGATGCAGTAGGGTTTATTCTTAAGCCTACAAGAGTTGCCTCCCATACTGGGTACCTTACTACAGATTGTAACCTATTTTACAATTCTAGTATCAGTACTAGGAAACAAAGATTTTCTCAATAATTTCTGGGAAAATAATAAATATAAAAAGATGAGTCCAGATAACCCTTCCTGTCAAAACGCCTTTATCTGCGCATGATCGTTCGCCGTTCAACTGCTCTTAGGGTGTACAATGAAAACTAAGTGTAGTCAAAGGTGACGTATAACGTGGACTCATCTTTTATATATATGGTGATCATATCCTGCCACACAAATTTGTACTAAAAAGACCCCCAAAACCACACCCATAAATGCATGCATGATCTTGTCATATATTTGCCTGATCCATCTAGCGATCATATGGCACATATTGAAAATGTCCATGGTTCTATGTTCAATATCATTAGAGATATGTATTCAAAGACAAAGGCTAGTGTTAAGCTAAACAATTTAAATGTTTCGGAAAATTTTGATTCTTTGAGTGGGGTTCGGCAAGGTTGCATTTTAAGTCCTCTTCTATTTGCGTTGTTTGTTAACCAGTTGTATACGGAAATAACTACTTGTGGTGACAGGGGCGTATTTATTGACCCATAGTTTATGGAATTGTATTTGCTACTGTATACAGATGATTTATGTTTGTTTGCAGATTTTGCCATCAGTCCTCAGAGGAAGATCAATGTATTACTACAGTTTTGTAAAAAATGGGGCTTGTCTGTAAATTCTGAGAAAACAAAGGTGCTAGTCTTTAGAAATGGTGGTAAATTAAGGGGTATGAATCATGGTACATGTACTTTGGTGATCATAAGTTAAATCGTTTCTACATATTATAATTATTTGGATTTATTGTTTTCAAATAGATTTAGATGGTCTAAAGCGGTTCAAAATCTGGTATATAAAGCGAATAGCGCCTTGTGCTCAGTTAAGGTTTTTGGTAGGAGACTAAAAACTATTTCTCCAACTATTTTGTTCAAAATCTTTGACGTTCAGATAAAGCCGATAATTTTATACGCTTCGGAAATATATGTTTTTCGGAAATGGCATGCTAGTGAACAGTTTCACATTAGATTTTGTAAGTATGTGTTGGGCGTAAGTTATAAATGCTCTAACGCTGCTGTTTTGGCGGAATGTGGTAGAAAATATAGTTATGTTGATAGTTTATTACGTGTTATGAAGTATTGGTTCAAACTTTTACGCTTTCCAAAGGATAGAAATCAAAAGCAGTGTTATATTATGTTGCACACTTTAGACAAATTTGGTAGGAAAACGTGGGTATATTTTGTCCGAAATACTTTGTTCAATTATGGTTTTGGTTTTGTGTGGGAAGCTCAAGGAGTTGGCAACGAGGAACAGTTTTTGAAATATTTTCATGTACGAGTTGGTGATTGTCAAAAGCAATTCATATTTTCAGAAATGCACAAATGTTCATCGCTTGGTGTCTATTCCAGTATCAAAACTATATTTTGATTTGACCCATATTTAACTTTATTGAAATATAAAGATGCGAGGCGTCGAATAATAATGTTACGAATCGGTGCACTTCCAATATATAAAAATACCGGTAGATTTGATGGAGTTCCGAGGCACCAAAGACTGTAATATTTGTAATGATAATTTTGTAGAAAATGAATTTCATTTCCTATTTGAATGAAAGGTTATCATAATTTTCGCTGTAAGTATTTTAAAGCATTACCAAATTACATAGATCAGCAATATTTTCTGAACACATTATCCTGTACCAAGTTTTGAACACTAACAAATTTTTCTTCTTACATTAAGGAAGCATTGTCATTGCGTTCTTTATACATATGAATCTGATTGTCAATTGCCACTTTCCTATAATTACACGTTTATTTGTATTGTACGTTGGCCTAAGGCCTTGTTACGAAATACACTTGATTGAATGATTGATTGCTATTAAAAAATGCATCGGACTTTACTTAATATGGAAATGTCATCCATATTCCTACCTTAAACTTCTCTGAGGGTTGTACAAAGTCTGCATATATCCTTTATGTTGAAGGTGCGAGCAGTGCAATGGTACAACCTCCATGCTTTGTGATCCTGGGACACTACTTCAAGAAAAGACGTGGCTTGGCAACAACGATGTCAGTATCTGGAGTCAGCCTTGGGGGGATTATCTTTCCTCGCCTTATTCGATTCCTCGTGGATGAATACTCCATTAGAGGAGCCATGCTTATTCTCACTGGGCTCAGCATGAATATGTGGATTGGGGCCCTGCTTCTAAGACCCCTGGAATCCTTTCAAACAACCAAGAAGATTGCGTCACTTGAAGATGAAACAGAAAAGGAACCAGCAGCAAAGAAATGTAGTAACTGTTGTATCCCTATACCTAAGCGAGTCAATATTGACTTCACGCTGTTTTCGAAACCATTGTTTCAACTGACTATGTGTTTTGCACCATGTGCGATAATTGTCATATTAATAGGGGAATATTTGCCTTCTCTGACAATGGAAAAGGGGATATCCAAAACAGATACTGCAACACTGCTTACGATTTTCAACGCGGTAGATTTCGTGAGTAGATTGTGTCTAGGCGCCGTGGTTGATCGGAAATACGTGAAGGTTTATAACCTGATGGCGATTGGATTGTTCATCACTGGAACGGTAAATCACTTCACTTGGTTCTACAACACGTTTCTACATCAGCTGGTATTCGTGGTGATCGTGGGACTATTTGGAAGTTTTTATCTTTGTTTGATACCTGTCGTTGTCGTGGAGTTTATGGGTTTGGAAGATATGGGGAAGACTCTTGGATTTATGTCCCTGTTCCATGGTATATCTGGATTCATCACACACCCGATTTTAGGTAAGATTATAACATTGTCATCAGAAATTTATTTCTCAATAGATAAACAATATAGTAATCATGAAGTGGAGGATGGCATTGTGTGGGGGTGGAGGTTTTGGGTTGGTGGGGGAATGTCACCTTCTGTAATAAGAGGAACACGACATTTCGGACCTCATCACATCGGGTATCACTTGTAAATGTCATTCAAAGTTCTCATGAAGAAGTCAGAATTATTCCCAGCTAAGTTGACGTCCATAACTTTCCGAGCATATGTATCCAACATGTATTTTATTACACTCGTTTTCATTTTAACACTACATAAAATGTTATATTATTTTAAACATTATATTTCCCCTTAAGTCTACTCCTCCTCAACTGACCTTCTTCCATTGCTCTTTCTCCAGCTCCATCAGCCTGCATCTCTGTTGTTCTGTCCCATCCGCAACCGCCTCTGTGGTGTAATGGTTAAAGCACCCGCCCGGAGAGCGGAATGTCGCGGTTATCGATCCCCGGCTGCGTCATACCAAAAGACGTTAAAATATGGTACTTGTTGATCGGCATTGATGAGTACAAGGACAGGACAGCTCGGAGTCAGTATAATGTGTCTGAATTAGGTATTCATGCTTAACTGCGGCATGGTATCTCAGTGAGCTCGCAATATAAAACCAGCTTAAGTCTTGGCTAGTACAAGCAGCCATATATGTACACACGCATGCACGCCGTCGTAAGTGCGACGTTAAACCCCATTCCACGCGTTCACTCCCTCCTTCTCCTGCCATTATTCTTATAAAATTCTAGGTAAAAGAACTTTGTGTCTGATCAGAGATATCTATTTTGCTGCAGGTATTTTACGAGATGCGACTGGTTCGTTCGATGCCTGCTTCAACTACATGGGATCATGTATATACTTAGGTGCTATTTTTCTCCTGCTCTCTCCCCTAGTTGTCCGGCTTGATGAGAAGAGAAAAGCTCTAAGGACTCAAACTGCATCAACTGCCTAATTCTTGTCCAATGTTTCCTTTGACAAACTAATTTTGGCATCACAAATAGTTAAAAATAAATAATCAGACGTTCTAAACTGAATTCGAAAACCAGCCAAGTAGCCTTGAGAATTTACGGATAATCTATATCCAAAAGAATTGGTCACAACTATGCACTGAAAGAATGTCACGTTTAGAAATATCACAGGAGAAATATGAATAAATAACCTCTTAAAGCCTGCTAGCTTGAGCACCTTTTGGGGGGTGAACCAAAACTGATAACGACCACGAGGTTTCCGGCTTAACTAGCTGCAATCTATGGATGTTTCCAAACAGGATAGATCCGTGATGATCTGGATTAGAACTGGTCTTCATCAACCAATGCTTTTCGTAAGAGGCGACTAACGGGATTGGGTGGCCATGCTCAAATGCTTGTCATCGCATCCCAATTGATCGATGTTCATGCTGTTGATCACTGGATACGGCTGTAGTGCGGCAAAACTAACTAATGTGAACACAGGACTTCAGCATCAGCATCCGATTCCTATCAACTGAATGCAAGAACCAGTCTGTGTATCTGCTTATATGTCCACTATATTATCACGAATCAACTGATCATCATCAGCCGGATGCAGATGGTCGAAAGCAGAACAGTATAAGAGTGGGTTATAGAAACGATTCCGTGTAACAAGTAATAGATGTGGAATTTGTATTTACCAGCCTATGTTGGGCGGAAACATTAGTGTAAAAGATTCTTTGCAAAGTCTAGAAACTAGTGTATTTTACGAAACCAATTTTAACAAATTATAAACTCCCACTATCCTCTCCGACACGAATGTGTGATAGGCAAGGATGTTTTGCAGTCCCCTCTCCGTGCTCCATAACCACACATCAAGGCAAGTTTGTGTTCAGTAGCGTATGATACACTGAATCTGATGATGCGGTATAGATGTTGTGTGCCAAGAATAAATTATCATGGAAAACATATTCTCGTCAAATTATGATTTTTATGAACGTCAAATGGCAATCATTTTCGTCTACTGCTGAGATGAGATGCGATACGTTTTCATGTGCGTCAATACTAACCAGATTGTACAATTATAAAGCAGAAAGGCATTCCCGTGGATCTTTGAGGCTCATGACAGACAGGGCTTGCGAGGATGGGAGGGTATGTCGTAGATTCCATCTTGCTGTCAGCTGTTCTGGATCGGTCCACCTGAGAGGATACATGAGTCTCAAAACATTCGAAGCAAATCTTGATCTACCACATTTTCAAATAGTAGTATTATTGTCATTTTAATGTGTGGCTAAAGCCAAGCATAGTCGCCAATGGCTGAAGGGATGGATTCAAACTAGGGTCCATGCGGGTAGTTAAAGTAGTGTAAGTCCCCATGGACACTAGTATGGTGATCTACCTTCAGATGTTGGTGAGATTATGTATTGTCCAAATAGCGCCATTAGTTTTAACTTTACATGCTAGTTTTAATTCTAACTGTGATAGTCTAGTTGTTTTACTCTCTTTGACGTCAGCTTTTATAACATACACATATTCTTTATCAACGTCAAATTTGTTCTCGTCGCGATATGGCTGTCACACTGCCGATGTGACGTTAAATATTAACTCACTCACTGTTCGGGATCGTGAAGGTTAACACTGAAACAAAGCATTGCAGTCGAAGATATTTAGTTATTGACAACCACACTAATGGCAGTCCAGAGTACAATTAAGATTTTCAGTTAAACAGAAATGGATCATCAGTTGTTATTGAAACATTGTATTAACCGCTACTCTTCGTCTCAGATGATGGATGAATGCATTGGTTTCTCGGTCACAAATACGACCGATTTCGATATTAATTTTAAAAGATGTTATCAGTAATTTCTGAAAACACGTTATAGTCATAGTTGGATATTTTGTTAAGGACACAATCGTTACTAATAGTGAGTAAGTGAGTTTAGTTTTACGCCGCACTCAGCAATATTTTAGCTATATGGCGGCGGTCTGTAAATAATCGAGTCTGGACCAGACAATCCAGTGATCAACAGCATGAGCATCGTACTGCGCAACTGGGATACGATGACATGTGTCAACCAAGTCAGCGAGCTTGACCACCCGATCCCGTTAGTCGCCTCTTACGACAAACATAGTCGCCTTTTGTGGCAAGCATTCGTTACTATTAAATTTCAACTAACAACTGTTAATTTCTTATCTAAGAGAGAGACAACAGTTTGACCAGGCTATTGTTGGTACGACGTCAGATAACCTTTAATACAGTGGATGACTCGGCACATAATGGTTTGGGTGTCGTGAACAGCCTACGTTTCATGTAACAAGTACCTGTTAAAATCATACAAATCATACACATAATATCTACCTACTCACCAACTACATTGCGGCAAAACTATTCCATGAAATGGCTCGAATTTTCGTTGAGGTAGCACTACTTTTGAGAAAAGTTCTCTTTCAAAAGGGAATGAAGTATGCAAATAAACTGGTGCTCAAAAGAAACAATACACCGCAAAATATTACATAGAAATCACTAAAGTAAAAATGAAGTGATAAAGCCATGGCCGCACACGTACAAACCCATCCTTTCCGGGAACAAACGGCGAAACAAGTTAACGAATCGCCTAAATGTCACAAAAATCTAAAAGGACGTTTTCTGATGTAACACGAAATGCACGTGGATACAGCCTACGCGACACGTGAGCAACACAGTAGTGAAGAGAACACCAAAAATATGCCACGTTTGAGGCAAATGGAACGAAAGAGAGCTGTCGGAATGACCCAACAAGGAGCTAGCCACGCCGTCATTGCCAGAACCTTCGGCTGCACCCGAGCAACGTCATCAGACTGATGCAACGACAGACAAACAGGCACTACGTCAGTCAGGCCTGGGGCTGGTGTGACAACTACGTGTGACAACGCCCCGTGATGATCGCCACATCCGGGCGATTCATCTGAGAAATCGTTTTGTAACGGAGACGTTAACGGCACCGACGGCACTAAAGTACTCTCGGAAATAGAAAAAACCCTGTTTTTTCACATTTATATCCATAATTTATGTAGTTAATATGTGAAAGTGTGAAATATATGCTAAACTAAGTTCGGCCTAACTACAGTCTGGGTGGTATGGAGATAGGAAACGCAAAAAAGGACTTTACTGAGGAGAGATTAGTGCAGAAATGAGCAATGTGTTTTTTCCCAAGTCCAATTCGACTTATTTGGAACAGACCTTGGCTTTATGCAAATTAGTGTGCGATGATATTGTATTACAAAGGACACTTTTTAAATGCCCATTTTGAAATTAGACTTAGCTTCATTAGAAACGATAGCTGCTGTACAAAATAATATTTTTAATTGTGAAACTCTTAAGGATGTATAGTTACCATGGAATGCTATCTTGGAACGGCAAACTGCACGACGGTATGTGGCATTGCTTATGTTCTGTCTCAGACCCTTCCGGAATGGAATTACGTTTAATTAAAATGGTAATACATATCATGAAAGTTCAAGATAATTATACTCATAGTCTCGACTTGTTAAAACACGCTGATTTTCAAGTAAAACTTCAAAGGCATTTCTCTTACCTCACACACAAATGTCGTTTTCTGATTGGCTGAACGCTCTTCTAATATATTTAACAAGCGAATAACATTTTCTATGTTACCCCTGGGAATGCCGAGCTGTGGGAATCCATTTGGTACTTCGTGTTGGTAATTCTTTACCGATGCTTTGCGAATGCAAATAGATGGAAGGGAGATAACTCTAAATTTGCTTTTCTTGTCGTCTGCTGGATTCTGTATCATCTGAAAATCTAGTACTTGCTAATCGCCAAACAGTTCAATTGCCTTACAGTGCATCAAACAGTTCAAAATTAACATTGAGATGTTCGGTACGATAAATACGTTGTTCACTGGTCCCTCGGCTCAGGGAACATAAACAAACATAGAGGGTACATGAACCCATGTCCCCATCTTGACCAGTGAACAACGTATAATGCATAGTGTCATCGCAGTATGTTACACTGACTCGTATAAATAATTTCATAAAAGGAGCGCTTCGTGTCTTCATTAAATGGGTGATATGGTGAAGAGATATTGAGAAAAAAATCGTCGAACGAATTATTCGTCCAACGAAGTTTGTAAAATAACCAGATTTTAGCTAGTTTGTAGTTGTACCTAACTGAAGTAACTCCCAAACGGTAATAGAGAATACGAATAGCTATCACTCCATCCAGAACTTCCACTTGCCTGAATATTAGCTGCAGACGAAAGAGTGAGACTGTTTTATGTAAACCATGTTGTCGCCAAGAATGAGAGTGTAACTTATTTGTGTGCGTTCGGAAAAAAGATGTCATCAGTCTTCTTTCTTTGACAAACTGTTATTTTGATATTAAAGATATACAGTATTTAAATGAGATATCGGCATCAATTGGCATGTACATCTCTGCGTAAGGCCAACAAGACCTGCATGTAACTTTGGAACGTGAACATACAACAACATGTAAATGCACATAATGTATACCCACACGACCATTGTAGTTGTAACTGAGTGAGTAAGTGAGCGAGTACGCGTTGCGCCTCTTTTAGCAATATTCCACCAATATCGCGGCGGGGGACGACGGGAATGGGTACCACACGTTGTACCCATGTGGGGAATCGAACCCGGGTCTTCGGCGTGACGACCGGACGCTTTAATTACTAGGCTAACCCACCGCCCCAATTGACATACCAGATTAACACAAATATAACAAATAATGTATAACACATTTACCCATATCATATACCGAGATCGCATTTGACATGGACACAGTGTTCAAAGAAAGTTACATTTACGAAAAGAGTACATATACTATTCCAACACAAGTGAGATCCCAACCCTTCTGTTTAATGATCGGCCTTCAGATGGGTCCTAAGAATCGGTCTTCAGAACCAATCCTTGTTGCAAAGAGGCGACTAACGGGATCAGGTGGCCAGCCACGCTGACTTGGTTGATGCATGTCATCGTATCCTAGTTGCTTAGATTAATGCTCATGATATCGGTCACTGGATTATCTATACTAGACCAGTCTCTATTTACGCCGTGATAAGGCTGGAATGTTGCTGAATGTGGCGTTAAACAACAAACAAACAAACCCAATGTCGCACACAAGAAATTCACCCGCTACTATCATCTGGAGGTGAGGTGAGGTGAAATTGGGTTAAACATAGTGCTTGAGAATATTTCGCTCATATGACGACGTGCATGCGTATGTGCGGCTGCTTGTACTAGCCCAGACTTAAGCTGGTTTTATAGTGCTAGCCCACTGAGATACCATGCCGCAGTGAAGCATGAATACCCCACTCAGACACATTATACTGACTCTGAGCCGACCAGTCCTTGTTGTAGCCATTAATGCCGAGCGCCAGGCAGGGACCAACAAGTACCATATTTTAACGTCTTTTGGTTTGACGCGGTCGGGGATCGAACCCGCGACCTTCCGCTCTCCGGGCGGACGCTTTAACCACTACACCACAGAGGCGGTCTACTATCATCTGGATACCAAGTCAATACAGGAGACGCTGGTTTATGATCATATCAAAGCTGTAAGTGGATCACATATCACAACCTATCAGTGCAGCTGTTCAAACAAACTAATCCTCATACCGAGGGCAACAGGTCAAGGATCAACGTACTACGTCTCGCTGACCTTACGGTCGTACCTTATCACCAGGTCAGGTTTCAGCTACTCGCTTCATGTTCTTCCCGATACCTCTATCCACAATCTGGGCTAATACGCAACCGTTTGGGCAACAATACTTTGTGTAGTAGAACGGAATCAAATCGACTTTTGTTGTGATAATAACGTTATAACAGTTGGCACAGTCTTGTTACCTTGTAGGATTGTTTCAACGCGTTCATATGGCATAAGCATAAATGCGACGTGCGTCGTAGACACATGTTCCAGTGACTGATGTTGGTTATTGTCGACGTAATGCAATTCCTTATAAGAATAGAATTCCACGTTTTGACATACGGTTGTATGTAGCTCGGCATAATCGACGTATCAGTTCTTGTATCGTTTGGCAGTACAGAATTCCTTTTTTATTACTAAACTCGACAGCTGAACATTGCTCGTGTATTCTTTCAGTTTTCAAAATCGTACAATTTATAACGAAAAGTGGATGTCGACATCTTCAATACAATTCAGTTGTACAATACGCTTGTCGTTGGCGTCACGTTGGTATGTGGTGTTACGCTGTCAATGCAACGAAACGTTTAGTATTAATTATCATTATCCTCGTTGTATTGCACGCGCACACACACACACACACACACACACACACTTACGGGTTCGAATATATATATATATATATATCTCGATATAACAGTTATTCATATATATTGATACAAAATAGCTTATATTTTGTTTGACGAGTTTGTCCCTGATGAAATAGTTCATACATACAATAATAGTCCAACTACAAGCACCTTGGACACGTTACACCCTTCTTCAAATTCAACTCCACGAATGTTGGCCTCGGTTTTCAATCCCTTTGAAGTCCATGTAAAGGATACTGCAATACGCACTTAGTCTACCTCGTGTCAAACTGATCAGCGCTCGTTGCAGCCCAGCTCTGCTGTAAGTGGTGTTCGATTTCCAAGTTCGCCCGATTATGATATTTAGCGAACCCGTAAGTTACGCAACACTTAAGCTGACAGGTCGCGATTTAACTTTCGAACTGATTAAACCCAGCTTACTCAGTAACACGGGATGTGATTAACACTGACTATCATGAATCCCACTGCACTTTGAATTGATAGTCAGGATAACGAATATCATTAAATCTGTGTGACCCATTTCTTTAAATGTCTTCTAAGTCATCAAACACACTTCACATATGATAATGCTTTCTGGTTCAAGCAAAACTGCTATCTCAGCATAAGGAAACTTCGATAGCACAAAGGTCGGTACATGGAGACATACCGTGGTTTGAAAGCTACTACAAAGCGAGAGATCACACACAACAGGGTATGCGTGATATATCACTGACAGACAATATATGTGGTGTTAGCTGTCCCAAGAGCCATTGTGTAGTGAGGATATGTTGCCAACCATACGTGAATGTTAAGTACCAGATAATGCAGATTTCACATTGACAACAATGGCTGCGTTGACCCAAGCCTACCAAGTCCTCATACCCTCTCCTATTTATACCTTCTCCTGTGCATTAGGATCAACTATTGAATATTCCCGGTTTTTAGGGGAGACGTACCAAAATCAGATCATCCTTCTGAATGTTGAACACAAAAGGGGGCGGTTGGGCAGCCTAGTGGTTAAAGCGTTCGCTCGTCATGACGAGTAAGTGAGTGGGTACGGTTTTACCCGCTTTTAGCAATACATTTTCTGTTTGCAAATATTAATGTAATGAATATAAATGTTGTTGTTTTTTTAAATAAAACTCTTTTGGACTTTTTTACATATGATATAGACTTGATCTCGTCACTATAAGGCAGGAATATTGCCGATGTGACGTAAAGCCCAACTCAAGTTTTAGTAATATTCTAGCAATATCACGGCATGGGAGACCAGAAATGGGCTTCCAACATGGGTACAATCGAACCCGGGTCTTCGTCGTGACGAGCGAGCGCTTTAATCACTGGGCTACCCCACCGCCCCTCGTCATGGCGAAAGTTCAGGTTCGATTCTCCACATGGGTGCCATTTGTGAGGCTCATTTCTAGTCTCCCCCGCCGTGATATTGTTGGAATATTGCTAAAAGCGGCGTAAACACACACTCACTCACTCACTCAAAACAAAAAAATCATATACCACCAGAAATAATACTTCAAACATAACTGACTGACTTTTAGTTTTACGCCGCTTTTAAATATTCCAGCAATATCACGGCGGGGGACACCAAAATGGGCTTAACATAAATCAAATGAATCAAATCAAATTTATCTGTCCTTGCAGGAGTAACTGAAAAATATCTATTTTAATGACTTGCCTCATGATTCATTATCATCCGCTGCTTGACCTCTGCCACGACGTGCATCGTGTACCCTCGACATGTAACTGCCTTTGTGTCCATTTTATCGCATTCACCTTTTCTGGCAACAAAGCAGTGGCCCCGACCACGTGTATCCCTCCCATTGAATAAATCATGTAGTATTTCAACTGACCCAGTTATAATCACAAAGGAAATTAAATACGTCGAATACACGAGGGATTTGTTCCTAGAAAACGTTCGGGTTTTTTTTCAAACTGTTTATTCGAAACAAAATCAATTATAACATTAATATCTAATGTTAACTGTCAGCAAAATGAAGTTTGACTGCGGTAATAGTTTAACGTCTCATCTAAGACAATAAAGGTAAGCTCATCTCTTTGTAATCAGAATTCATGTATATGATCCTATTGCTATGTACGTGACTAACACGACCCACAAGCACGCGGTAGCCGTTAGGTAAACGAAAGCGATAAGGATTTAGTGGGCGCACACAAGGTCACCTTACGTGCAGTATGGGACCTTTACCTTGGGGCCTCTATAAGAGTCGTTGTGAAGTGACGGTGTTAATCAGCTGACACTAGTCTGCGCTTCGCCATGACTGCTCAGGAGAACGGCAATGCTGGAATGGGAGGCGATACTCGTGAAGCCAAGGAGCATAACAGTGGTGACAATATCCCAGTAAATGTTGATAAGTGCTCGTATATTCGTGTACCTGATGATTACGTAAAGGCTCATGGACACGAGAGTGACAGCGTGGATCTTAAGGATGCGGACGGATTGAAGCTGTGCTCGGAACCTGATGCTGAGGATAATGATGGGGATGAGGAGGATGAGGATGAAGGTCTTCCTGTCGACAGAGGCTGGGCGTGGATTATTCTGGCAGGTATGGAGTTTGTTGCGTCATAAATATATTGAACTGGTAATTTGAAGGAAGGAAGTTATATGAACAAAAACATGCTGTAAATCTCGCCTATGGTATCTAGGGGTGGTGGGGTAGCCTAGTGGTTAAAGCGTCCGCTCGTCACGCCGAAGGCCCGGGTTCGATCCCCCACATGGGTACAATGTTTGAAGCCCATTCCGGTTTTCCCTGCCGTGATTGCTCTAATACTGCTAAACGCGGTGTAAAACCCAACTCACTCACTATGATATCTCCAAAAATATATATAGTCAGCTGATGTCGAATATGGTTCAATGCGCCTGAAACAACCCTGCAGTTAAATCCCAATGTGCGTAGGTGCGTGGGTGCGCTTGTGGGTTTGGGTTGCTATAGTCTAGACTAGTACTGGTTTTGTGGTGCTAGTCTACAGAGATACAATATCAAAATGTAATATGAATATCCCATGTTTCACATATACACATCGATGCTCATGGTGTTGATCACTGGATTGTCTGGTCCAGACTCGATTATTTATAGACGCCGCCTTGGTGCGGCGTTAAACAACAAACAAACAACAACAAAACACAAAGTTCGACGGATAAACAGCATGCGCCAGGCAGGGTGACAACAAGGTGCGAGAGTTTATCGTGTTTTTGGTGTAACTCTCCTCTCCCGGCAGAAGTTCTGTCCACTAGAGGCGGCCATAGTTCTTAACGGAGGTAGTTACCAATTACAGAGTGGATGTGTTTGGTTCCTATCCACTTGCAACATCGGTTATGCACGTATTCATTTGGGTAAAAGTAAGAATTATAGCAGACACGCTGAACAGCTTAAATCGATGTGTCAGTTCCCACACAATTTTACCAAGTTTGTGAAGATAACGATTACGACCTCAAACCAACAGTCAGATGATCATGGCTTGACAAAGTCTGCACTTCGTCCTACTGGGTCACCTTTGCTCACGTTCACATGAACAAACATTCGTTTTGTCCACCTCCGTTTTGTCTTGAAGTGGGGTGAATCCGTACTGTTCTAAATGTGGGTAGCATGTTGTGAAAACATAACACGTTTTTTAATGGATAACAACTTCTTCTCTATTCTGTATACAATAAAGAAGTTGTTATCCATGAAAGACGTGCCAACTAAATGACTTTCAAGAACTACTTTGTGAAAGTTTCGTTCTCAGATTTTACTAAGGCACAGGTGGCTCACATGACAAGTGTGTAAACAGGTATTGAACCTGGTTTGAATCCCAGTCGGCCATGACGTTTCTATGTTATAGTCTGTTTGCAGTGAAAACGTACCTATGAATTTCACTTTACACAAGAAAGTAAATCAAATAAAGTAAAATTAAGATTGCGTATCCTCATAATTTTACCTTGCCAATTGAACATTTGAATCTCAGGATTTTATTCATCATAGAATAAAAGTTGTTTAACAAACGATCATAGTTTCAAATAGCTATTATTGGTTTGTATTACAAGGGGGTAAGCGCAGTAGTTGGAACACTGAAACAAATGCACGTGCGGTACGTGATGAGCGTTAACTTAGACCAACCCTACTTGTTCTCGGTGTTTCATTTAATGTGCATACACCCTTGTAATACAAACAAATGATAACGATTTGAAACTATGATCGTTTGATAAACAACTTTTATCCTAAGTTTGATAAAATTCTGATATTTAAATGTTCAGTTGGCAAAGTAAAGTTATGAGGATTCGCAATCTTAATGTCACTTTATTCGATTTACTTTCTTGTTTAAAGTGAAATTAATCGGTACGTTTTCACTGCAAACAGACTATAGTCAACATTTACCCTTGCTCGTAGACTTCACCAAATTGGTTCACCTCTTAAACCTCCATTAGGGGTCATCGGTGGCCAGTCGTCGCATTTTGCCATACAGAGTTGCGTCCCCTGGGCACACCAGAAACCTATGTTTGTGAGTTCAAATCCCGCTTCGTCCAGAGTATGTTTCTAAGGTTTGTGTGCACCATACCCATGCTTCATAAATATTATAAGTTTCTCAGACTGTCATAATTCTGGGCTTTTCTCCATAATCTAAAATTCAAACACGCTCTATGTAATTGCACTGAACTGCGGCAAAAATTGACTTGAACCAAAACCACTCACTCACTCATATTTCAGGTGTAACGTTCTTATAGTACATTACACAGAAATGATACCAGTGATTTGTCTCGTCTATCTAAATACATTACAGTGATGATAATTATGACAATTGTTTGGTATATCCCACAAGTCTTGATCACAGTTTTTTTTGTTTTTTTTTTATTTCAAGGTAGTTTCATCAATATTGGCTTGATGATCGGCTATAGCCGTGGACTTGCCATGCTGTTTGTTGAGTATCTGAAAGTATTCGGCGCATCGACGGCTAAAACAACACTTCTAATGGGAGTCAATGCTGCGTTTTACAGCTTCGGTGGTAGGTATATTGCCATTGATTTATCCTTTTGAAGCTCTGGGTTTGGAAATATATCTTCCGCGCAAGTGATATACCGTTACTTGTACTAAAGTCTTGTATTGTGAGCACGAATCAAACACTACATCCACTGTGGTAGTGGTCATAATATCAACCACCGGTTCACATGGCCATCGTCATATTCCGTCTATCTACGAAAAAACGGAATAGTTGTTAACCATTTATATCAATACAACGCAATAAATGTGTTCCGTTATATTTCAATGTGATTATGAAAATTGTATCTCTTTCCTCAACGTTTAATTATATAAACATGTGATGCGTCACTGGTCATTACTATTCACACTGAGGCGATGGGGTAGCCATGTGGTTAATGCGTTTACCCATTACCCCGAATACTCAGGTTCGATACCCCGACGTAGATATTGCTGGAATATTGTTTAAAGCGGTGTAAAAGTAAATTTCCTATCAAGTAAAATGCCAGAATGTACTTGACGAATGCATCATAACCATTTCTTGTTTCAGCTCTTATTTCCATGCATATAATCGTCAGTTTAATCGGGATCAGAAAGACCTTACTTCTTGGAGCAACAATAACATGCATTGGAATGATGACAGCTATCTTCGCAACAAGCATCGACTTTCTTATTGGGACACACAGCATATTAATCGGTAGGTATATCAAACACAAGTGGATGTAATTTACACAACCTTATGCATATGCATGTAACATGTGTACCATATGTACCATAGGATACAGAGGAGAAGTTGGTTACAAATGGTGTACAGGATGCTTTGACTGCTGAAAGAGGCTAGAGAAAGATCGGATGTTCAGACACGATCATGAAAACTTACGGGTCATTTCACTTTGAGTACGAATGAGTAGGTTTACTTTTATGCTGCACTCAGCAATATTCCAGCTATATGTCGGCGGTCTGTATATGCCAAAGGACAACCCTGTTGCCACGACATTGTATTGAGAATCTTGCTCATAATACTTACAGTGATTTTTCTATACATGCATACTCGGTGATATACCTGAGATATATTTCTATATATATTATACACGTTTCATGTTCATGTGTCTTTTTTCAGGCCAATAGCGTACTGAATTTATCAAGCTTCAACATTTCATTTTTCTTTCATTTTCTTCCAGGACTCGGGAACTCTATGATTTATGGACCATCTATGGTAAACATTGGCCATTATTTCAAGAAACGCCGAGGCCTGGCATCAGCAGCCGCAATGTCATCAGTCAGCTTCGGCGGGAGTGTATTTCCGCCATTAGTTAGATATCTCTTGGATGAGTTCGGTCTCTTTGGTACCATGACTATTCTGACCGGTATTGTCATGAACATGTTCGTCGGGGCTGCCGTCCAAAGACCATTGGAATCGTTCAGAAAGAAGACACCTGTCAAAAAACCCCACAACGGAAAAGGATATAACCCCACATCTCAAGGAACACCCCAAATCTTTGGTTATCAGTGAGTTAAAGAGGAACGAGATCAGTTCTAGTGGTGAAAGGAGTCTGCTGAATTCCAGAGAAAAGGACATCAATGTTCAGAACTCTACGTCAGATTCCCCCTTCCTTGTGAGGAGATTAAGAACAGATTCCGATTCCAGTGCAATGTCAAAATCAAAACGAAACATACTTCTTTTCACCAGCCAGTCCGATTTCGGGTCCCTTGCAATGATCAACATAAGTGTTCAAGACATTGATGCTGTTGAAAGTGTTGGGTCCGCGAACAAGTCAAAGAAATGCTGCTTTTATATTAAAAAGGCTTTGTCATCCCTCGACTTCTCACTGTTCAAGAAACCAATGTTTCGACTTATCACCATTGTGGCTTTTTTCAGTGTCCTTATAGGCGTCGTTCCAGTGTATATTCCTGCTTTGGCGAAAGAGAAGGGTTTGGATCAGACGGATGCAGCTCTGTTCTTAACAGTTGCTGGTGCAGTTGACTTCTTTTGCAGGCTCCTGGCTGGGTTCCTGATTGATCTGGGACATATCAGTGCCCACACCGTTATGGCTATTGGGTTAGCCATTGCTGGAACATTGACGCAGTTCACTTCCTTCTACAACTCTTACGCTTTAATGATGATGTTCACTGTGACAATGACTATGTTTTCCTGTTCATATTTTGCCCTGATTAACGTGGCAATAATTGATTTCATGGGACTGGACTACCTTGGAAAGACGTTGGGATTTGTGTCCTTGTTTCATGGAATGTCCATAGCTATATGTCACCCTATTGTAGGTAAGACGACTATTGTGATACGGAATCCTTACCACATTAATTTGTTAGATTGAAGACTTCAATTTTAAATGTGTCCTGCAAGGGGAATGAAATGCATCACCTCGTGCAATGTATCGGGTCGTTTTCAGTGACATCATCAACATCTGTTTGTGATAATGTTTCAGGGAGTATTCGTGACGCAACAGGGTCATACACCTGGGGGTTCAGCTTCATGGGAGCTTGTGCCTACGTCGGTGCCGCCTTGCTACTCAGTACACCTCTATACAAGAAATGTTTTCTGAAGAAACCCAATGAAGACAGATGCAATGACGTAGCAGAGTAACTCCTAACAGACACCTATCTCATCCAGACCATGCTCCTGCTTGCAGCTTCAAGGAAATTTAAGAAGTCGCAGATTAACATCACATAACGAAAGAAGTGCAAATATTTGCTGTGTTCCCTCACAGCAGGTCTTTGGGAATGATATGAATACATTAATAATATGACAGCAGAAATGTAACAGCAACCAGTAGACTTTCGCTAAGGTGAAGCTGTTTAGAAAGGTGTCTAAAAGTATCGTCGAATTTATGATGGCATTCCTGAGTTTGCCTTCAACTTTCTTGAAGATAAATAAATGTGTGAAATGTATATCTAACGTAATATCCAGGATCAGGATAGGGCACCCCTACTTCACATTTCCTTTACTGGACTAAAATGGGGTTAAGGGACAAGGGGAGGCAGGGCAATGAAGGTCGCTCTTCCTCGTCAGTGTCAATAGCAGAAAAGCATTAGGTGTGCTTGGTTGGTTGATTGGTTGGAAAGTTGTTTAACGCCTCAATCAGCAGTATTCCAACTATATGGCGGCGGTCTGTAAATAATGTCTGGACCAGACAATTCAGTGATCAATAGCATGAGGATCAGTCTACACAACTGGGATACGATGACATGTGTCAGCTTCATCAGTCAGATGACCACCAGATCGCCTTTTACGACAAGCATGGGTTACCGTGATTAGAGTGAGTGAGTTTATTTTTACGCCGTTTTAGCAATATTTCAACAATGTTACGGCGAGGAATACCAGAATAGGGGTTCCCACATGCGAGGGTCTTCGGCGTGACGAGCGAAAGCTTTAATCACTAGGCTACCCCACCGCCCAAGGTCAGTATCGGTCAGTCTGAATGACCGAAACCTTGATGTTGACGTTTGTCGTGGCATTGTCTGTCATCACAACACATGCTCCAAATGGTAAGTCGAACTGTTTCCCATCATTCACCACTAACGACACTTGGGATATAACCTTATTCTAAGCATACTTCCTACTTCTGTGCAACAGCGGTTTCATTTCCTACAGTTACAAACTGAGAATGAATTATTTGGGAATTCGTATCGACAAAACTTGATTTTGAAAAATGATAAAAAATAATTCCTCCCTACTTTTTATAACTTAGTCACTCACTCTTCTTTCAGTATCTTATAGAACAAAATGATGTTGCATATGAACGCCAAATATTTAATCAACTCTCGATGCAGCAGGTACATCGATTAGTGTGAAACCTTGAATTCACGTATATACTTCTGAGAGTTTAATATAATGATGAATTTTGTTAACGGTGAACTTGATAATCGATCATCGATTATGTCAGACTGATTCCTAAGAATGATTGGATATCAGGAGATAAGTGTCCCATTACCGAATAATAATACAAATTCATCCGCTGGGATTCAGTATCAACAGGATTCGGAACACAAATGTGTCATTCCTTTATATATTACACTGCATGAGTCATTGTTTTTCTCTGTAGTTGGTATCATAAAGCTTCAGGATATAACTAACTCAGGCATGTTTTTCCTGTACAAAACTATGTAAAAAAAATCCTTTTTAGTAAATTTCTTGAATTATTTTTTTCCAAGCCTTGGTTCGGTGGCCGTTAAGAACTGCCTTTAGATACAAAAGAGCATCGGCCCTCCTTAGATACAATGTCTGAGGTTTTCTGCTTTTAAAACACGTTATATAACTGCAACATCTAGTACTTAGTGGGGTACCCTAGTGGGTAAGCATGCCCTCGTCACGCTGAAGACTCACGTTCGATTCTCGACATGGATAACATGTGTGAAGCCCAATTTTGGTGTCCCCCCATCGTGATATTGCTGGAATACTGCCAAACGCGGCGTAGAACTAAACTCACTCACTCACTTCCCTACCGGCCTTTTGACCACCGGTACCTACACCTAAAAACCAACATGAAATTTTAGTTTACTAAATTAACATAATTGATTGAAAAAAGTATCTGTGATTGATATAAAGTTCACTGAAACTATATAACACAATACTGTTGCTTTAGAGACGCAGTTTCAGAAATATAATCCAGAATTTTATTTACCATTCACATCACAATGTATGAAGCAAACTTATATTTTCCGCTGGTACAATATTTCACTACTAAGCAAATGTATGTGACATGTAAGACTACGCAATGTTTGTGAAGAATGAGCTAATTTTCTGTCATTCTAATCTGCCACAGCAGAGATACGGCACTGACTGCGCCTAGTTCTGTATGGTAGCTGCAATATATCATCATGGAGGATACGAATATAATTAGACATGTCAGGTATTAAAACGGCATTTTCAGTGAGTGTTACTGTATAACATCGAGGAGTTGAGGAAGAAGCATTATATGTGTGGTTCAAACCTTTCAAATATATTTAGCCTGTGAAAAATTAGCGAAGGAATACTTCATTCAAAGGTTACTTATATTGTAATTGGGTCTAGATTTGCTGCAAAGTAGTTAGGACTAGACCAACATCGAGAATATTAAATTTCGAGGCAACATGTGTTTGCTCTAATGTATGAATGTAGAACCACAGTGCAAAAGAATACACCGTCTTGACTAAGCTCGGAAATAAATTCCGTTTGGTGTAAAGGAAGAAATAGCTATGAAAATACTATAAACGGATGTCCAGATGTCGGTGAAGAGGGTAGATGCCTTACTGGTACGCTTTTGAAGTTCCCACAAAGAAAGATAAAAACACTTAATTGAAGATGGGTATGCTTGAACTTGTTATTGCAAATCTCCATTGCCACAAATTATAGCGGTGTACACGACATATGTGACAAGCATATAAATATTTCGTGATACCGTAAGCTTGAAGTCATGTAAATATTGAAACGATGATCTGCATGGACGTGGATATTTACATAAGGGTCATACATGCATGTTATTCAAAAGGAGGTCAGGTTCTTGTTACACTCAACTATGAATATTTACATAGCACAGCAACAAGAGATTTGCCGTGACACATAAAGGTAGCGGTTGAATTATGTATTGGCTAATCGTACGACAGAACATTATTCACACCTGCCATTTGCCTCATCGGGACGTGATTATGCATTTAAAATGGTCAGTTTGAAAACAGATGTACATTACACAAGCAGTTACACCTGTTTTCACAGAGAAAGAATGAAATTGATCTCCAAAAAATGTATGGCAAAGAATGGCGCTTGATTTGGCTCTTTATCAGCACGAGTTTTCTAAATGTCCTATTCTTCTTAAATCAAGAAAAGTCTTCCACAAACCACGAATAGGGTATACGATACACTTTCATCACAGGCCACAGTAAAGACTTGTATATAACCTGACAATTACACATGGTGGGATATCCATACCGTTTACACCATGATGATATCAAAACATAGAGTATTATCTAAGAGATATCTATTGTGGTAGGGGAAAATGGATGACGCGTATAGAGCATTGTTCGATTTTTCTCTGGTAGTAATTTCCTGAAAACATCCTATTATCAAATGAGCAATTGCAAACCTCTTTTGAAGATGCATTCGACTTTCCGACTGTGTAGATCGGTTTTAATATGCTGATCTTGTTTGCCACACTTCTCAGGACGATGTGCAAAATTTGGATTGTAAATTAGTCAAACTACTTATTGTATATTCATATGTGTATTATAGTATACCGTGGGAAATATTAAGGCTGGAACGTTTGCATTAATCGAGATAACACATTTGTATTTTAAAATTAACAACTAAAAGAGATACAAGCATCAACAGGTTCAGGTGAAATTTTGCCCAGTGATCTCAATAATCTTATAGAGATGAGAATTGTTTGACAAGAACACAATCTATTTAAGCTGTTTGGGCATAGGAGATAAAACTAAATCACTATTCTTCTGAACACTTATCACGAACCCAATGAAGCTAGAAGGTTTTGATGCCTCTTTTCATTGAACAGAATAGATAATTGACCAGTTCGTAGAATGCAACCATATGCTCCAGTTCGGTCACATTGACTAACCAAGAAATAGTTTGAAAATAATTCGGCAACAGCTAAATATTTGTTCACTTTCATAACAGGCCACAGTACAGAGTCACATATATCCGGACAATTCCACATGGTGGGATACATATCTATACCGCTTACACCATGATGGTATCAAAACATAGACTATTACCCAAGCGATATCTGCTGTGGAAGGAAGTAATGTATGACGTATAAATCATTGCTACTGCTTTTTCCCAGAAAGTGATACCCCGGAAACATCCTATTATCTATTGAGCAATTATAAAGAATATCATTTCTTGAAGATACATTCGACGTTCCGAATTTGCATTTTTTGTACGTTCTGGATATGCTGATCTTGTTTGCCACGATTCTCAGGACGATGAGCAAACACTGGATTGTAAGTTAGTCAAAATACTTCCCTGTTGTTATTCGGAGAGCTTCAAAGTGTATTCATAATGCATATTATAGTATATCGTGGGTAATATTAATCCTGAAACATTTGCATTAATCAAGATAACATATGTTTGTATTTTGATATTAACACGTAAACACACACACAAGCATGAACAGGTTCAGGTTACCTACTGACCTTAATACTCTTTGATATGTGAAACTTTTGTGACTAGAACACTATCTATTTAACCTGTTTCGGACCATGAAATAAGACTAAAAGAGTATTCTTTTGAACAGTTAGTCCCGAACCCAATTAAACTAGAATTGGCCAGAACATTTAGAGGCCTTTTTGCTTAGAACAAAGTAGTTGACCACTTCCTAGAATGTAACCGTTACATTGATTAACCCACAAATACTTAGAAAATTCGGCCACAGTAAAATATTTGTTTATATCAAAACTACTACAAAAGAAACAGTTTATAGACAGAAGAAGATGCCTGTCCATCAAACTATCCTTAGACACCAGTAGCCTGTTACACACACCACTGTTTGGTTCACAAGATGTACATAATTAATGAAATGAGGACAACCTTTACGATTCATTATGGTTTTCAAAGTCCTATGTATGACAATGATAAAATGCATGTTTGGGTCTTAAACGCGTAAGTGAGATAACCATACGAAAGATAGGATTATCCCTGAGTGCTCATGAAGAATGTTTTTAATAGAATTTCACCCGGTTGATGGTCATCCGAACAACCAATCTTTTGTCAATCACTTCATCAACACATATATAGAGGCTGATATTCTACACCAGTCCCCTGCACAAGTAACCCAATATCCCGCCCTTTACAAAGTATATAATAGAGCATGGGGGCTTAAGGCACTGGTACCACGGGCTCCATAGCAACAGTTTTCAGCCAATATCCATGGAGTATGTTGTCACATGACAAGGGCAAGAGGGACCCCAAACCTGAAATCATCCTCTTTCTGACAGCACTGTCGACGTGGCAACTTCCCATATCAGTCTGTGGATTTCATTTTTTGGTAAGTACACCAGTTTGTCCAGATGGCAACTGAGTCTTCTGTGCGAAATTGAAGTTATTTCATAGTATTACATTAACGTGATGAGTAAATTGTGTGCTGCTTTTGAAGGAATGCATTGGCTAATTGCAAAATAAGTATTAGGTCACTGTCATCAGTGATTCTTGCTGTGCCAAACTGGCGAAATGTCACCCATCTTTGACTGTAGAAACGTGCCGGCTATGGGAGGAATAAATGACATATATTCATTGCAAAATATATATCCTGATGGACTTTCATTTGAGTAAAGTACTTTGTGCGTTTAGCGATGACTTTCTAATTCGATCGGCAAGTCAAAACTGTCTCTAATTTATTGCTAAATTCAAAATTCCGTTTATTTCAAACTTCTTGCTGTAAACAACAAAACAATGTTGCCATTGTATTCTAAAATAAAAACGTGGCTGTATAATTGTCCCTGTTTCCACACTGTGTTCTCAGTCAAAGCATCATGGTTTCATCTGGAAGCATGAAGTGGCAGTCATGCTCCCTGACCACTGCTGACCTCTCCATTGAGCAGCACATAACTTTTGGCTGTCTTCGGCTATCCTCGGCATTCTTCGGCTCAAATCCGGTTGAATTACAAAATGGCTGCAGTGGGTATATACAAGTCAAGGCTCGATTGTCTTTTTTATTTATCTTAACATAGCACAGCCTACCAAATACTGATGTCATCTTATCTGATATATCTGTAAATTCATACTAATTGATACCACATCATATCTGCAGCCTAATCGTATGGCATTCGCATATTATTGCAGTCTTCAACCTTTGTTTATTTTCTGCAAAAGGTAATTTCCTCGTTCTCTTCCCGTTTGGCGTGACGCAATCAAATGATGACAACAGTCTTAGCACTGACCATCATTAAAACCTATAAATTGATTCTGTGACATCTTAATCGCAGTTTTTAGTTGCTGAATATGTAGTATGTTCCTTTTCTTGAAAGTGAATTCACCTTGCATTCAATGACACAATAATGAATTATATTATATGGTAAATGATATACCTGCTAATTGTAATGATATGAACTATGTAATATCCATTTCTTACACCATTAGCAATATATGTACTATAAAGTGGTGTTCCTGCAAGGTGTCATACCGGTGCCAGCCCCATTTGGAGTGGTGTGATCATCCAACAGGCATACCCAATTTCTTTTAGCCACTATTTCTACCACTTAGAATATGATTGTATAGCATACATATTCCTAATGTGATGGGTGGAAATATTGCCTTACTACGGGTTTATGTATGTATTATTACATTTTCCATTGGGACTTTCATCTCACCTCAGGTGGGGTCCTATATGTATGATCTGTTAGAAGGGAAATGACAATTCTTTTGGGTGATTATGTTAAAAGCATTTAGATAAAAGCTCCTTGGGACTGAGTGGTCACGCATGCACCTATACTTTTTACACCAGTAATGTGTGTACAGATTCTTTTATACTATCGTTTTCTCCAATACCTATTAGCGTCACATCCTGTGTATTATTCGGATTATTGTGAACTCTCATAACAATGTATCACAATGGCTCTTTCTGACTGCATTGTCGTGGTGGCAACATCACTTATCAATCTCTGGATTGCATTTTAGTGTCATCTGGACTGTGTAGTCGGGACTTGCAAAACTGTAACCAAGACTTGTATTAAAATATATTATTATTATTATTGTATTTTTGTGTTGTGTCATCTTTGACTGGAGTACTTTGCACACATGGCACACTTGCCCATCCCTTTCCCGTGAGACGTAATTATTACTGTTGTAATTCACAAGGTCTTACACGTATTGTGTTGACCATGTCGAACGCCCACGGGGAAATCAGTGTAAGATAACACAGTGACTTGTTTCAATCCATCCGATCATTGTAATATTTGGGATTGCATTTGTTCATATGGTTGTGAATACTGTGAAACATTTGAACTATTGAATATCGTGCAAGACATGTTAATTATACTTTCAAATTGGCTTTTGACCTGGGCAGAGGTTGTCGGGAATGTTTGTCATAGTTTCGAATCCCAATTTTGTTATTGATCTGTAAAGGCTAAACAATTAGACGGGTTGACTGTGTATCTTTAGGTGAATCAATTTAACGTAAACGAAAAACGAATATTTCAAAACACGAATATATAAATTGAAAGAATTTTCTTTGTTTATCATTATGTAGTTATTTCTCATCATATTGAACTGCTTGTGTATGAAACTATCTGAATAAACATGTAAGGTTTGTCCAAAGGAAGAGATATCATGGTAATTTCTTTTTACGGTTCTTGTAGAAATGCAGTTACAATTTGATATCCTTTGATCACAATATTTTTTTCCGAATATATATTCATTATATCACGGAAAACAAAAAGGGTGATTTGTAAAACGTTTATGACAAACTCGCACCTGGGGAATCATAATACATCATTATTTTGTCTATTAACCGACAAATTCAATGAAGAATACAATTCCTGTAAAAATGTTTGCATATACATTTCATAAAATACATCAATCATTAATATAGTCAATTTTACTTATGTGGTTAACTTTAATCGCTGTTCATTAACTTGACGAAGGGGCAAGGAAAAGCCCAGAAACGTTGTGTATACAATAAAGAAGTTGACATCCATAATAATTTGTCTTGTTCTACTTCACTGACTTCTTCATATAAATTTACAATACTGCGTATTGCGCATCATAGGGACTTCGTAGATATAAGAAATACGTGGTTCACCTCCACTTGCTCCGTCTGTCCTGAATCACGTGAAGGAATGTCATTGAACTGTGTTCGGGGTACCGTGTGTTATGAGCCACAGTTTTGAATGGGTCAAGCAAATAGACACTTGACCCGCGGGACAATGGGCAGTATATCATGAGTCGGCTCTTTAGGGAAAACACGTTCTCGTTCTAGGTCAGGTTAGCGTTTTTAAAAAGGTCAATAGAAACTGGTGATGCTACGTCATAAAAGGTAGACTGGGTGTTACTTGAACGAGTGACCGACTAAATGCGTAATCTGCACTATGGCTACTGCTGAGTAGTGTTTTCTCTTTTAGCATAAATGTTTCAGAAAAGACAACAGATGTGGAATATTTTCAATTCAAATTTCATTGTACAAACTGAAAGAAATGCTCGCATTCATACATGTTTCAGAAAAGGTTTTTTTGTCTGTCCCGGGGGTCCAAACTTAGCTGGCAAGTACAGACTGATACGTTCTTTTAATATTGGTTTGTAGATGTGACTGGGGTTATGCCGTTTCGACTTTAGTGATTTCTGATCAGTTTTCAGTACGTGGGCAAATCCTTATCCCTTTCTGTGTCTGGCTATGATGATTAGTATGGTGGTGTTTGGTGGTGGTAGCGGTTACTGATGTGAAGATTCCTCTAATAGTCTTGATCAGCTGATTAAGTCTTTCGATGAGTGCTTCCATTTGAGATATGAGTCCACAGTCGTTCTGTCCACGAGCAGTTATCTGTCTTCTCTTAGCCACTGAGTTTACACTACTCTTTCTTTTCTCGCTTCGTCCTGATCTAGTTTTATGCGGATATTTCCTCTTAGAAGATGTGGAACTGTGTTCGACGAATGTATCTTGTGTACTGATGTTTTTAACCATGATGTCCTAGTGTCTTGCTTTCACGGCTTTGTAGTGATAAACTCAAGTAGATGCTCTGCAATTTACAGGAGTCTCGAGTGCCTGGAGTGTTAGGGAGGCGTCGTCCATATAAAGCTATATCGCATGCCTTGCGTTAGCCGTGAGTTGCAACGTGGGGGGGAAGTGCCGTGTCTAGAGTGAAATAAACTATTTATCCTTAGAGATGCGATGCTTAGACACAATAGAAGTACTCAACAGATTGGAATCTTCCACAAACCCTACTACCACCCTTACAATGTACCCTGCCACCAGCACCACCACCGCAATCCAAACCGTTGTCAATAACACCACCACCAATACCATCAAAAGAAGAAGTACAATTATTTCACTTCGCTCTACCAGCTACCGGAAACTTAGTATGTCCTTCTTCCAGGGGAACATCTGTATTCTTGTAGTTCTCTTGGAAAGACACATCTACCCGATCGCATTGTATGGTCCTACACTCAGGGGCAACGCTTATATATTATGACATCATTCAACAACATATAGGGAACGCTGAATTTGAAAAGGGCATCCCCACCAATCTACAGGACGACGATTATTTTGACTCTAGTATCAAAAGCTGTCTGATACTGGATGACTTTATGATTGATTTGTTGTTGTTAAACGCCGCATTCAGCAATAATCCAGCTATATGGCGACGGTCTGTAAATCATCCAATCTGGACCAGACAATTCAGTGATCATCATCGCGAGCATCCATGTATGCAATTGTGACCCATAACATGCAAATATTCTGGACATCCAAACAAGAAAGACGTCTTTAAAGATGATTTCGCCTTTACAGTTCTGTTGTTTCTTGCAAGGGCTTGATTTCCGCTTCGTCTTTCAAAGTGTCTTCCTTTAGGTGGCTTGTGGCACGTCTTGTCAGAACGGGTACAAACAATAGAATGATTGCTGAAGCATATGCACATGCACCAAGATAGCTGAAGCCCGCAGTGTACGAACCAGTGAAATCGGTTAGGCTACCTGTAAAAAAATATCGTGGAAATATAACTGCCCAGAACAATAAAATCTAACTCCTTTATGGTGATACCTCATTTGAAACGAATTACTTTTAAGTCCCTACCTCAATTACCTTTGCTATATACCGTTTTTTCACGAACAGATAACAAAATAGTTCGATATTTTTGTTCAAACTTTAAGACTTCAGGCGTAAAAAGCGTCTCGGTACTTACGTAAGGAATGACATTTATCTACTTTTTATTCTAAGAGTTAATGTTTTGAGATTATAAGTGCATGCCCTGTAATATATTCTCAACGAATAAGCTACGGACCACCCCAATATTCAATATTTAAGTATTATATGTTTCATAATATTAACTATGAAATACTTTAATATTGAAAATTGTGGTTGTCCTTAACTTTTTTGTTGAGTATATAGGACGTGTTATGCTTACCTACAATTGGGTGTGTTACAGCCATTGACACACCATGGAAAAGCGACACAAAGCCAAGTGTCTTCGCCATGCTGGGCAATCCGAGGAGGTCTACAATTGCTACAGGTATCAGGCAAAAGTAGGAGCTGGCGAACATACCATACACTACAGAGTATATAAGCAATGTCACATAAGAATTAAAAAAGACTGTGAGGTGGGTAACAGTCCCAGTAATTATAAGACCAATTGCCATAATCGTTGTAACTCGCAGGATTTTAGTGTCTGCCAAAAACCCATAAAACAGCCGGCTAAAGAAGTCTATTGCTCCAGAAATGAGCAGAAATATTGCAGCGTTGCTCTGACTGATGCCTTTTTCTTTCGCCAAAGCAGGCAAATATACAGGCACAAGACCTATGTTTATTCCAAAATACGAATAAAAAATAACTAACAAAAACACAGGATTCTTGAACAACGAGAACTTCAATGTTGAAAGTACTTTCTTAATGTAAAACGCAGCATTTCTCGAGGAGGCAGCATCCTGTTTACTGTTGTCATCAGCTGTTGGTGATGCTTCATCTTCCTCTTCAACACTCAACACTGGCACTGAACCAAGCTCGGCATTGCTTGCATACATACGGTAGTTTGTTTGACTCGTCGCTGACAGTGGTCTGCTAATCCTTCTAACGAGTGTAGGTGAATCTGGTAAATCAGTATTGAGGAGCGAATACCCTTGAAGTGGGGACCTTCCCATCAATTCAGACGTAATAGAACTTGCACTAAGAAATTTCTCCGGATTCAGTTTTCCAATTTGTTTTATGTCAAGTCCAAATGAACGCCGATTTAGTTTGGTATCTGACGAATGTCTGTCTTGCTTTGCTTTTGCTTTTATTCTTTCATGTTTCTTTTTTCTTTTGTACGACTCTAGTGGTCGGTTCACCATTCCCCCCACCCACATGTTCATTGTTATTCCGGTGAGTATTATCATACTGCCCCGTAATCCATACTCGTCTAGAAGGTATCGTATCAAAGGTGGGAACACGCTGCTGCCAAAGCTTATTCCGGACATAGCTATTGCTGTAGCAAGTCCACGTCGTTTGTTGAAGTAGTGCCCAATGAGAACAAGTGCAGGCCCGTAGATCATAGAGTGTCCCACGCCTGAGTATAGAAATGCATAACTCATTAGTGAATCGAGTTGATAATTGTTGATAATAGGAATATGCACAATGCGTGTCGTGATAAGAAAATAGATCCAGCTGTATTACATATTGGTTGACTAAAGATACTTTAATCAGGATTACACATATCAGTATTTTGAGACTTCGAGACTTCGAGTACGATTACATGCAATCAACAAAGCTAGACTCATTATGTCGCTTCTTTCGACAATCGTATCTTGGTGTATCTTCAGCCCCAAAGTCTTCGATCATCCAATCTGTATCCCTTGTGATGACATAATTACTCTCAAGCATGTCCTGCTTGACTGTATTCATTTTTCCATCACAAGGGATCAATGTTTCAGTGTAAAAACAATAAAGGATCTTTTAAACCATGTCATTTATCATTCGATTGTGTGGGTATTTTTTAAATAAAGAAGAATTAATTGTTTGAAAAGTTTTGATAAACATGTTTATGTCTTAGATAAATAGCGCAATCGCCAGCGGCTGAAGTGATGGTGTAAATCCATCTAGGGTCTATGCAGGAAGCAAACGTACCAATGGTCCTTAGTATTGTGATCTACCTTCAGTTGTTGACGATCTCTAGCTTGTTATATGTTGTATTGTCTATAGTTTGAGATATGCATGTTTACACCTGTATCTGTACCTTCTGTCTGTTTTTAAGGTAATTCGTAGATTGGCCTTTATATTCTTGGTTAATGTGTCATGAATGTATATCTTGTTTTAGTCACTTTATGGCTGAAATACTGCCGATGAGACTAGAAATTTTAACTCACTCACTCACAAAATTCTTAACCGAGATTAAACTGTTATGAAAGAATTTCAGTATACCTCCATATGACAAAAGAATATCCTTACCGATAAACACGCTGTGTGTACAAATCAGGTACGTGATACTTGTAGGGAAGATAGCCATTGCCATGGCAGCAATAGTGAGGGTTGCTCCAAGCATCACTGTCTTTCTGACTCCAAGAAGGTCCACCAGGACATGCATAGATATCAGTGCTGGAGAAGAAAATGGATTTACTTTATTGTTCACAGCAAATAGGCAGATGTCCACCCAGATATCCCTACAAGCATAATATGCTTAGCAATACAGCGAAAGAAAGAAAATATTAATGAGAGAGTCACATATTTTGTAGACTTCATTCTAAAAGGCGGCTATAACAGCATAGAACAATGAAATATGAATGTATAACATTCAGTCGGATATGGCGTACGAGGCACTAAACATAAGACCATTTACATAGAATCATCGATCTGAATAAGCACAGTGCCTGATGTTGAGTTGAGTTGAGTTGAGTTATGAAATGTGTACATACGCCCGCACACACAGAGGCCTCCATACACGCATACTCTCAAGCACAGACACACTCAGACACATAAATCATACACTCACATGCATTCATACACAAGCACGTCAACATGCATACTCATGAACATACATGCAATTATAATCATAATCACATAAATTGCCTGCATACATGCATACTTGCCTTAATTCTTATTTTTTAATATTTTTGTTATTGTTCCCAATTAGTTGAATACAAACATACAGAAGAATATGTGTACATTGGTATAAGTACCAGCTTGTGGGCAAAGTAGAGATATATTAAATATAAATATCAACAGCAATATGTTTTGGTTAAATAGGTATTCATGATTAAATATAATTTGGGAGACGATGAGCAATTGTCAACAGTTGAAAGCAACCCAATAGATAATGAAAGAAATTATAATTAAAGGAACATACAATTATGTATTAATAGAAGAAGGAAATGCAATGTATTAGTGAGAGCGAAATACTGATAGTCCACACACCACAGGCTTCAGGTCTTTTAATTTAGAAAATTTGATTTTAATAGAAATCGCCTCCATACAGCACATTGCCTATTCGACGATCACATGTTCTGCCACACCTTACAACTCGAGAATCGTAATGCTGCCAACATACGGCAATCGAAACTGTGCAAATTTCGATGGTCAGGTGTGAAGTTTTAGTTGAGGTCCGATTCCCTCTTTTCATGACTTCGAGACGAACGTCAAGCCAATATCAGCCTGAGACCATAGGGCAGACTTGCCGTTGCGCAGGCTATGTTGTGATACCTGAGTGCATCTTGAGCAAGGAAGGGTCAATGGACAGTACTCTCGGGACAACGTTCAGACTCCGTTGTTATCCCGTTTACAAGGCGTTTGACATGAGATTTTGTAGAGTGAATCAATATTTGACAAAGCGCAGCGCACTACTGATCCAAAAGCGCCAACTCAGAAATAATTTCACCTCACACCAATCGTCCTTCAAGATTGTTGGTGGTCAAAATTTCTACTGCCTGACTTAACTTCCGGTTGGAATGCGTTTCTAGTTCATTCACTAATACCATAAGATAATATCTTCTACAATTTTGAAAATGGTATCTTCGAGTACCCCTACTTTTTTAGAAGTATATAACTTAGGGATACGGAGAAAACGGACCCTAGCGAAAACGGACCCCCAAAAAATCAAGAAATCGGCCACTGCGCTGGAGCGAACGGCCTCCGAACCAAGAGAAAACGGCCTCTGAGCCAAGAGGAAACGGCCAACATAGTTGCACCAAGATTACGGAAGGTTATATCATTATATATATTCTAGATGATAGAGAAGAGAGTTCTGGCTACTAGTTTTATCACGAGTCACGTCAAGTGACATGAGAGTGAGAAAACAGGTTAATACAAGAATTAATAGATCATCTTATCTAATACTTTCACCGCCAACCACTGAGTAACGATAACATCTTCTCGTGTTTATTCAATAACTAACTGTTGACGGTTGAAGGCGCAAGCCCGAAATAATTATTTCCTATATGAAACACAAAGCTGTTCAGCATAGCTGTACACAATAGTTATTTGTGTGGCTGGACGATGACACTGGAGCAGAACAATTCGGATCAACGGTTTGACCTTTAATGCGAGTAAGTTATATATGTAAAATATACTACACAACATATTTAGGTATACTCACAAGACAAACTATATACACCAGCCATAACGCCCATCAGCAATGTGGTTTTGGTGGTTGATGCTCCGAACAATGCCAAGTATTCTACGAAAAGGATGGCCATTCCCCGGGCATAGCCAATCATTATGACAACGTTGAGGAAGCATCCTGAAAAAGGTTTTGCTAAAATTGATGTCACTGAAAATTGATCAAAAGAACAAAACTCAGAGTGAGTGACTGGGTGCAGCTGTATCAGTTTGCCAGCTTACGGTTTCATGTAAAGCAAAGGAACACTGGTCGAGATATGTATAATATATTTTGTTTGTAAAACAAAAGTACACGCATAAGCCCTGACAAACCATAATCCATCCGAATCAGGGAATCGGACCAAGGATCATTGCAATTCGGCTTATTACGATACCTTACTGTACTTTCAAGAAAGATTTACAAAAATAACATACCTACGGACATATGCCCAATGCCAATAATTATGGCCCTCCTAGCAGTAAAACGCATATTTCTAGTATATAGTGGGTCAGAAAAAATCATTCAAATGGTTACATTATACTTTGGTACTGTTACATATTACTGCAGTCAAAATGATCAGTGAATATATATAACATCATATCAGGAACAAATATGATTTAAAGGTATCAAATAACACAGATTGATATTAACTAAATGACATTAGTCATGTTAGCGCCATTTTACCTCCCTTTTTCATTTCCAAACTATACTCAGAAGCAAAAAAAACGTCAGTACGAATTCAAAATTAGATAGGCACTGTAATCAAATCATTGCAGAAATGAACATAATAAGCGGATCAAAATATTTTTTTGTGTACAATATCTGGACACATCAATGAATAACTCAAGACATTACGTGGACGTTTGCAGTCCATTCAGACTCTTGACTTCAGTATCTACTGTGACCACCACGAGCGGCAATAACTGCAGCACAGCGTCTATGCATGGAGTGCACCAATCGATTGATGAAGGCCATTGGCACCTGGAACCACACTTTAAAACACACCGTTCTGCTGTAGGGAGTCCCGTGTAGCTCTGGCAGTATAGGCACGGGCGTTATCATGCTGGAACATGTTGTTCCGGTGACGTGCGAAATGTGGTATGACGTGGGGTCTGAGAGCTTGGTCGATGTAGCGCACGGCTGTGATGCAGCCTCCTCTCCCTGGACCAAGGTTCTTGAACACCACAAGACCCACTCACTGGCTCAGGCCTATTCCATCCCATGCCATGATGCTTGCACCTCCCCTTGAATCCATTTCCATAACACATTGGTCTGAGTCACGCTGGCCACGTCGTCGCCATAAATCTTGTTTTGCCATCTGCAGTTGATACGCAGTACCGACTCCCATCTGTGAACAGAACAGTTCTCCATTGCCTGTATCGCCAGTTTTGGTGTTGTAGGGCAAACTGTAGGCGTTCACGCCGATGACGAAGGGTGAGGATAGGTCCACGGTCAGGTCTACGGCAAGGGAGGTTCCCGCTGTTAAGACGTCGGCATACTGTATCAGTACTGATTGGTCTTCCGTGTGTTCCCACTGTCTGGAGTGCTGTTTCGGATGCCTGCATGAAGGGATTCTGTACATGCTGTCGCACAACATGGCGGTCTTGTCTTGTGGTCACCCTTGGTCTGCTAGTACGGGGACGATCATTTGTGGTGTTGGTGGCCCGGAAACGTTACTGCAGCCTGTAGATGGTCCGAAAGTTGTCCCGGAAGTGATTGGCGGAGGCTTGTGCAGTGTTGCCAGCTTCAAGACTTCCTAGCGCCTGGTTTCTCTCAGCTGTCATGAGTCGCGGCATCCTGCTGAAGTTGTAATGTGAATGTTTCAACCAGGTTTGGGGGTGCATTTTATAGGGCTGGTCCTTGTGAACAGCACGTGCAGCATGAGTTGCATGAAAAACATGATGAACACCGTACCATCTCCGAGATCTGGTTGCGTTTTTGAGACCATTTCCTGGCTTCCATTCTAAGTTTAGGAAGGAATGTTTTTGCCCAGGTAAAGTTGGAGATGTTGTCAAAAATATACAATCAAAAGATTAATTGAGTTTACAGTTATCCTTTTCTGCGAAGGAAAATGCCAAACTGACGTTTCTGTTGCTGCTTAGTATATTTGCTGAACTTTACTCACGAGTAAAGCCTGGAATTGACTTTTTTTTTTTAAATCTTTTTTTTCATGGTCATCTTGGATTGAGCCCGGTTCTGAGTTTGAGCTACCAAACCGACATGGCCAGCATACACTTTTCTATATGTATAGACCATAACAACTTCATAAAGACATAAAAGTGTTCGGTCCCTCAGAGTGGTACCGAAAAATGCCCTAATGGAGCAAATTTATGAGTGCCAGAGAGGTTCCTATTGTATTGTAATTATAATGCATTGCTAAGTAAAATATCACGTTGCACCATCATCAAATATTACTAGAGACAAGGCTTAAGAAGCAGCTCCATACCCGCAAGTATCATCCATGCCCAGCCTCGATCTATTGGGAGATGACTGTCATCATCAGCACCCTCTGCCTGGACATCTGCAGGTATTGAAACAGGCGACGCCTGTCCCGAACCGCTGACCGGTACATTGTTCTGTTGTATCCCCGCAAGTCGGTTCCGGACAAACACTTCCTCTTCTTCATCACTGCTTGCTCCTATGACATTGATGCTAAAATCCGAATCGGCTTCGAGGTGTCCAGGATCGCCCGCAGTCCTATTCCGGCCCGCAAGCACACACTCCTCATCAGAATCCATCCGGACGTTGTCTGGGCCGCACGTATTCTCTGCTGGTGTGACAGCTTACCTTTGCACCTTCACTATCACTGAGGTTGACATGCATAACGTTGATATTGTTATCAGTACAGCGTCAGTGTTAGTTTACTGATAAGGTGACACAGGGTTTCACATCGTTAAACTTCGTTTCTGTGAGCCTTATGGAGAATACTCCTCGTGTTTAGATATCCTCGCCATTGGAGGATTAAAGGTGAAGTTAATGACGTTTATCAGATGATGAAGACAGTGCCTCGCGTGAGCAAATTTTCCATAAAGGGCTTCGATGGTTATGTTGGCAGTTACAAGAATGATAACAAAGCAATCTATACTAGCCACATAAAGAAACTGTGCATTGTCAAAATATTATCCCAGTTGATAAGTACGATAAGAATGTCAAAGGTACATATAAACTTTAATGGAGGGATCATGAGACCATAACAAGTCGGGAGTATTTCAATTGAAAAGTCAATCACAATGACGTCACGAGTCCACAGGCGGGACAGGGGTCAAACAACCATGTCACAAGCTCAATAACGGGTATGTCTACTATCGGCATTGAGAACAGCAGTGCATCGACGACGCATAGAGCCTATCAAACGTGCAAGGGAGGCTTGTGGGATGTCACGCCAGATTCTCTCAAGTTCTGTTGCAAGGGCAAGGACGTTATCTGGCGGATGAGGAAGACGGCGTAGACGTCGATCCATCTCGTCCCAAACATGCTCTATCGGGGAGAGATCCGGTGAATTTGCAGGCCAAGGCAGTAAGTCAACGTTGTGGTGTTGTAAGAAATCCATAGCAAGCCTTGTCGTGTGAGGGCGGGCATTGTCCTGTTGGAATGTTAACCCAGGGCCATGACGTTGCAAAAAAGGAATTGCCACAGGTCGAAGAATCTGATCCCTGTAGCCCACACCAGTTACGCTGCCCTGAACAATCACCAAAGGAGTTCTTTGGCGTGCTGTTATTCCACCCAAAATCATCACGGAACCACCACCTAAGCGATTCCTCTCCAAGACACAGGCCTGTGCATAACGTTCTCCCACGCGTCTATAGGCACGTTGACGTCCATCACTATGGGAAATGTTAAACCTGGACTCATCTGTAAACACAACATTTCTCCAGCAAAAAAGGGTCTGCGGACATGATTTCGGCACCACATCCGGCGAGCTTGTCGATGACGTTGTGTCAGGAGAGGCCGTATGGCTGGACGTCGTGGTCTGATCCCGTGATGACGTAAACGTTGTCGAACTGTGTTGGGGTGGATACGGCGAAGTCCTGGGATGGTTCGGGCAGTCATCACTGCAGTCTGCAACCTGTGGCGAGGATGGGTCACCCTTATCCATATGTCCTGTCTTGGCGTTGTTACACGTGGACGTCCTGAACGTGGCCGATCGATAACGTCATGTGTGTTCTGGTAGCGTCTCACCAGTGCAGAAATGGTGTTCCGGTGGCAGTGGACATGTGCAGCCACTTGTCGTTGAGACATTCCCCCACGGACCATCCCAATGGCCTCATGACGTTGTGCAGACGTGAGCCTTGGCATGCTATGCGTTTCAATAGCCGTTTAATTTTTTGAACGATCGCAAGGGCAGGGGTTGAGCGTTCAGTGACAGTATTGTGTGGCATTCATTTGCTCTGTTTCTCTTTCCCGGAATGCACGTGCAACAACGTACTGCACGTCTCAAGGACGAACCCACTGACGTCACGGAACGTGGCACATGCATGCATGTTGGATACATGTCACTAATCTCTGAGTTTGAATCCTTATGTGTCTACACAGGTTTGATAAATTTAGATTTTAAATTTTTGTATGCACAGTTTCTTTATGTGCCTAGTATATTTGTACACCAAACGTAATTATTCAAAGCGAATTATTTTACCGCGGGATCTTTTTCGCGACGTCATCCTTTCCAAGAAATCCATTTGTGCTTCCGTCCCTTGGTTTTACCTCACAAAATGGCGGCGTCATTAACTTGAAACGGAAGTTTCAATCATTATGGATGGAAATGAAATGGATCCAGAACTTTTGATGTATGTTTGAGTTGTAGGAGGGCTAAATGAGCTGCCGAACACGGCATGGTACAATCTCTGTAACTGCTGGGTGATCCTTATATATACATAATCTATCTGTAGACGCAAGAAAGACAAATTTCCAGTAACTCGCATCCACAGGGTTCTATTCTTTTGATGGGGAATAATTATACGTCAAGCGTTGATGTACGTTGACAAATGTAGAATATACGTTCGACGTTGATCGTTAGCCATTGTGTGAAAGGATAAGTGGATGAGGTTTGGAAAACTAGAATAAACAGAAACCAATTGTAATATAATTTGACTATAAATACATTGCATTAACAAAATATCATCAAAAAGCCTATGTAACAATGTTGAAAACGTTGGAACATTTTTTGAACACTTACAGCAATATTGCATGTAACAATAGCAATATGAGGCCATGAACTTGAAAGGAAGACTATTAAACATTGTATTTGCACAAGAAATAAAGATGCAAGACTCACAATTGTGTTCCTGTGTGCTACGTTGATATTTAAGTCCGAGGAGACCTCTTCACAGTATGGATGCTGCTAACACACTGAAGCAGGGGGTCCCAGTACCACATGTGCCTTTTTAGGGTCACATGACAGGAAAGTGGTACTATGGGATATGAAACATAGCTTATGAAATCTGCAAAAGTTTCTGTGGAAAGCGGGTCTTGAACCCTAGATGGCTGGATTACTATCACGGGAGGTAATAACTGATACTGGCGTGATGAAGTTACAGCTGCACAGTACAGATTAGAAAAACATTTATGATGCATATGAAAATTATGTGATAATATCTGCATGAGGAAATTGTACACAGAATAAATGAACTATATGAATCTTGCATTAACACTATCTCAAAGGTGTTATAAGTGAGTGAGTGAGTGAGTGAGTGAGTTAAAATTTATCGTCACATCGGTAATATTTCAGCCATACGGTGACGAGAACAATTAATTTTATACATAGTTATTAATGGTAAATTATAAAAACTGTCATCGAAGAACAAAGGTGTTATGACGAATGTGACGTTTTTTTCGAAATCGAGGAATTCACCAAATTGCCGATTGACAACACACGTAGTGTTTACCCTGGCGAGGTCGCTACTGTAACTATTGCCTCTACATAGCTGAACTGGTATGCGTGTCTACTGTCTGTGGACTATGCATATGAAACGTCTCGTTCTATAATATGCGTTCTGATAAGGCATGGTTAGTTGAAACAGATCCGATATCCTCCCTAAAAATATTGGAAGGTTTGTACATATCTGAGACTTTATGCTGTGCTCTGTACCATTTTGTCTGCATCAAAATAACTTATCCACGGGTTCATTTGTTTTGGTCATAAGAAGATGACATCGATGCCCATATAATTCCTTTTCTTCCTAACGATATAATGATTGAAAAATGCTGGATCATGACTGAAACAGGCAAGATTGGATTCGAAAGGCCACCACACGACTACTTATTTCATTAACAAAGGCTCCACCGTCAAACGCCCCACAGTCTTTACAGGTGGTTGGTCACAACAGCATATCGAATACGATAGCAGGCATGTATCCCGGGCTGTTTAGAGGGATAACTGTGTCTTCAATGACAGAAGTCCATCAGTGGGTCCACAACACTTTTATTCGTGATTCAATGTGTATAACTACATGATGTTACAACAATGACCAGGCGGCATATCGGAGGCGATGGTCAGCCAACCTGCCTAGTCGCTGTCTCAGGGTCAAGTCCCGACTAACCCAAAGCATTCTCAATTTATCCCTAAGGCTCTGATCAGACTGTCACGTGTCGCATTGACGACAAATGTCTTGTCAGCCTGTAGTATCCCGCACCTCATCCACATTGACAGGCTTCGGTGGCCAACCAGCCTTTGTCTAACTTTGATTATAGTCAGCTAAGGACTCTATGGTGGTGGCCACACTGACAATGGTCATGTTGTGTTGATTCATTTCCATTGACAGCATGGTCATTACTTAGAGAGATATTCAATTTACATTACTCAAGGAATATTATAGATATCCCCGATAAACCCTGTTCCAAACTGCCTACGATAGCATGTGAGGAGACATACTTTTCAGCAACACATACACGGATCACTGTGTCATTGTGCCACGACTGTCACATAGGTGCCATATCGTGGTGTCGCATGTCGTGACATTATACAACTGACATCACAAACAAGGAGAATCCCTCTGATCATCCAATGCCGGCTCGTAGACTACAAGACTTCAACAGGTTCATTCCTAATCCACCTACAGGTAAATGTTGAAACATCACATGTTGAGGTTCTCATCCGGCATCAGCTGACTTGCCAACAACACTTGTCAACAACAATAGAAGCTGATGACGACAGTGACGAATGGCTCCGATGTAAGTCAAGTCTAGACACATAAAGGTTCGGGGTGGAGAGGGATTAATTTTCAATTTGTATTGTCTGTTCGGGGTAATTAGTAACTAACTAATAATACTTATGAATTCAAACTGGATAGCAGAATGTTATTTAATATTAATGTGGTTGACAAGTGGTTAATTATTTATGATCAAGATCAAAATGGTTTATTGTACATAAGGCTTCAGGGCCCCGTTTCACATAGCTATCGTAGCGCTACGACTGTCGTACTTCCTACATTGTAACATAGACTTACGACCGTCGTAGCGCTACGATAGCTTTGTGAAACGGGGCCCTGGCCCGTATACATAGTATTATAATAACAGGCAAAGTATGGACATTGCAAACAGTGGAAAGCATCATAACATTGTGAAATTAGTTGACAGGAGAAATCAGACTCTTCCTTAACGACAGCGAATGTGTTCAAAACAGGGCTAATTTTACATGGACAGATTCGTGTTGTGTTGATAGAATTCTTATAAGTATTTCCCTTGTAGGGTGACCCAAATATTTCTGTTGAATATACCCCTTTCTTAAATCGGCATAAGCGTCACATATAAATAACAGATGATATTCGTCTTCGATATCCGCCATACAGACAGGGCAATACCTTAGATGTTTGGCCAGTGACTTCTTACGGCCAGTGTTGATGATTACATCTATCAAGCCAAGTCTAAATCTAATAACTGTATTTCTAAGTTTCTTGCTTGTAATGTTTGATAGATATGTCTCAGGTTCGATCAATGTTTTAAAGGATCTATATACATCAAATCTAGAACTTAAACTAAGGGTATTCATCCAATTCTGACGAAACATATCCACGGCTCTTTGACGAAATTCGTTCATAAACAGCCACTCGTTACCAACACCTTGGAAACTCCACACATATCAAAGTCCATACGAAAATAACAGATATCTTATATTTGATGCCCATGATCCATAACCAGTATTATCTAAATTAAGCAGCATGTTATAAGACTTTCTGGGTAGACGCTGTTCATGCATTTTCAGTATTTTGAACCAGTATTTTATACAACGAAGGTGAGAGTTTATATAAAGTGGGTATCTTCCACATTCTCCATATACCATATAGTTTGGTGTTGTAATGTTAACATTAAGGAACTTCTTACATGCCAATAGATGTTTTGTTCAATCGGTTCAAAAGTCTGGAAACCTAATATTTCTGCCCCATACAAAGCCATTGGTTGTATCTGTGCATCGCAAAGTTTAAAAAACATCTTTGGTGTTATTGGCTCTAATGGATAGAGTGATGAAAGTAAATACACCAGAGCTTTTTTGCTTTTGCTGATAAGGCAACAGCAGTTTTACCCATATTCAATGTATAATTAAAACGTACTCCAAGATATTTTGTGTTCAGAAACTATTTGCATTGAAATGCCGTTATAAGACCATTTTTCGCCATTAGCGGGGTGTCCACCCCTTCTAAATACAACAATAAGTATTTATGGAACCTGTCACCCTCACATTGGTAGAGACTTCTAACACACTTTTGCAGAGGTCGCCGTAAAATCTGTTCGTACTCTCTTTGGATGGTTATTTTGCAACGTCAAAAGTATGCGTTTGAGCCCTTATCTTGAACACGGCAATTAAGCGCTGGGTTCGAAATTAAAATATAAGGTTTCCAACCCAGAGCGGGACTACATCAAATCCCACCTATATGGACAAAGACATCCATGTGTGTATTCATATGTTGTCCCTGAAGTATCTTTCATGTTAGATGTGAGTGTATGTACAAGAATGAATAAAGTAGACAAGGTACTGTCTTTTCTGGAAATTTGAGTTACAGTGAAGCCCCGTTAGTCCGGACTCCGATAATCCGGATGTCTCGCCTCCCGGATGATTTCAGCTTGTTACCAATCTATGCCTATATAATTCGCCCCGATAATCCGGAAATTCGGTTTCCGGAACCGGACGGTAAGTAGCTGTCACCAATCAGTAAAATAAACTGTAAATTGCTTCACGGTCCGGACGCTGTAAGTCGTGTTCACGAACCGTAACAACACCTCCCGGCGATGTTTACTTAATTAACTGGCCAACTGGGTTGTTGTTTTAATTAGACATTAAAAGCTCCTGACTGAAGATGCTGTACATTTACACTTTGATTGACACCACAATACAAAGGCGTGGATGACAAGTGAGCTGTTTTGTGATTGGTTAATGTACTTTGACAGACAAATGCGGTCACGTGGACTTAAAGTGATTTTGCTTTACGACAATGCTGCAAGTCACAAGTGTGCTTCGCTAACTTTGCGAAATGTGACCAAATACCACGTCTCATATACAACCAATGGATGCAGGAATAATTAAGCCATTCAAGGCATACTACAATAGATCGCATGTTAGACATTACCTCACCTGTGCTGAGGAAGGACGTGATCAGACACGTCGGATCAACATGCGGATGTCACTCGGTAAAATTATTGATGTGATGAATTAAGCTTTACATTAAATGCACATGGCCCCATGTTAGATGAACATATGCAAAGAAATTAGAACATCAAACATGCAATCAAATATTTAATAGAATAGATACCAATAGTATAAATGCCAAACAAGTATTGCATTTCAAGAAACATGAATCCACAATTATTCATTGTAAAGAACCTCAGCCTGACGCCATCTATTGCTAATGACGTCAAAATATGATACAATTACGTCTTCGTCAGTGAAGTTTCATTTGAGGGTTTCATAGTTTTTTCTTCATGATCTTTTTTTAAGTGACACACAGAATAAGCTCTTGTACAGTATCTAGATCTGCTTGGATCACTGACTTATAAAATCAATAAAACTTTACACACATATGTGTCTTTCAGTGGCATGTGAGCACAGAAGCGCAATAGTTGTATATGTGCTGTATGTTTTTGTACATACAAACACCAGTTTGACAGATCCTCAATATATATGCGTAACTCTCCAGCATTGAGATACATGTACGAGTTCTATACACAGAGGTGGTGAAATGTGTAATCTTCGACATTTCATTCACTAAAACCGTTTGATGACGTACAAACCGTTCCAGATACATTAATTACTTTTAAGAGGTCGGTTTTCTTCAACGTCCTCAGGGGAACTCGCTGATTTCAGTTTGGTCTCCCGGCGTCTGACGAGAGGAACACATAGTAGAACCACAGCAGTTATGTAGTTAGCGATCCCAATGTAGGTGAAACACAAGTTGTATGACTTTGTCATGTCACGGATCGTCCCTGCAATAGAATGCAGGTTTTAATGTAACAGTTAACAGTTTCAACGAAAGATATTAAAATGTTTAACAACATTATATACCACCTAACGTAATCCGACCCGTGAAGATCCGGGTTAGAATTGATCTCCAGTAACCCATGCTTGTCGTAAGAGGCAACTAACGGGATCGGGTGGCACATGTCATCGTATCCCATTTGCGTAGATCGATGCTCATATGATGTTGATCACTTGATTGTCTGGTCCAGACTCAATTATTTACAGAGTGAGGTGAGAATTTTAGGTATTTCAGTCATATTGTGACTATATCAAGTTATAGATTCATAATAATTAAAGGTAATCCATAAAAATGCTGTCAACAAAGGGACACTAAAACAACTATTTTATCACAGATATAAGTTTAAAACTAGCAAATAACTCTTCAACATGTTAACTCAAGATGTCAAGACAATATAAAAATAGGTCATAGATCGCCAACAACTGAAGGTAGATCGCCATAATTTGGGCCATGAGGACTTACAGTACATTTTGTTCCTGCATGGACCCTAGCTGGATAAACAACAACCCTTCAGCTGTTAGCAATTTAGACAAGCCTAGCTATACATTAAAAGGACTCATATTCTACGATTACAAAAGTGGTAAGTTTAAATTTACTTTGAATGTTTGGGGACTTGCATACCCTCTCGGGAGGACAATAATTTTACAATTGTAAATCATGGTATCCAAAAGTGTCCATATGACACGGTATGAGTGAGAAAAGATTTATTGAGTCACATCGGCAATACGTCAGCCATACTGTGACTATCCAGGTATAAATTAGGTTCTTGAGAGGTCCTAAACTGATAATAAATTTCGTTATGCCATAACCTCTGTCGAAAGGACAACTTTAAATCACAGCGAGATTTAAAACTAATTGTATCATTATTCAGGACAACACAATATAAAAACAAGATATGGAGAGCCAGCAACTAAAGGTAGATAACCACACCAGGGATCGTGCGACATACAGTACTTATGCTACCTGCATGGGCCGTAGTACAAACAATCACACAGGTCGCCGTGCCTCACCGTATGTTTTAGTATGTTGGTCCTACAGCCAGCACTGATAATTCAATTTTAACCTGGATTCCAAACAGTGGAAAACGGTGATAAGTAATTAAATTTGTACTAGATATATATCTAGACAACAGCATAATTTCAAATCGAATCACACTTGATCATTTCATGTGAGCGTTGATGTTCTATAGATGTCCCAGTCCAGGATATCCTAATTGTAGCATATTTAAAAGACATACATTACTTTGTCATAAATAGTGGTTTGCTATAACAGACAGAAAGATAAATGACTTCCAGATTTGTTTCTATCATGGATGTACAAATCCAAACGAGATGCTCACAGTTAAAAGTTTGTAGCTTAAAGCTTCGTATTTAATCAAAATATGTCATAAACAAAATCGTTGACATTAATCGTACTAGGTTACCATTGGTCATCGTATGTGTCTACATTATTACCATGAAATATGCATAACGGTTTTCCAAAGAAATGCCATGGTGATTTTCAACAGATACTGTGAGCGTGTTGGTAAAAGACCCGAAACTGTCCTAGTGTTACGCCGCACTCAGCAGCATCATTCCAGCTATATGGCGTCGGTCTGTAAATAGTCGAGTCTAGACAAGACGATCCAGTGATCAACAGCATGAACGTCGATCTACGCAATTGGGATAGGTGTCAACCAAGTCAGCGAGCCTGACCACCCGATCCCATTAGTCTCATTTACATGATCAACATCAGAACTCATATACTACACATATACTACATATATACTACATGTTCGTCTTCACAGACATATCATCGCCGCATGACTTTAGTGAATGTAATATTGAATCACAGTCTTACCCATGATCGGATGCGTCACTGATATAGACAGGCCATGGAATACCGATAAGAATCCAAGAACCTTCGCCATCTTTTCAAGTCCCATGAAGTCCACAATGGCAACAGGCATAAGACAATGGTAAAAACTGCCAAAGAGTCCGACAATGACGGAGAACACGACCAAAAGAGCATACGAGTTGTAAAAATAGACAAAATGTGTTGCTGTTCCAGAGACAAGTATTCCAATGACCATCAGATGATTAACTTTGATGATTTTGAGATCGGCAACGAAGCCGACTGCCAGTCTGCTGAAAAAGTCCAGAACACATGCCAAAGTCAACAAATATGCGGCATCTGTTTGTGAGATGCCCTTTTCATTTGCAAGGGCAGGGATGTATATTCCCACCAATCCAAAAAGTACACCGAAATGAGCGACAACAACAATCATCTGAAACATTGGTTGTCTGAACAAGGAAAAGTCAAGTGCTGACAGGGCGTGTTTCAAATATCTGGCTGTACCTTTGGCTTCCTTTGTTTCATGGTGATTGTGACTCGGTTCAGAATTAACTTCTCGTATATCCACCATTGACATTGATGTCAGATCTGGGTAACTTGTGTATAATCTCATCTGGCATTCTGAGAGGGAATCTGTCTGTGATTCAACGCTGCCAACTGATTGTGGCCTGGCTCTCTTGCGGACATTGTCACTCATTTGAATTTTTGCGCCATTGCCTTGACTCTCAGATGCGACCACTGTGTTTCCACCATTAACTCTATTTGGTTCCTTTCCAGAAAAAGCTTGATCATTTTCATGGATCTCGTTGGCGTTTCTTTGGTCATCGTTTTGGCCTGCGGTCGTGATAGATGCGGGCTTTCGTATCCTCTTTCGAAAGAAGCTTAATGGTCTAAACAACGCGGCCCCGACCCATACGTTCATGGTGACTCCTGTAAGGATCAACATACTTCCCCGGACACCATATTCATCCAGTAGAAACCGAACGAGAGGTGGAAACACGCTCCCCCCAATACTCATTCCAGACATAGCAATTGATGTAGCAATGCCTCTTCTCTTCTTGAAGTACTTTCCAATTAGTACCAATGCTGGACCATGAATCATGGAGTGACCAATTCCTGAAAGTAAATAAGCATAAATCATTGTTTACAACTTTGCGTATTTTTAAAAGGTAATCTGAACCCGTCGAAAGTAAAGCAAATAAAAGCAAACAAAACCCCAAAAAATCAGTGAGTTGACTGCAGTTATGACATACATAGAGATTATTACATGAGCAAGTGTGTCATACGACTTATACGAAACGAGTGTGAAATTTTTCAATTTACAATTTTGCATGAGTTTGCATGAGTTTTGCACGTTCAATTGTTTAAGTGACGTCACAGACGACGAAATAGAGAAACAATGGTTGCTAGGCAAAAGTGATATGTGCACATGTGCACATATGATATATATGACACTGGTTATGTTTCACCATATGGAATTCTGCTATAGTAAGCAATAGCTCTATCTTGTTTTCTTATTATTAATGTCTTGAGGTATTGTGTATACGCACCAATGATAATACTATGGGTACAAATGAGGTACGTAATACTGGTGGCGAAAACTCCTGTTAACATTCCTACAACAGATATGGTTCCACCAAGAAGTACCGTTTTCCTCTCTCCAAGCTGTTGTAGAATTACGTTCATCGAAAAGAGAGCTGTAAGCATAAAGAAAAATCAAGTGTTAGAAAAGAGCAAAAGTGAGTGGGTTTTTGGTTTAACACCGCTATTAGCAATATTACAGCAATATCACGGCGGATGACACCAGAAATGGGCTTCACACATTGTACCCATGTGGGGAATGGAACACGGTTACACTGTATAAATATGATTTTACCCTCCTTTAAGGGTTAAACATGTATCAATTATTCATAAAACGCGAGAGATCGACAAAAGTATTAATTTTGTGCCAATAGCAATGATGTTCAGAATGATTAGGATGGATATATTAGTCATAATACTAACATCATACTTTATACATGTGCATATATAGTGTTTAATGCTCACATGAAATACTGAACGTTCCCGCCATCACGCCCATAAACAAGGTTGTCTTTGCAGCAGTTGCCTCGAATTCTTCCAAATAGGCCACAAAGAATATGGCTATTGCCCGGCCATATCCAACCATTATAATAACATTCAGAAAACTCCCTGGAATGAGACAAGAAGCCACCAAATTAGGTTAAAACACAACGAGGTTTCAATGGTTCCGTGATTACTTTATCGTATACTCGCACAAACAGTTCTGCATCTCTTGTATGAATGCAAAAACCAAATAAGTTAAACAAACAACGAGGTGTCAATGGTTCCATGATTACTTTATCGTATACTCCCATGACCATCTTTGGATCTCTTCCATGGATGCACAAATTGAATGTTGGAAACATTTAGAATTGCTCACCTGCTAACACTACCCAAGCCCATCCTCGATCGATAGGTAGACCATCATCCTCTTCCTCTGGCTGATTGTCATCCGGTAACTGCCCATCATCACAATCATGCAACGAATTCTTCTTCACCCCTTCTCCAGCGCCAGTCTCCTTTCCTGACAAGCTCTCTTCCGCATCAACATCCTCTCCCGTATTGGACGGTTTGCCGTTGGCTATGTTAGTTGTCATAAATATATTTTCGCCTCTTTCAGCTTCGTCCTCTTGACACGTCTTTGAATCTTGTGTCATTTTATCCGTTAGTGGCAGCACATCCGACCTACACGATTTAAAGAAATTTAATTTGTACAATACCAATATGACATTTCCCTAGAAAGTAAAATGCAGCTGCTCTAACTGTCCTCTGAATGCTGTTTGTAGTCGCAAACAACATGCCATTTTAAACATTTTTATCAAGGTTGGTTGGTTGTTGAACGCCGCACACAGCAATATTTCAGCTATATGACGGCGGTCTGTAAATCATCGAGTCTTGACTGGACAATCCGTTGATCAACAGCGTGAGCATCGATCTATGTAATTGGGATACCATAACATGTGTCAGCGAGTCTGACCACCCGATCCCGTTAGTCGCCTCTTACAACAAGCATGGGTTACTGAAGACCGATCATAACACGGATCCTTACTTGTACATTTATCATGCAGACAGTTTGACTATAGACTGAGGAGAACAATGACCAACTTCACCAGGGCACTATGATAGGCTATCAACAAAGTTTCGGGTTTTACAGTAGTAACCGAGGTACTTCGACCTATTATGATCAGAATCAACAGAAATCCTAACAAGTAATCGCATGTAATATAAATCCCATTGTATTGTATGACATTGTGCTCCATTATGAGCAAGGCCTAAGCCGACCACATGTGCTACATGTCGTTAAGTGTGGTACAGGACCGAAGCCTTAGAAACTGGAAGGATCAAGCAAGCCGGCCCACAATGTGTCATTGAGCTTTCCATTCATGAAGGTAATATGACCACCCGATCCGTAACCGGTATACTGAGCACATTATCACATACCACCACAAATCATGAAGGTAACGCGAGCCTGACCACCCGATCCCTAGCAAAACAAACGTCACATACAACGCATACCCGACTCCTCGACATAATATTGTAGAAACGTATTAAACACACATACACATTATTTTACTGATCTAGACGCATGTCTGCAGTGACGGACGGTCACACTGTCGTTACACTTCTTATCTCAAAGCTTATTACACACGCGTGGTATATGCGGATAGCCCTGTATCAGGGTCAGGGAATGAAAGAAACCATGACAGATCGGGGTCGCTAGACCGGATATATCCGTGGTAGTAACATGACCAGATTACTGAACAAGAGATATGGTTAGGTGAAGGTGGTGATCAGTTGTGTGTTATTAAGATTTATCGTAATGACAGAGAACATTTTGAGAGTATCACATACCATTACTCCTTGAATACTGCTCGCAGGACTTGCTCACGACAATAATGGCATGCACCGTTATCTTCAATTATATGAGAAGGTACGCGAATGAAAACCTATTTATAAAATGTACATACACAATTACTATTTAAATTTTGCATATAGTACTGGTGTGGCCTTATGACAAAGGCTAGATTTCTACTATCAAATTAATTAATATCAAATTAATTTTTACTATTAGATTAATTAGGTCCCAGAATCCAAACAGGGTTTATCCTAACAGACACAAGAGGCAATTATGGTCCTGTTTACGGCCATACGTGATAAAAACCTACCTGGAGTAGCACGAATCTCACCTGTATATACGTACTTGCTCAAAATATGGTCTTTGTCCCTGCACGCCTTCACTGCTATTTATCGGCAACTCGTTTGACCTAGTTTCTCAAAACGTTTTGATATTTCGTCAGAAAATATCCTAGTAGCGAAAGCACACGCAATTTCAAACATCGGACTGAAATGAGCAAAACCTATGTAGTGGCCAAGTACTGTCATTGTATATGATCATGTTCTGGTATCCAATAAGTAGAACTATTTGTGTGCAGCATTTACCCCCACAACAAAGCCCATGCAACTGCTTGTGGCTGCTTATTATAGTAAGATGTTATGACGTTTTCTATTCCTCAGGCAAGAAAATAGGAGAGGTTATTGGGAGTTACGTTAATGCATTTAGATTGAAACGTTGTTGAAGTGAATGAGTATGGTTGACTTACGCCGCTTTAAGCAATATTCCACCAGTGTCACTTTGGGGGACTCCATAACTGGGCTTCACACACTGGGGGATCGGCGTGACGGGGAACGCTTTAACCACTAAGGCTACCCCAACGCCCCAATGAAGTGGAAGTAAAAATAACACATTTATCAAGATAATGAGAATCATCATACCTTTACACAGAAACTATCCGTCATCGGTCAGGTAGAATTAAGAAAAACTGTAGTGTCATCGATGTCGTCACTGTCGATGTAATTCGCTGAGTCATGCTGTGCCCTGCGGTAGGTTTATCTCAATTACCAGTTTCACCGAGTTATTCCCTTTGGCAAAATAGGCTCTTTCAATTCTCAAGTTTACACAAACTTGCCTTTTCACAACGATGATATTTATGTACCGACAGTTCTCGAGCCTTAGTTGCTATTTCTCGCCTCCTTGTCAGACATATAGTCGTTCACTAAGTTTTAAGTTCACTTGTTTTATCCTATTATTGCAAAGAGCCAGGTGGATGACAAGGGTTGTTTTTTGTAACATCTTTTGGTGTGACGCAGCAATGGGATGATGCATGTTGTTTCCCGGCAGACTCTATTCCAGTGGTACAACAGTTGACGGCCCTATCGTTATTAATAACCGGGTTCTCAGGTAGACTAGAGGTTAAACGCTCGTCACGCTGAAGATGTGACTTTCTATAGCCTACGTGGGTGCAAGGTGTTAAGCCCTTTTTGGTGTTCTCGCCTCGATTTTGCTGAAAACATCGCTAAACCCTAGTACCTCTGTACTATTCAGAACGCTGATGTTTTCGTCAAAGACATGCAAACATTTACGAGAAACCTGTTTGTCAGTTTGTCATCAAACGAATGCCTTGCTGGCTGTCCAACAATGTCAAGTAACAGGTCAAGGTTTACGGAACAGCTCCTCTGCTCCTCCTCTTATCTAATCTCGATAGGCAGAGGTAGGCTGACATAAATCTCCGACTCATAAGACTGTGTTGTCCTACACCGTGCTGGGCGGTTTGTTTGTTTTGTTTGTTGTTAACAGTGACCAACGTCATCAGCATCGATCTACGCAACTCCGATACGATGGAACGTGTCAACCAAGTCTGCGATCCTAAAACAAACTATTCCGTTAGTCGCCCATTGCGACAAACATGGGTTACTGAAGATCAATTCTAACCCGGATTTTCACGGGTCACATACAGGAAATATCATAAAAAAGCTATACCGAGAATATGTTGTGTGTATATGTTGTGTGAAATATGATGTATCCGTCATCTCGCGACGTAAAACTATCACGTTTGTCACGTGACGAGATGACAGATACATACTATTCTCGCTGTACACCTGGCACATGTTTTATCATAATCTTTTGACAAAGACGTCGTGCAAGATAAAAGTAATAAATCATTAGCGTGTTATCGGTTAATCCTTTCATCTGTGTTTGGTTTTTTAACTCAGCTGATAATTCATTTTGCTGCACCTCCGTGCATATATTACATAACATGTAGTACATAAGACCTTACTTTATAATGTTGAATATTTAGTGTACACGTGAGAAATGCTAAATGGGAATCTTTGTCGGGTAATCTGAGTGATGTTACCACTAATTATACCTGTTATAAATTCACTAAATGACCATCAAGTGAATGATGACAAATAAACGGGTGTAGGTTTATATCACCAAACACGGCTACAGCAAGGGAGTAGTAATCGTTGTATTGCATGCAATTTTAATTGCCCACACAATCTTATGGAACTTCGCTGTGTGGTTTTAATATAATAGGTCATCAAACATCACATTGTTTCTTGATACGATTAAATATCGAGGTAAAAACACAGAAATAGGATCAAATTGGATCGGTCATATACGATCAACGCATCTGAAAATCTGAAAAAAAGCTTACACTGCTGGAGTTTCCGTCAGACCACGTACTAAAATTGTTGTCCCGAAACCGGAAGCGCTTGATTTGGAATGAATGAGGCCCCGCGAGATGTGACGGACATTGTAAAAACAACCAATTTACATAAACACATATTGCAGTTATCAGTGTTTTTCTAAACTTGTGAAGGGTAAGCAGACTATTGGCATGTTTACAATAGAATTGAAAAAAAACACACTAATTGAGTACCCATAAGTCTTTGTTTGAAATGCCGCCATCTTTGTTCAAACGTACACGCGCGAGATTGGAAAAAACTGTTTTGAAGTAAGTCTATGAGAGTAAGGTAGTGGAAATGGCAGTCTGTATACTTGCTATAGTTTTCTTGACACATGGCAACATACTTGACAATCGAAGCTTTGGAAACAAGGATCCGGGAACTTGAGCGATCTCAACGGAAACCCAGGACAGAGAAATTAGCAGCACCCCGCCCTTGTCAGGTAGGTTTCAGATGAAATGTATTATGTTCTTCTTATCATAGCAGTCAGTTTGCATCGAATTAAACGTTTTCGATAGGAACCTTTATCTTACAGTAACGGTGCGCTCGCATTTCGATTTCTCTCACGGTTATTAATGTGGACATTGCATTTTGGTGTGAAATCTGTTAAATAACAACATTATTGTTGATACCAGCTTAGCATTCCGTTAAGATATAACCATAAGACAAGAATATATATGTGTTCCTGTACGTTGAGTCTGATATTTATATAACTTGATTTTCTGCGGCAGCCCATTTTGTTGCTGGGCACAACCAACACCATAACCAAATATTTATTGTTCAGTCATGTTTCTGAGTGTTATTTTGTCTCAGTATTATTCTTTTCTTGTCGGACTATTTCAATTATGTATCCAGCTATATTGAAACCGTGTACTGGAGCGGCGTTTATATAAGCCACTTGGCTTGTTCGCCTTTTCAGGTTATTGACGGAATAAAAATATATTTAAAAATTTGTTATATGCAGCAAGGCAACAGATATAGATGAAACAAGTAGTTCATGATATTTCAGTGGAAAATATTACCAATCGACAGATGTTCATACTCCAAATGTGTGTCTGTTTTTGTTTTAGGCTATTAATTGTGAGAAGAATCATGGAAAAGTTCGTGGAGTCCCTTGAAAATCCATTAAAAGTTTCTTATTTATAAGGTGAAATAACTTACCCCAAATTGTATTATTGCTCGGCATCATAATCAATATATATGTTGGGTTTTATAACATTAGAGACGTCATTAATGCAAGCTAAAATTAAAATTGCCATCAACTCGTTTCTTGTTCACAATTGGGTAAATCTAGCATCTTATAATTATTTCATTGTCAGTTATCTAGTACTAGTAGTAGAATTGACATAGCATACCATTATGTAGTGCATAATTGCTACATAATCATGTTGATCATGTTAATAGAAAACTTCTCACACCCTCCCAGTAATGCATATACCACAATTACTTATTACTTGGTTTGATACATGGTGAATATGATAATAATCAAAATAATGAATGTTTGTCGGATTGTAATAATCTATTATTGGACGAATGAAAATTAACTTATTTGCTTTTCTTAATAGAAACCTTTTGGATAATCTGGAGGAGCAAGATGGACGATCGACGTCGGCAGATTCGAGGAAAGGAAGAAAAACACAGGAAAGATGCTAAAAGAAACAAAAGAATCCGATCTGTAAGTTCCTGAAACTGGATTACCGGTATATAATATCATTTGTACCGGTTTATAGACTTCCTGACACCAGTTTAAAACATCCTGAGTCACTTAACTGACATGATGTGCTTCATATTATCACATCGCTATATACCTGTAATCATGTCATTACCCATCACCGTAATGTGCCATTATCTAATTAGAACAAGTGCGGCTCTCAAGAATAAATGTTGGACATAACTTTCGCAATGCAAGAATTTCATTTTTCCCCCAGAAACGCCAACAGCGCCTGAAAAGAATCTAGCTACTATTAACTGGACAGAGAAAAGAACACAGAAGGTGGCTGCAGTCCTAACCCCAGAAATGCCATCGCCAGTGGTGTCTGGCGCTCCAGAGGTAAACATGAAGAACTTGCGACACCATCCGACAATATGCTTTCCAACAACCTAAAGGTCTTCCACCCTGGTCATTGAGAATATGATTCATGTTAGTTAGGTATAGGATGGAATGTCTAAATGTACAATCAATTAACTCCTTATTCACCCTGTTTAGGAAAAAAACAACTAAATTTGTTGTTTCTGAGACTAAGATTAAAATGACATTAATGTCCCTCATATTAAAAAAATGCACAACTCCCTCTCTCTCTCTCTCTGTAGGACCCCAGATGTACACCTGGTCGTCTAGGTAACATACATGGTGTCATGTAAGCAGCTGGACAGTTCAAAAACAGATAGGACCTAATAGAAAATTATTTGTCTTTCAAAACTCTCTCTCTCTCTCTCTCTCTCTCTCTCTCTCTCTCTCTCTCTCTCTCTCTCTCTCTCTCTCTCTCTCTCTCTCTCTCTCTCTCTCTCTCCTCTCTCTCTCTCTCTCTCACAAGTGGTTTGTGTGTTTTTTAGTGTGCATTCCTCTCTGAATAAGGAGAAATCAACTGACGGGATTTTGTGAATGTGACAATGTTTAATTGTAACATTGAAACATAGACATGATATGTTTATGATGAATAAAGAGAAATCGACTGACTTACTGATTTTGTATTTATTTATTTCTATGTCCATGTGGTGTTGAGGTAACTGTAGTTGAAATGAGTTTATTTTATATTTGAATGTATTGTGAATAACATATATGTCATAATACATTCAAATATATAATACACTCATTTCAACTACAGTTAATATAGTTGAATAATCATAATTTAATATGGACATGTGGTAATCCCTGAATACTAATGATTGAAACCAAATGAATCCATACAGACTCTGATTTACTGAAACGTATGGAACATGGTTAATGTGATTAATAGAAACGAAAATCAAAGGGAAACATAATTGAACTAAGTAAATAAATGAAACCATCTGAAAGTAGAGGATAAGGGAAACCCAATGGAACCTCATAGGAATTTGCGTAACGGAAACTCACTGGGGCCACACAGGAATCTGGGTAACGGAAACGCACTGGAGCCCTACAGGAAACCCGGTAACGGAACACACTGGAGCCTTACTGGAAACTGGATAACGGAAACGCACTGGAGCCATACTGGAAACTGGGTAACGGAAACGCACTGGAGCCATACTGGAAACTGGGTAACGGAAACGGACTGGAGCCATACTGGAAACTGGGTAATTTGTAAGTTTCCGCTTTCCGGAAACTTGAAGGAAATGTAGAGAAACAGTCCGGAAACATAATTGAAACTTAAGTTTCCATTTGGTCCGGAAACCAAGTTATTTTTGCTGTGCATAAACTAGCCTGGTGACCTCTAACTGACATGATCTCTCAAAAGGTAATGGATGGCCCAAAGAAACACGAGGAACAATCTCGCCGATGCAGGCGATCAAATGAAACAATCAAAATCTTCTATATCACAACATCCATTCCCAATACATGGCATGCACGTGATGTACTTATTAATTGACTAAGAGGCAAAGAGAACAGTCTGAATAATACTGCTATCCACAATACTGTTCAACAAAAACAAGGAATGTTTTGCACTAGTTTTTATTGAAACTTCAACATAAAATATAGCAGGAAAATGTCACTGCTTCACACATACTTCCATTTTTTGTTTATTTCAAATTGAACAATATTTATAGGATAAACATTGGATCAACGAAATCTAAATTATCCTAATGTACATCTAACGATACTTTAGGCCGTAGGGTAACAGTAAAAGAAAATCAACAAAGATGGCACGCCGAGTAAAAGAGAGAAGAAAAAGCAATCAACCATTTATAATGTCGATAAGTATAAATACAAGTCATGGCCGATGCAATTCGAGTTAAATATTATCAGCTGTAAATAAAATATCATTTTCAAACTCGTGCCTCAAATGTCCTGAACAGAGGTAAACTCGCACGAAGCAAGGCGTGGTTTCGACACAGTATAGCAAGGGGCAGGTACTCAGGGTTTCACTCCCTCAGTAATGTACACTAAGGGAATCGGCGTCAGCTGATGTCTTAGGTGGAGATTGGTCATCTGATGTCCATGCTTGCTGAACAAATACATTAATGAATGGCATATATTTCAATTGCCATTTATCGTGATACTTGGCAAAGGACATTGTTGAACTGCAATGATCATATCTATCTTAAAAAGGGCCAGAAAGCCCACTTTATCCATACTTTAGTTAGAAAATATTAAGCGTACGATTGTATGATGATTTGGTCTGTTTTGACTGATGTTCCAGTTGTGAGTGAGTGAGTGAGTGAGTAAGTGAGTTTAGTTTTACGCCGCACTCATCAATATTCCAGCTATATGGCGGCGGTCTGTACATAATCGAGTCTGGACCAGACAATCCACTCATCAACAGCATGAGCATCGATCTGCGCAACTGGGAACCGATGACATGTGTCAACCAAACCAGGGAGCCTGACCACCAGATCCCGTTAGTCGCCTATTACCACAAGCAAGAGATACTGAAGGCTCATTCTAACCCGGACTTTTACGGGTAGAGTGAGTGAGTATGGTCTTACGCAACTTTTAGCAATATTCCAGCGCCATCAAGGCGGGTGAGACCAGAAATGTCCTTCACAGATTGTGCCAATGTGGGAATCGAACCGGGTCTTCGGCGTGACAAGCGAACACTTTTAGTTTTATGCCGCTTGTGCCACATACCCAGAGTATCACTTCAGGCACTTCGGTTCAAGTCAACCTGTTGTGTAGGGTTGTGTCCATTAAGAATAGTGCTACACCATACTCCCAGGTAATCAGAATCAAAGTGTATTCATTGTACAAAGATTTATTACACATGGATATATATAATGCTGACGACACAAGGAATACTATGATGGTAACATCAGTGAACAAAGTTGACGTATGGTGTTCTAATTTACATCTGATTAATATGCATTCTTATCTAATCTTTACAAAAACTAATGTAATGTAATAAAAACACTTTCATTCAGATTTATGACATATGGCAAATTATTACTTTGCAGAGAAAGACGCGTTTGCAATCATCATCATTTTTTTCTGAAAGTTCGAATTTGAAAGTTGGGATAGATAAACTCGTCAAATGATTAGTGCTGTGCGTTAATTACGCAAAGTTGAATGACCTGTATGGCCAAAACTTGGGATTCTTAAGAAATGATACTTATAAAACAAATTCAATCCAATTCACAGTCTATATCACATCGTAAATAGATTGCAATAATTTGCTGTCTATGGTCAAGTGGCAAACGTATTCTGAATGTGAAGTGCAATCGTGACGTTAATGTTATACGAGTGAGTGAGTGAGTATTGTTTTACGCAACTTTTAGCAATATTCCATGACGGGGGAGACCATCAATGGGCTTCAAGGATTGTGCCCATGTGGAAATCGAACCCGGGTCTTCTGCGTTACGAGCGAACACTTTTACCACATGGCGACCCCCAAACTGTCACATGACACTGGCAGCTAATGCATAAAAATATATATTGTTGATGTGCGATCACAAACCCGCTTTCATTAAGTAAGGGCATGTCTATGCTGAAGAGAATATCTAAAACCAACTGAGTGAGTGAGTTAATATTTAAAGTCACATAGGCAATATTTCAACCATATCGTGACCAAACAACTTATAGATTTATAATAATTAAAGGTAATTTTAAAAAGTTGTAAAACGAAGGACAGTAAAACAAGTAAATTATCACAGTTATAAATATAAAACAAGTAATTCGTATAAACTGAAGATCGCCGGATGTTACAATATGAACAACTCCAATATGTACAACTTGTGAATCAAACTAATTTCATTTTAGTGCTTTGTTTTCTTCATGTTCTTTCACATCGCCTTTGGACGTTATCACAGTTCCTCTTCTTCGGAACAATGGTTCACACAGTAGAACTACAGCCGTTATGTAACTACAGATTCCAATATAGATGTAACACATGTTGTATGAACCAGTCCGATCCCGGATTGCGCCTGCAGGAAGATAACATATGTTATGATCTAATCCACGATTGATTCAAAGGAAAAACTATATTTACTGAAAATTGGTACGTACTCGTCATTATTGATTATCTGATACTGATGTCAAAACAACGGGACAACAAATAATGTCTTAAATGACCTTTCATTCTATCGGATTCATACGTTTAAATGTATGTATATTAAATATAGTTCAAGCAATCGATGAATGATGGTGATTTTACATATGATGGTGGTTTTATACATATGATATATAATTAATGAATGAATGAGTTTAGTTTTACGCCGCACTCGGCATTATTCCAGCTATAGGGCGGCGGTCTGTAAATAATCGAGTCTGGACCTGACAATCCAGTGATTGACAGCATGAACATCGATCTACGCAACTGGGATACGATGACATGTATCAACCAAGTTAGCGAGCCTGACCAGGCGATCCCGTTAGTCCCCTTACGACAAGCATGGGTTACTGAAGCTCAATTCTAATCCGGATCTTCACGGGTCATATGATATATACATTCCATATCACACATATCAAGGTGTATAGCAACAGTATAGCTATTACTAACAATAGGATCATGGAAGAACCAGTTGTCAAAGATGTCGGTTCGTGGGTCATCAGGACCACAAAATTGCTACTGTGCTTCAGAACAGATATTCAGCCAAAATATTGTTTAAACCCGAGTAAACTGCAAGAAAGGATAAAAATATATGGATGAACAACTTTATTATTTCAAGAAGTTATTCACCCATATATTATGATCCTTCCTTACTGCTCCAATTTCTAAACCCCAGTCAAATAAGTCAGTTAACTGCGCTGAAGTTTTAAACAAAAGAAAGAAAAACACTTAAAAAACATTGATCTTACCGATGATGGGATGTGTGACTGATACAGCAAGTCCATAGAACACGGAAACAAACCCGAGAACTTTCGGCATGTTGTCAAGTCCCATGAAGTCTATTATGGCCACGGGCATCAGACAGTGGAAGAAACTACCAAAGAGTCCAACTATGACAGAATACACAACTAAAAGTATATATGTGTTGTAATAAGAGGCAAACATAGTGGCTGTACCAGATATGAGTACACCAATGGCCATTAAATGGTTTACTTTTAAGTATTTGAGGTCTGCAATAAATCCTACTGCAAGTCTACTGAAGAAGTCAAGCACGCCTGAAATAGTTAGAAGAAGAGCTGCCTCTGCTTGCGGAAAACCCTTCTCGACTACGAAGGCGGGAAGGTATGCTAGCACCAATTTGAAAATAATTCCAAAACTTGCTATGGTAACAAACATCAGAAACTTTGCCTGCTTGAACAACGAAAAATCAAATGATGACAAGGCACGCTTTAGGCACATGCCTACACCTTTGCGTTCTTTTGACTCTTTGTTGTTCCCAGAGGATGATTCAAGATGTGACTCCTGGCTGCTCCGTGATTTGGGTGCCATGCCTTCATGGAAATTTTGATGATGTTTTGCTTTTTCTGCAATCACTGGACGGAATGTCAAGACGTCGTCTCTCATTGCATCCGCACCATTCTCACACTCTTCACCAGTGCTTTCCTGGTCTCGCGCTTTCCTTTCATTCATGACAGATTTCAATCCTGCTGCAGTCTTACGGAATGAACTTAATGGCCTAAACAATGCCCCTCCGACCCACATGTTCATTGTCAGCCCTGTTAGGATCAACATACTTCCCCGGACACCATATTCATCCAGTAGGAAGTTTACTACAGGTGGGAATATACTGTTTCCCAAACTGTTTCCAGATAGGGCCACTGCTGTGGCAATACCTCTTCTCTTCTTGAAGTACTTTCCAATCAGCACCAGTGCTGGGCCACCGACCATTGAATGGCCTAGACCTGTCAAGGAAAGTATTACCTCATCATACATAACCTTTACTCGCTTAATACTGTCGTAATTGTTCAGAGAATAAGTATGCGTTTGCTGACATCACAACTTTGTCAAAGTTACAAAGTACATATACTATTCACAGTTTGCTAAGGATCACTAAAATTCGCAACTTTACTTCAACGCAGATTTATAATTTGAAACTGTATCCATTTAATCTGGATACATAATGATATGGTAACACATCTCCAGGAAAACAGCTACTTTAAGCTAACCGTATGCACTTGATACTTGTGTAACCATAAACATGGTTTGTATGGCACCAATCAAACATTTTGCAAATCATGGCACGGGTCATTGACAAGTACACAACACCTGTCAATAGCAGGTATGGGATCCACAAGATGCAGTAACATACTGAAAACTTCGATCCCTGCTTACAATAGGCTAAGATATTTAAACCAAACTTTTCCCCCCATCATAGTTTTCTGTTGAATCAATGATTTTATCCTTAGCAAGGTGTGAATAGTATATATTTCATCAATGCAACTAATGCAGCTATAGCACCAGTAAATCATACAAGTAAATCCCATCAAAATGCAGTAAGTATCGGAATTGAAAATTGTTTGGTTTGATTCTGTCATAGCGGAATTTGAGCACGTGAACAACATTTCCAAGCTTAGGCTTTATCAATATTGAGTGACTACACACGATATGTACCGATGGCAGACAAAGTAATCCATATTTTATCATTCCAAGAGTAGAGAATGGGATTCCTTGTACTTTGTTATGAAAACACACCAAACTATCCCCCCTAATCAGATACGCAAATTAATGTTATGATACATCTGTACGTCAAAGACCTGCTCTCTAGAGAGCTTATTAACTTAAGGTTTAAGGCATGCAGACTTTGATGTAAGCTGGATCTCTGATTACCAAACCATGAGAAAATATACTATCTCTGTGAAGCCCATCTTGCAACCCAAGGATGTTTATACCCATAGCATGACTGACCCTCCCACAAAGGGAACCTTGCTTGATACTGTGTATTCCTTTGGCATCCGCCATATGCAACAAGAAACGACTCTCATCGGAAAGTGAGCCCTTAAGCCATTTTCCAATGTTCCAGCGAACACGTCGATTTTACCAGGCAAGTTTGTGAGCTGGAGACAGCTTTATACGTTAGATTGGTCTTCGAGCCCTCCATCTTCAAGCTTTCCAAGGATTCCCGACTGTCCCTTTAGGAAACGGTTCTCACATGAACGGGGCCTGACAAGTCTCAACTATCCTCTCTCATTGTTGTCTTACGGAGTCTGGTAGACCTTGGAAGATCTGTTACATCATTGGTAGCACTGTGTTTCTTCAAGAGCTTATATAATCTTTGATAATTCCGCTATTGCGCGAAAATTCAAATTATTAGAACATCTTTAATACAGGAATAAGCTTGCGTACTTATGAAAGATAACCTATTTCAAAACATGGTAAATTTATGTACTGCTTGTGAATACAATTCATGTCCAAGAAATTCCCAAATGAAACTGTAATGTGTATCAAGATGCCTATCTTCAGACACCTAAAGCCTATTATTATTACCCGGTGTATGTTATGTGATTTGATATTTTGTAGATAATATACCCACCAACAAGAATGCTGTGTGTACAGATGAGGTAGGTCATACTGGTGGGGAACACTGCTGTCAGCATCCCCAAGGATGATATTGTTCCGCCAAGAAGTACGGTTTTTCTTTCCCCAAGCAGTTGTAGAATCACATTCATGGTAAAGAGCGCTGCAAACACAATGTGACCACAAGCGAATGCTTACAAATGTATTTTCCATCCCGTGTAAGATGTGTTCTGTTAAACAATGTTCGCTTACGTCAACAGCATCGGCGCGAGCAGATATACAAGAACATATAACATTCTTTCTGTAAAGTTTTGTTGAAATATTTGACATGAGATAGTTTTAGCTTGTTTTAGATTACTTTTCTTTATTACTCACAACCCAGGCTGTATGATGCTGACATCACACCCATGAATAATGTTGTTTTTAGAGCAGATGCCTCGAATTCATTCACGTATTCTACGAAGAATAGGCCTTTAGCTTGTCCATATCCGACCATCAAAATGACATTCAGGAAACTACCTGGAAAAGTCAGCATTCATCAGATACGACTTCGACGACATAATGAAATCGATTGGAATATTATGGATGACATGTCAGCTATTAATAACAATGTAAGTGATAACAGACACCCCGTATTAGAAAAACGACAATTGTACAACATACATATATACTCAACAAAGTTAGAAACTTGACACCCAAATTATGTTTCGAAGTTTCTTCTTGTGCAACTCGTGGGCTGCTTATAAGTATACTTGGCGACAGACGTGAAGCGTGAAGAAGCGCGGCAAACAGCGAGTCATGTTATAACCTTAGGGTACTAGAATGTAACCATACATACATTGCTTGCAAGTTTAATCGAAAAGCATGTGTGTCGCAAATCAAAAAATGTAGCATGAGCGTGGCATGAGTAGGTTTGTTTGCTAGACAATCTGTTGTAGCCCTTGCAGGAGTCCCGGGTTGCAATAATTGTTTTGTCCGACTATATCCCGTTTGAGAAACATACGGGCACCGTTGTAGATCGCTCAATGTGAGAAGAAGATCACCATCTCCACAACAGGTATTTGTCAGAGTCCGCATCAGACCATCTGGAATGGTCTGATGCACCTCAGGTATTGGAGCCACACGACCATAAACAGGACCTATCCTGACGCAATGTGCTCATTAGCAACGTTTGCGACAGATCCACCCGGTATGCCAGGTTGAAACTGCACGTTTTGCTGATTGCAGAATACAGTGGGAAGGGGTGTCATTATATTCCAAACAAAGTTACCGCAATCCACATTCCATCGTCTGTATTGTAACCCTGATGGAAGCTGTATGATACATATCTAGTTTAATAATAGTTGTACATTGTATATGAAATTCAATTTAACAAGTGTCATGTTTGTAACGTAGCTATGTGACTATATATATTCACGTACCTATACACCTCTCTGTCATTCATAGATTTGGTAGCGTGTTGTAAGCTTGCCACAATGCCGCTATAAACGATATTTCGGTCATATTATGGCTTAACTTATTTGTCTGTTTTCTGTCTGTCTGTTATGGATCTGAGCTTAGTGAAGATCTGGGCCCCGTTTCACAAAGCTCTTGTAGCGCTGCGACTATCGTAAGTCATTGTTACAGTATAGGAGGTAGGGATGCTACGAGGAAAGTTACGAGATCTTAGGCTTACTAGAGCTTTGTGAAACGGGTCCCAGGGTAGGTGTATTATTAAGTAGCCTATGCATACAGAAAGAGGCGACTTGCGGGTCAGACTCGTTGATCTGGTCCATGCATGTCATTGCATTCCTATTGCGTAGATCGATGTTTATGGTGCCATTCACTGGATTGTATGGCCCATGCTCATTTACAGACCACGGTCATATAGCCGGAATATTACCCATTGTGGCGTTAAACAGCCACCAAACAAATCAGCACAGGCACTCGCGACACCCTTGGCCGCCTGGAAAAAAATATAATTGCTGGTTTCATCTGAGCATCAACATAAATTGTCATTGACAGACTTAAGAAAAGCATCCAGCATAAAAAACCAAAACCAAAATACCAGCGCCTTGAGCATGCACTAGTGCGTGGATATGTGCGCTATGTAAATATGCAATAATAATAATAAAGTGTAGGCTATTCTGCAAAATAGAAGGCAAGTTGGTCACCTGCTAGAACAACCCAAGCCCATCCACGGTCTATGGGCAGACCATCATCCTGTTCTTGTGGCTGATTGTCTAACTCTCCTCCATCCTCATCGTCCTTCAGGAGCTTTTTGGCAACATCTCCATCTCCGTTCGAGCTGACTACAGTTACGGCACACAACTCCGCTTCATCACTTGCTGCTTGTCCAGGTTTCGACGTGGGCATTCTGCTGTTGCCTACATCGGATGGTATACGTAGAATTATTCTCGATGGTTGTCACGCCTAAAAGCTGGGTGAAGTGTGCGTAAAGTAGGTCACAATTATATTTGAACAATATTTCTGTTACATCCTAGTGCGTTCGCTCTCTACATTATGGAAGTGTTCTAGGTTATTTGCCAAAGGTCATGGTTACATATCAAAGAGTACAGAGTGCGAATGTGCAATGAAAACTATCTCACTAATACCTGACATATATCTAAATGTGTGTCTTTGGTAATTACGTTTCATCATAGCATCTTCATATAAAGTTAGTCATAAACTTTAAGGGGACGTACGAACATAGCAATGCTTCAAATTTATTACAAATGGCTATTCATGTTTACAGTGAGACAGACATTACAAAATCTCTCATTTTCATTTTCTCCCATACGTTTGCTAGTGTATATTGTTAGTTTTTAAGAGAACGTCTCTGACATTTGGCTAATTTATAAAATTCTGCCAAATTACAATCCACAGACATATAGTGGATGATATATTCTAGATAGCCAAATTATGGAATCATTACTTTCCATTTGTCTCATATTGTATCATTTTTGCCACAATAATCATATATTTTTTTCAATATTATACAACAATATTTAATAGTCCTTTAAAGATATAAATATACACATGAACACAGATGGGTAAATTAATTCAAAGCAAAACTTTAAAAGGTGCTGAATGTACAACTTCTATGTTCTTAACAACACTAAGTCCCCATATTTCTACACTGTAAGATAACAAATAGAAATAGCAATGATATCTGGAATTCCAGGGGATAACTAATAACTTAATGCTTAACATTAGAAATAATCAAAATATACCAAAAATACCTTAGCCTGCAAACATATTATTTTCTATCCTTTGCCCCTACCACTGAGTCACCGAATAAGATACCAACATATTTATGACAGGAAGCGCAATCTTTTTGGTCGCCATATTGGAACAACTTTGCATGTTTCGATCATCTCCCGCCATCTTTGAAAACTATGACACGATGATTTTTAGCCATCATGCTGTGTTCGAAGTTAAGCCTTTAATACATGGCGTCTCTCCTGTACACCAAAATTACGCAAAATATTATTCAGAAAAGGGAAATAGAAGTGGGCTTAGGATACACCTTTGACAACACCTATTGCAGATTCAATGCATTAAAATATTACTATTAAGCTTGATGTACGCTGTAAGACTTGCAGAGAGACCTTGGATTGATTTGAACATGTTACAACTGACCTGTAATATAATGAAATGTACTACATTTTGCCTCAATGACGACGAGAAACATTTTATTATGTTTTTAGCGAAACAAGGATACCATTTCATTCTCTTTTAAAACAGGTCTCAAGACATACAAGTACTTTCAAAGTCATCAAATGTATTGCAGTTAGCGTTGTTGACACATATAAATATATTATTTTGTGTTCAAAATAGAATTGATAAATTATTTATGATGTTAACATATCACGCATATATCACGCATGAAAAGTGTGTCTTCATCTTGCACCGATTCAACAGATTAACTTTCTTATCCATAAGAGACAACACAAGTGACCAACAAAGATAGTCTTGTCATTGAGTGCAAGTATTATGAGAAATAATTCTTCATTAATCGTTCCCTATTACATGGATCCACTGTGCACATTATGATCTTGCTGTTGTTACCTTCAATGAGGTGTTTTCTTTATGATACTCACTAACGTTGTTTCGAATCGGTATTGTGTTGAGCTCAGAGCCTATATACATCGAAGTCAATATGAGTCTAAAGAACATAAATCATTACCATAGGATTACACGATGTTATTACAATGACATTTCATGTAATGTTATAAAATAACAATGTCATACATAAGTTTGTATAACGCGTCAGCATCCTCAACGATATATCGAGTGTATAGATGTAACCCAGCCTTCAAAATGTCGCACATATTTCATAAGAATCACTAAGAAATGGTTCTCTGAGAATGAAATCAAATGATTTAAGTCCATATCTCTAGATATAACGTATTATTAAATAAAACACGTAACATCGGTTCAACGATGCGAACAGAATGCAAATACACGTTTGACTCTCTTACTAACATTTGTACAACTCAAACATACCTTAAGCTGACCTGTATCAGTCAACGTAGTTCACCTCCTCTGCTGAATGTAAAGTGACAAAGCTATCACAGATGACCCACATATTACCAATGAAAACCGAGATTCTGAACATGCGTTCTGTCTTTTATCAGATTTGATGATTTTGTTCTCTGTAGGTATCAACGTGTCATCTTCGTGATACTAACCCCAGACAGTGGAGTTAAGATTTACGGTGTATGAAAACACCCATACAAATACACTCATTTGTTTTACACCCGTGTACAGACGAAGAGAAAACAAAGAGAAAAGGACAATGGCTTACTTCATCCAGTTTCTATGAAGACAATGACTACCCAGTTAAATACACTGTTAGCAAAATATTATGCAACCGACTGAAAATAGCTTTCTTTCTTTAGCTTATTTTCTCAGCAATATATATGGCTTCTGTCTGTAAGTAAATCGTGTCTGGACAGGACAATCGAGAGACTGACTATATGCGCATCGATCCCCGCAGTGGGGTACGATGAAACCCAAGCCTGATAGCGTTAATCGCCTTTTACGACAATCATGGATCATATAAGACCATCTTCAACCCGATCTTAACTGGTCTGAAAATAAGGGGACTTAGTAGTAATGATGTAATGATCATATATGTCCATAAATCATTATGTACGAGTAGACCATTATCTGGAGTGTCCACCATGTTGGGTGATACGTGTCCGACAATGATGCCATACTGTTGATGACACTGCGTACGGTTACGATTAGTATTGCCCACCATTGCGCCTGACGTGTAGTACCGATATTTGGCGTACATCCTTCGCCCGACAACTTCCGCAGATGCTGTATTGAGGACAAATCACCGGGCCAGCGGTCCAAGGTATGTATGCCTTCTCGTAGGATACAATCAGTCGGCCAAACCACCATATGCATGTTCACTGGCATTGTCAACTTGGAGTTACAAACCTCTTTTCAAAAAGAGGTAACATGTCATGAGTGGTGTTGCCCCAATCGTGCCACTAAGTATCAAATCGATAATGGTCAATAATTGTTACCCTGGCATACCGATTCCTTCTGCTAACAGCCCCATCTGCACTTTGTGAATCGGAGGTGAAACCTTGTCTCTGAACTCACTCACTCACTCACTTACCAGACTTCGGCTTTGATGTGATTAGATCAAACCCAAAGTCATGGCATAAGGTACATCTAAACGATAAATGCATTCGCTCCATTGTTCTATTATCATATCTATAATACCTATGCACGTACAATGAACTTTCATATCGTTTTATGCGTTGCCTCAAAACTTCAGTGACACACTGCTTTAAAAAGTGATTTTATTAAATATCATGCAATTTGCAACACTACTACATCAGTGGGTAAAGTGTGAGGCACTAAACAAATCGACTTTATATTTTTTCGCCTCAAGACGGGCTGACACAGCCGAGATACACTGACAAGGTCACCCTGCTGTCCTTCACCTTCATTCGCTGTTTCTAACATTTCACATACCCGTGCAGGCTGAAGTGGAAAATCCGAGCCTCCTCGTACACCTGACCTACATCGCGCGATATGTTATCTGCCTTGCTATTTGATCGCGAGAATGTTAGGACTTCCATTGCTTTCTCTTCAACGTGTCTGCTATCAGATAGGCCGGTTGAGTACAATTGGCACTGTAGAGTTGCGGCCCTTGTCTGTTCAAGTATCCGTTGATCAAGGTATCAAATCGACTTTTCCCACCAATACACACATATTATGCAAATAACTCAAATACTGTGCACTCAGTTAAAAGCTGGGTTTTCAGATGTACGACTACAAATCATTGCAATATTGCTGCAATTCATAAGCAATGTATAATAAATCGTCCGTTCACTCAAAATCCCATTCACCGTTTCTTATATTTCTTCAGTGACTGACATCATGTCTTAACGATTGATATTTGTCTTCTCACTTCATGTTGTAGACTTAATATAAGCGTGTATCCGTATGTCGTATCATATGTTAGGAAAACAGCTCATGTTATTCCTTTATATCCCAATCACAATATCAGTTATACAGAAACACATTCAGCTAATAATATATACATATGGATGCTTCTATATCGATTAAATGAAGGTCTGTTATGCTGCCTTAGTTATGTGATAGATTAGAAGAAAAAAATAAGCCAACTTCCATATACGCGTATTTCAGGAATAAATAGTTCACGTGTCTTTGAAATGCAAACTAAAATGCATACTGTTTCATTTGGCAAGTTGCCGTGGTTGCCATGTCGTCTAATCTGACCACCCGACCCCGTTAATTGCCTTTATCAAGACGCATGCAAGTTCAAACACTTTTCATAAAGTTGGAGGATCACATTCGTATCTACTGGTCCGATATTTAAAAACAAAATTTTACAGCCTCGACATGTCAATATTTATGCACAATGATCCCGTCATATCCAGTATGTTCCATTAAACGCACACGGTAACTGGGTGTAAATGTCCAAATGATATGAGTTAACATACGAGAAAAAAACCATAATCAATCTACGCATCTACGTAAGACATGATATATCTGGGATTACACGTTCTCAGAGTGTAGTATTTTTGTTGGGTTAAGTCCCATCACAGACACAGAGTAGGAGTCTATCAAGTAGAAACTAAGTTGTTTAGACGGCTGACTTTGTGTGCTGGCGAGTAGGTGCCTGACTCTGAGGATGTGAGATTGAATCACGGATGGGACTCAACCCAACAAAAGTACTAGAATCTGTACTTTACTGAGAAAGTGTAATCCCATATATAACAGGGCCCCGTTCCTCAAAGCGATCGTAGCGCTAAGATGATCGTAACTCCCATACTTTAACATAGACTTACAACTGTCGTAGCGCTACGATCGCTTTGAGGAACGTGGCCCAGGTGTTACATTTGACCACTATCTAAATGTCATTGCGTATCCAATCTAAGCATCTATACACGTCATTCGTAAGCACACGGTCTCTTAGTCATTTTTCAGTGGTTGGCCTTCTTCTGGGTCCTTTCCATCTAATGGCGTGGTCGTCTTCTTTGTGACTAGTGGTATGCAGAGGAGCAATATGGCACAGATGTAGTTGCATATTCCAAGGTAGTTAAAGCAGAGATTGTACGAACCAGTCAGGTCACGAATGGCCCCTGTAAAAAAATGTTTTACCATAAGAAAACTTAAGTAAACATGTTGGCAAAAAGCTTAAATATTTCACAATTGATATCTTACCTTATATGGTTTAGTTTTGGGTACAAATTTGAGCGTTCAGTCTTCTCACATCGATTACATAATGGTTTTTGCGTCAGTTTGTACCATAACAGCAAGGAAGCAGGATATCAGTGAAGGTGCAGAATAGCAACCACACGATCAATCTGATTCATACATTATAAGGGCAATGGGATAGGGGAGTGGTGAAAGCGTTTCCTCAGTACGACGGTCAAGGTTCGTTCACCACAAGTGCACAGTATGTGTAACCTAATTAATGAGCTCTGAAAATGGCTGGAATGTTCTTCAAGTGGCGTGTAACAATACTCGATTTTACCAGTTAAATAAGTGACTTCATAGATGCATTGCGATGACTTGATCGACTGAGAGTTATACCAATTTATATTTCCACACTCAGATGACTCTCTCTCTCATTATAGATGAGTGTAGTGATATGCAAAAATACTCTTAAAAAAAGAAACTTGACATGCTGTTTTGGAGTTTACTTACTGAGTGCATATAACTGATCCAAACATGACATCATCCCTGACAGTAAAATCATCACTTTACAAATTTCCAAAACATGATTATCCAGAAAGTGTGTGGTAAAACCACAGAGGGCTATTAAAGCCATTTGGTCAGAGTAAAATGTCAGTATCTGGTGTGACCACCGTGAGCATCGATAACAGCTTGGCCCCCGAAGTTTCTAAGGGGGTGGATTACGCTGGCGCAAGTGTCGATCAAGAGTATCCCATAGATGTCCAAGGGGAGACAAATCGGGTGATCGAGAAGGCCAAGGTAACGCCTGAACATTGTTTTGCTGGGGGAAGTCCTGTCAAACACATGCAACGTGAGGTCGAACATTGTCATGCTCCAAAGATCAACAGCTGACGTTGATGAAGGAACGACGTGACGTTGAACTGGTCTTCTGGCAAAAAAGACTGGCTTCCCACAGCCAATTGCGCACTGTCTGGTCGGAGATTCGGTGCAGTCCAGGGATTTGGATTGTTATGGATGATGCGGCCGTGGCGTTTGAACGAAGATGTCTCAACCGGATGTAGCGATCCTGGGCGGCGGTGGTAACTCAAGGTCGACCTGACCTAGGTCTGTCATCAACACTTCCAGTATTGTTGTATCGGGACCATAGGTTTGAGATGGTCTGTCTGGACGACGCTGAAGTGCCTTGCCACCTCATGCTGCGATGCCCGTCCTTGTAAACGGCCGATGGCATTGTGTCGTTGAGCTTCTGCCAGTCATTTCATTCTCTTGTTGTCTATAGTGGCTTAAAGCAATGCATGTGGAGTACCACTGGTGTGGCTTTTTAAAGCCTACAGTTATAGGCTTCAGCTCAGGGTGATACACAATTTCACGATGCACGAGCATGTCATGTAGGGTGCGTTTTAGCGATTCACTACAGACGTGAGTGTAACGTTACGTTTTTTGGTCAACGTTTCTTTTTTCAAATGTTTTGTTGTCGGCAACCATTCCCCCACATGTTGGGATTCAGCATGGATTAGTTTGTGTCAAATATGTTCCTAAAATTAACATTCTTCCTATGTCAGGTTTCTTGTTTTGAAGAGTATATATTACACTGAATAAAACGTGGAAAACTTACCCATGATAGGATGTGTCAAAGCCATGGCAAGTCCATGAAACACGGCTACGAATCCAAGAACGTTGGCCATATTTTTAAGTCCCATAAACTCAACGATGGCAAGGGGGATCAGACAATTATAGAAGCTGCCAAATAACCCGGCAAGCACGGCAAATACGATCAAAAGAGTGTACGAGTTATAGAATGAAGCAAATTGAGCTACGGTTCCAGATATTACTATTCCAATGGCCATCAAATGATTGATTTTGATGTATTTGAAGTCTGCCACGAACCCAACTGCAAGTCTACCGCAGAAATCCGTCACGCCTTGAATAGTCAACAGAAACGCTGCCTCTGTAGGACCAACGCCTTTTTCCTTTGCGAGCACAGGGAGGTATGCGCCTGTTAATGTGAAAACCATACCGAAATGAGTATATGCTGCGAGCAGCTGAAACATTGGCTGTTTGAACAATGAAAAGTCAAACGCTGCAAACGCTTTTTTAACATGCATCCATACACTTTCATGTTTATCATCAACATCTTGCAGAGGATTAACATCTCGTAAATCAACCAACGACAATGATGTCAAATCAGGGTTGCTTGTATACATTCTGAGATGATATTCCGAACGATCGCATATTTGAGATCCATAGCTAATCATCGAATCAGGCCTAGTTCTTTTACGGACAGCTCTTTCTTTATCTGTGACCACTGGAATGCCCGGCTTGCTGGTATTGTTTGCGCCAAGGTCATTCACGTCCATCTTTACAGTACAGTCTTTTACATCTTCATTTTCGCTGCTTTCATGGATCATCTCTAAACCAGGGCCATTTCCTTGATCTTGATTCCTGAATGATATTTTCTTCGGTGTCTTCTTTTGGAAAGAACTCAATGGTCTAAACAGGGCTCCCCCGACCCAAATGTTCATGGTCAGCCCCGTCAGGATCAACATACTTCCTCTGACACCATATTCATCCAGCAGGAACCGAACGAGAGGTGGGAAAACGCTGCCTCCCAAACTGATTCCAGACATGGCTATAGCTGTGGCAATCCCTCTTCGTTTCTTAAAGTACTTCCCAATCAGTACCAATGCCGGGCCGTGTATCATTGAAAGCCCTATACCTGGAATTAAACGCACAATATTCATCAACATTATCAAATCATCATCATCATCATAATTAAATCATCACAATAAAATCATCATCCTCTTCATCGTCATCATCATCATCAGCATCAGCATCATAATCAAATCATCCTCATCAAATCATCACAATAAAACCATCATCATCATCATCATCATCATCATCAAATCATCAAGTCATCAAGTCATCACAATATAATCATCTTCATCGTCATCTCCATCATTATCATCATCGTCGTCGTCGTCACGGCATAAACTACTCTCTACTATATTCTGTATTACACATCTTACTGCAATTTCACACTGGCATTGTCATGAACGTGTGACCTTATTTTTATATACCAACCCATAAGAATGCTGTGTGTGCAGATGAGGTAAGTAATACTGTTGGCGAACACCGCTGTAAGCATCCCTAAAGCTGCTGCTGTTCCACCAATGATAACAGTTTTCCTCTCTCCAAGCAGTCGTAGAATCACAGTCATGGAAAATAGTGCTGTGAAGACACCAAATTTCGAGGGTGACAATTAAGATTTAATATTTTTATTAAAAGCACCTATTCCTTTTTCCCCAGTAATCGGAAAACTGATTTACGTAGATATGCATTGAATATTAAATTGAGATACTTACCAAAATTAGCAATTCATTTATAGGCTCAAACTGAAAACGGTTTTGAACGTTTTTAATTTACTGATGGAATCAAAACATATGTATTGAGCAAAGGCTTATTACAAAGTTACTATACTCAGCGTGATTTTCTCTACTCACAACATGGACTCAAGATTATGTCTTTCGCAATATTGAACCGGTCAAATGAACATACATTTATGACAATTTAATGCCCAGGAATGATTCAGTTCCTCAGGGCACGTCAAAGGGGATGCTCGGCACCTTGTATCCTTGTGGGATACAGAATATGTTCACAATGTTCATAATACACTTATATATACAATCAACATGTCAGTGAACGCAATCTTCTTTATAAAAGAACGGTATGTAAGCGTGATAAATACATACACGCAATGCTAGAAGTGCCAGCCATAACTCCCATGAATAAAGTTGTCGTTGCTGCAGATGCCTGGAATTCCTTCAGATACGCCACAAAGAATATGGCGATACCTCTGGCATATCCAACCATGATGAACACATTCAGGACACTACCTGAAATAGAATCAAAAGCAGTGAATCAAGTATTTCCATAGAAGCGACAAAACCCTTTCCACATTTATAAGAAATCTCTGCCAAAAACAGAGTCGATTGTACAATTGTGACTACATGTATATCATGAGCAGGTATGTTTTCAGCAGAATTACAGCTGTTTGATGTTCTCTGAACCAGACAATAAAGTGATTGTCACTATATGATGACAGAGCATGTGTTTATGAATCACTGTGAAATAGTGATGATACCAGGTGGCACCGGCCATCAACATATGCTATGTCTAGTCATTTGTTCACCTGAAATAATTCGGGAACGTATGGTATAATTCAAAATAGGGAACTGTACTGGACATATTTTTTTGCATCAAATTTGGAAATTTCCTCCACATGTCTATCATAAAACTTCTTAAAAGCTTTACTGAGGCCTTGGATGTTGTAACTACTAAAGATTTATCTGCAGAACAAAACAAAGCTTATATTCATTCAGGTACATGTCATTATGATACCATATTGACATACAAGAACCACTCTGATGTATTCCTCGATATATAATGACCATGCATATCATACTATGCACATTGAGATATAAGACTGTAAGACTTATCCTCTTACCATCAATCAAGTAAAAATATATTTGTGCTTAAGTTCACCTGCTAATACCACCCACGCCCAACCACGGTCGATGGGAAGACCGTCATCTTCTTCAGATTGTGTCTTATCTTCTTTTAGTCCAACATCGTCTCCATCCTCCAGAAGCCTGTCCTCAACATCTCCTGGATCATTATATGTTGCTCTTGTTGCAGAAGACAATGGGTTGTGTTCCTCATCCCACAGGTTCTCTCCTGACTTTGTCCTGGCATTGCCATTGTCTTCATCATGATCCGATTCCATTTGTCCTCCCTCATCCTGATTCTGCTTATCTTTGGAACCAGACATTGTGATGGGGATGGTGCTTGAAACATAAGAAAATATAGATAAAAATGACTTAACAATGAATAAAAATAACAATTTAGTTGTAACCGAAGAATGTAAGAAAATAGCTAAGAATCACATCAGCACACCGTAGCCATGACCATACCACACACCACTATACGTAAACGCATTTACTTGTCACGCTAAAACATATTTTCAGGTAACACAAGAGCTTCGCTCAGAAAGAAAAACAGATCACAGTGTATCAGGTAACACAGTGTATAAAGTAACTAAGATATCATGTTAACTATATAAGGCTATATCTCTTAACGAAGCCATGTTACTAAACAGAATTAATGTTTTCACAAATGATACTAGTAACACAAGAGCCTTACTCAGAAAGAAAAAACAGATCACAATGCACCAAGTAACACCGATGAAGTAACTAAGATGTAATGCACTAATTATATTAGGCTATATCTCCCTACGATGTCATGTTACGTATACTGACCAGCGTTAATGTCTTCACGACTGCAGCCAGCTACTACACAAATGTCCTACATTCCCCTGCACCGTGCACCACACCTTACAAGGGAGGGTGTATACTGTACAGTTTCAAGGAGACCGGGTTGAGCACAGGTATGCTGACATGACCTTATGCAGTTGATAACAAGTCGACATTACACCTGCACAATACAGTCCTTGATGATCACGTGGTCATGCAGTTGAAGTGATTATTTAGGTTCGCACAAATGATGTCCTGTGCAATTCCGTTTTGTTTTGTACCTTGTTTCTCAGTGCTTATTAAAGTGAATTCTTGATTTGTTCACGAATGTGTTTGTGGCGGGTGGTCCCCATAGACTGGGATCTCTCTCAAACATGTGTCATGGTAACTCTATGCTAGTGATTCACAAACATCAGCTGGTAGTATACATTGAATCGTGCATAAGATTTCGCAAAATATTTCTTAAAATACATCTGAATCTCATCTGATTTCGTGGTGATATTTCAGATATCAGTGTTGCCACGAGACAAATATGCAAAATACGATGTTTTGTGAAACAAAATAGCATGCCATGCTTCACATGATAATGTACATGTGGATGTTGGTGATCGTTTGTTTATTGTTCAACACCTCACCCAGTTATGCCCCTCTATATGGCTTTGGTTTGTAAATAATCGAGTCTGGAACTAGACAATCCAGTGACCAACAGCATGAGCATCGTTATACTCAATTAGGCAAAGGATGAAATGTGTCAACCAAGTCAGGGAATCTGACGATCCGATCCCGTTAGTCACCTCTTACGAAAAGCATGGGTTGCCGAAGACCAATTCTAACCCGTTTCTTCACGGTCTAATGTATACGTGAAATATATCACACGTATTTGTGCATATATCACATGAACCATATTTGCATACATATTGAGACAAAATGTCTGTCGATACATTAACAGTTACTTTTTAGAATTAAACCCAATGATTTGCCTGTATTTAGTACACGCCGCATATAACTGAACGTACGAAAATTATAATGATGTGAACTTTATATATCACATGTATAGGACACACAGGTGATGGTCATTGTGGCCAATACTGGCTTGTCTCATCAAAACGTAATATTTACCGACAGCCATCCTAAAACTGAAATATTCCTGAATACGGCGTCAAAACAACAAACTGATAAACAGATAAACAAACACATCCCAGAGGGACGTTTTGGAACAAATTCATTTACAGACAAAAACAGAATATAGAGCTAGACGCTCACCTACAACGCTCAGTCCACAACGACGAGGCCAAGATAAAGCGGCTAATGACTAAACCCTCACAGTTGCCCACCCGCATGTCTAGGGCTCGTGTGTACCTGCGTGACTCAGTGGTTTTGCTCCGTTACGTGAGAAAATTAATCAGGTATTATTTTGAGGTGTAGCTTTGAACATGATATGAAGGTTTAAAAAGGTGTTATTAAATCAACAACAGTTGGAAACCCTCTTTGCCTTGATGACGATATTATCTATTCATGTGAAGCTACATGCGTACATACCATGTGCATACCATGTGCATACCTTGTGCATACCATGTGCATACCATGTTTCGGATCATTTTGTTTGACTTGTTTATCTTGTTTGTTGGTCTGTTTGTTCTTTAGCTCCACGCTAAATGTGGTATGTAAATTAATCGAGTCTGGACCAGACAGTAGAGTGATTGACACCATAGGCATCGATATATGCATTTGTGATATGTGTCAACCAAGTCAGGGAGCCCGACCATCCGATACTAGTCGCCTCTTACGACTAGCATGGGTGGCTGTAAACTCAATTCTAACCCGGATCTTCACGGAGTACATTTTATTTGAATACGAAAAAATATATAACCAATTTGGTCATATTACTTACACGAAGTTAATCATAAACATAAATGCTTGCCAAAGAAATCAAAATATACTTTCCACAACATACGTCGCCCACCACACATACATATTGATTTGAAACTACCAGCGAATGATCCCAGTTAATGACCTAGATATGACCTAGATATTTAGCGTCAACCGTTATCTTTCAGTCCCAGCTATTGAGCAAACATTACAAGTTTATAATCAATGAAGAGATGGGTGTTTTGGGTGTGGAAAATATGCAAGTCAATGTGAGACGTCCTTACCGTATCCCTTGACTCAGCAGTTTTCATTTAATAAATAGCAGTTGGCGTTTGCAAAGACCGACTTTGATCTAACTAATATTCACGTCGTGGTCGGTAGGGTAGCCTAGTGGTTAAAACATTCGTTCGTGAAGGGTAAAGTCCATGTCGTGGAGCCTTTTAGGTACCGTTGTATTGCCGAAATATTGTTATAATTAAAGTTGCCCAAACCCTATTCATTCACTGTCACTTTGCAATACCAGTCTGCCTGCAGTATCATTGATGTATATGGAGCTGACTAGTCTTCGTAAGAAAAACCTCTTTGGACATTCGTACATTTTATATGTTTGCCATCCCCAACATGAGCAGCAAGATAGCGGAAGGGCGAAATGAAGAATAACATTCAAATAAATATACACGTTTATCACTAATTTGTGACTTAATTCATTTTAAAGTTAGAACACTTGGCGATAGTCTTAATTTAGACTGATTTTTTTATGTAGAGTCCCAATGCTTGGGAAATGTTTCTAGATAAAACAGCGACCAGACAATCTAGTGATCAACAGCATGAACATCGATCTACGCAGTTGGGATACGATGGTGTGTCAACCAAGTCAGTTAACCTGTCCACCCGATCCCGTTAGTCGCTTCTCACGGCAAGTATGGGTTGCTGAAGACTAATTCTAACCCGGATCTTCACGGGTCTGGCTGTCATCATACGGGGTCGGCATGGACTGTTGCTCAAGCTATCAATTGGGGATGACGAAAACAGATGCGTCCGGATCAAGATTTTTGACAAATAGTTCTAAGCAAACAAAGAGTAAATTTAGTGTTTTTCTGTTTGCTTGTTTGTTTAACGCTTCTGTTTGTTGGCTATGCGACGGCGATCTGTACATGATAGAGTCTGGACCGGACAATTCAGTGACTGACATCACGTTCATCGATTTATGCAACTGGGATATAAGGACACGCATCAACCATGTCTGCGTGCTTGATGATCTGATCACGTTAGTCGATTCTATCAACACGCATGGGTTGCCGAACCCCAATCATAATTCGGATATTCAAGGATAAACGAAATGATGGTCATTTTACGAGCTCTCACAGTATTCATGGAAAACACTGTCGGTAGGTGTGGTGTCTGGAGACTCAACATCTTAGGGCTCAGAGATTAAACTAGGTTGAGGAAGTGACTTTCCATCATGCCTGTATAGATCATATTCCAGGTAAGCACAGTCAAAAACGACCCGTGAAGATCCGGGGTAGAATAGGTCTTCAGCAGCCCATTCTTGTCATAAAAGGCGACTATGCTTGTCGTAAACGGCGACTAACGGGATCGGGTGGTCAGGCTCGCTGACTTGGTTGACACATGTCATCGGTTCCCAATTGCGCAGATCGATGCTCATGCTGTTGATCACTGGATTGTCAGGTCCAGACTCGATTATTTACAGACCGCCGCCATATAGCTGGAATATTGCTGAATGCGGCGTAAAACTAAACTCTCCCAGTCACTCATTCACAGTCTAAAACTGACGGTTTCAGACACTCGGCTCAGCCAAGACCTCCCACTTGGGCGCATATAAAAGATTCAGTGTTTACCTAGAGTAGTAAACACTTGCACTACCTTAGATATTTCTTTCACGTGAAGTTTGTATTTCCTCGCACAACAGAAATCCTGTTCAAATCGGAATTAAATATACCTCACCAAGACTGAGGGTTTGAGTTTTTGCCTTTAGTGGGGTAACCCAGTGGTTGAGTGTTTTCTTGCCAAACGCCTCGCATCGAGGTACAATTCATTGGTACAAACTGGTTCAGTGTATGAAACCAACAATATTTGGTTTAACAGTATTTATTTCCTGAAAGACTGAGACTGATTTTATTTTACGAAAATACTCCAGCAATATCACAGTAATGCCCATACAATTTCGGCGTGATATTAAAGCAAATTAAGAATATTAAACAATATTTAATATATCATGGGGCAGTTGGTGAAATTGGCACTTCTCACTTTCGTACTTTAAGCATTTGCTCACAAACGTTGGCCTATTTACTGGTATATAACAGGGCAGTTAAAGAAAATTGACACTTCTCACCACCATAACTAGATACACTCATGAGTATTTGATCAAAGGTGAAGATCCTCCGTTTTGTATCCCTTGTGATGAGAAAATCACAGTCAAGCATGTCCTGCTTGATTGCCATGATATTTCCATCACAAGGGATAAATATTTTAATGTCAAAACAATTAAGGATCTGTTTTATAATGTTAATTATCATTTAATTATTGAAAATTTAAAGGAAATAGAATTATTACATAAATTTTTAATAATATTTTTTGTAAATAGATATATGATATTTTAAACATGGTAGTATGAATTAGCAACTGCGATTGTTAGTGGCTGTATCCTCAAAGGGGGTTAAAGTGTCGTAAAAATTTGTCCTCCTGAGAAGGTACGCAAGTCCCGATAACTTTCAAAGTCAATTTCACTCAACCATACTTTTTAATCGTAGTATTTTGTTTATTTTAACTTTCGGCTAAATCTTCCTACCATCTCCAGTGGCTGAAGGGATGGTGTAAATCCAGCTAGGGTCCATACAGGTAGCAAAAGTAATGTAAGTCCCCATCGTTCCTAGTATGGTGATCAACCTTCAGTTGTTGGCGATCTACAGCCCGTGGTTTATATTGTACTAAAATGTTTTAGTTTTATATGCTAGTTTTATGTTCATATCTGAAATACCCTAGTATCTTTACTGTCCATTGTCGATAGGTTTTACTCTTCAAAATGTTTTCATTTTTATTGTATAAATTGTTATCGTCACGATATGGCTGAGATATTGCCGATGTGACGTTCAATATAAAATCAGTCACTCACTCTTACAACCATAGTTTAAACATTTGCTCACAAACGTTGGTATACTTTACATCATAGGGCAGTTGATGAAATGTTATTTATCACAGAATCATTCATCCACTATTTCTAGTGTGTAATACCTAGAGACCAGTGTAGCATCATAGAGTTATGTTTTTATGATGAAATGGTAAGGACTGTAATGTAACGTAGTTTTGTTTCGGGTGATACTTTCTCAGTACATGAAAAATTTGCAAACATAAGTTTGGCCCAGTCCTGCCTCAGCGTGCGGGGGACGGTGGGGTAGCCTAGTGATTAAAGCGTTCGCTTGACACGCCGAAGGTCCGGGTTCGATTCCCCACATGGGTACAATGCGTGAAGCCCATTTCTGGTGTCACCGCCGTGATATTGCTGGAATATTGCTAAAAGCAGAATAAAATCATACTCACTCACTCACTCAGCGTGCGGCGCAAAATCGCCAGCACACAAAGTTGGGTTTGTGACGAAGTTTCATTGTTGGGATTTCTCTCGTAAAATATCGCCGATTTCACCCAGGCATAGGTCTCCTGTTACAAACTGGCGTCAGTTGGATTAATTCTCCGCACGAACATGGTGGAACAGTCCATCTAACGTCACAGCTACAGGGAACGCTAGCGGTCGAAGGGAGGTAACTCTGTGAGGGTGGCTGTGACAGGTCGCTATTCTATCACAACCCTTCGGATGAATGAACGCGGTATATATGGTATATTTAGTTGGGTGGGTGGTTGAGTGAGTGGTTGAGTGGTTGAGTGAGTGAGTGAGTGATGGTTGGGTGATCCGCTTTACAAATATTCTAACCAGATGATGGTGGTGGACATATGAAATGGGATTGACATGCTGGATCCTTTTGAGGGAATCAACCAGGGCCTTCTTCGTCATGAGCTGATGCATTAACAGAAATAATTCGTCTCACAATTTGTTTCGCTGTCAAATTAATTCAGTTGATAACAGTGTACAGAACTTCCTCCACATCACACAGACCCGCGATGGGACAACAGTAAAACTTTTATCTCATCATAACGGACACTGTCATCAAATATTCCAGCTTGAACGACATCCACCTCAAAGCATTATGCAACATATCAAATTCGTTTACGATAAAGCTCGCGCATGAACGGAAGTGACATGTACAACAAGGAAGCCGAACCTCCAGGTAGGTGTGTCTTGTGCTGTCTCAACACCTCCCAGTAAATCTGTCTTGATAAAGATATACTTGCAGTGGAAATCAGCGAAATATGTACGCGAAAATAATACCTCATAAAATATCTACTCTGGCCAGGATTTAAGCTTACACAGTCGAGCGTCAAA